TTATTTTAATAAGTGCATAAGTTGTGGAGTGTTTGTTACGAAATCCATACTGATGTTTGTAAAGACATTGGTTTTGGCAAGAAAGCTATAAAGTCTGTTGTACATGGCTTTTTCAAATATTTTACTAATGTTAGATAGAAAAGAAATTGGTCGATAGTTTCTGTGGTCCATTAGAGAACCCTTTTTATCGATAGGAATAACTTTAGCTATCTTAAAAACATCTGGAAAAAGACCTTTATTAAAAGAATTATTCAATATGGTACAGAGAGGCTTGCAAATAACATGAGAAGTAAGTTTAAGAAGGTGTGTGGGGATACTATTTGGTTCAAAACTTTTACCATTTTGTAAACTATTTTTTATTTAAATCAGAAAACTCATTTTCAGTCACTGGATTAACAAAAAAAGAATTAGAATTAGCATTTTTTAAATAGTCAGAGAAGATAATTTTAGAAGAAATCATTTTACTTTTGAATGGGTGTTGTACTGTTTCATAATGTTTGTTAAAAATTTTAGCAGCAGCCATACTGTCTGAGATAGTGTTACCATTAGACTTGAGAGTGTAAGATTTAATCGGTGTAGAAGATTTGATGTTAATAATTTCTTTTATTCCTTTCCATGTATTTTTTGTATTGTTGAGGTTTTGTTAAAGAAGATATAGTATGACTTTTTGGAAATTCTTAATAAGTTGCTAATTTTATTCATGTACAATTTAAATTTATCGAATAGTTGACTTTTTGTGTTGGAATTTTTAGATTTTATATACTTTTTGTAGAGCTTATTTGTAATTGCAATTGACTTCAGAACTCCATCAGTAATCCAAGGTTTAGATTTGAGTTTAACTTGGTTTTTGGTCAGTTTTTTGTATGAGGCATGACGATCAAGAATTGTGTTGAATGTTTTTAAAAAGAAGTTCATTAATTCATTGACATCATCACCATTTTTGATATAAAACTTTCAGTCAATATTAGAAATATCCTGAATAAATTCATTATCATTGAAATTCTTAAATGATCGCTTAGTTGTTATGGATTTTTTTCTTTTGAAAGGAGTATTAGGAATGCAAACAAACTGTGATGCCATGTGATCTGAAATTGATATTGTTACGTTACCAGAAATAAGATTAGGAATTTGAAAATTTAAAAAGATGTTATCAATAATTGTTTTAGATTTACAGTTTACTCACGTTGTTACGTCACGAATTATTGTTGGGTAAAAAGAGTAAGAACAAAGCGAGTCAAGGTAATCAGAGATAATAAGGGATTGATTGTAGTTTAGTAAGTCCATGTTAAAGTCACCTCTTAACATAACCTGTTTATTTTCAGAACTAAGTTTTTCAATTAAAGGATTAAAATAATCAGAAATAAATTCCTTTGGGTTCATTGAAGGATGCCGGTACACGCAGCCAACAATGATATTTTTCCTTAAAAGGATTAATGATTTTAATAAAGATAGATTCTAGGTATTTTGGGGCATATACTATAAGATCTTTTCTGACATTGTAGTTTAGATTGGATTGTAAGTATAGAAGAGCACCTCCTTTTTTAGCTTTAGTAGAGCATTGTTCGATGTTATAACCATTTATACTAATGTCAGTTATATTGGGATCGTTAATGTACAATTTAGATTCCGAAATTCCAAATACTGTTGGAAGTATGGTAAGTGAACTTATGAGACTGCAAAGTTCAGCAATATGAAAATGCAAAGAACCAATGTTTAGATGAAGGTACAATTCAGAATTTGATTTTAAAGTTTTATTGAGACCAAGAATATCGTAGTATTTGCAGTTGGAATAAGAATTCGAGATGTTATTTATATCCTTAAAAAAGCTGTTGAATTGTAATGGACTTTCTAAAGAATTTAAGTTACTACTTGGTAGAGTCAGACATTATATAGTTATATAAGAAGTTACGAGTTGGTAGAGTCTGACATTATATAAGAAAAAGTCCGAAAGTGTGCTAAATGATATATTTTTAATTATGCAGTCACTAAAATAACAGTCAGAAGAGTCTTTGACAAGAAGTTTATACGAAAACTTGTTGATTGAATTGCACTTAGCATGAACCCAAGAAGAACAACAATCACATAAAATGCCTCTTTGATGATTGGACACTGCTTTATTGCAGAACTTACAATGATACTTAATTGCTATGTAAAAATATAAGTTAAAAACAAATCAATAATATATAAAGTATGGTATAAATCAATAATAAATAAATATAGTATAATTTAAAAATAAAGGATATAATGATTAACTAGTAATCATAAAAAGTATATAGTATTAAGAATTTTTAATAGTTAATTTAATAATAATATAATAGCAGATAATATATGTATAATAAATAAATAACATTAAAAGATACAACTAAAAAAAAAAATATCGAACAAAAAAGTATTAACTATATTAACGAAAAATAATAATATAATACAAGAAAAATAATAATATAATTCAAGATAATAATAAAATTAGAAACACAAAAAATTATATTACTAATTCAATCGTTAAAAAATAAGTATAAACCAATCTTCTTCTTTGTTTGTAATTATATTTATTTTTCCTTCTTTTTTTTTTTTATTTTATCAAAAGTAATATAATATTTTTTATTTCATTCTTTACTTTTCGTAAGTTTGCTTTTGAAAGATGTAGAACTTAACAGGATTGTACAAACGAGTTCCTTTGACAAAAATGTTCACTCCAGCTTGATTGGAGTAAAATAAAACATGTTTAACATAAATTATAACACGTCTTACATCGAGTTTTTAGAGCAGCAAACAATCCTCTCTAAGCCTAATTAAGATTTTGGCAATATAACAATGAGTGAAGGAGTTAGATTAAGGATTAAATATATGTTTGGACTTGGTACAGATGCAATCGATACTGCAAAGCTTACTAATGTTGGATTAACAACATTGGATTATAATAAGTTATTTCTTGACTAATTTAATGTTTTTAGAGCACAAGAAAAGATAATCTTAATAAAGATTTTAACAACCTAACAAAGTGGAAAATAAAATGTATTTCATTTTTTAATACGAGAGCTGAAGATCGAATAAAAACTAAAATTTGTTATTTTTTCTTTATGTTAATACTAACAATTTTCTTTATATTAATAAAACTCACTTTGCAATGACATCGCAAATGGCAGAAGCGTTTGTTTAACAATAAAAAGGGAAAAAAGAAAAACAAAAGAAAAAATTTTAAAAAACAAAAAAAGATAAGTTAAAAATAAATTAAAATAACAAAAATATTAAAAGGTATAAACGAACTAAAAAATTAAACAAAAAATAAAACAAGAAGATGAATAAAAAAGTAAAACGAACAAATAGATTTAATAAAGTAAAACAAAAATATAGTATGTAAACTTATCCTTATATAATTCTTTATAATAAAATACAATATTTCAACGGGTCATATATACCCTCGTTATTCAAGTAATATAAAAAAACGTTATTCTCCTCGTAATTCGTAACGTTATTCTCCTCCTTATTATTAAAGTTGATCTCCTCCTTTACGTTATACTCCTCCTTAAAAAACGTTATTATCCTCGTAATTCGTAAACGTTATTCTCCTCCTTATATATATCCTCGTTATTCAAGTAATATAAAAAAATATAAAATATGTTTTTTTTTTATATATTACTTGAATAACGAGAGTATATATAACCCCTAAAAATATTGTATTTTATTATAAAGAATTATATAAGGATAAGTTTACTTACTATAACAGATGTTTTAACTTAATTAAATTATATAAAAACTTATCTAAGATGTTAACTTTTAAAAACAATCAATTAAAAAGCAAAGTAACAAGTTAAAAAAAAAAGAAGTTCGAAAAATGTTCGAAAAAATAATAAAAAGAACTAATAAAAACAAAAATAATTCGCTACAAACTTTTTACGCTTCTCAAGAATAACAAATATAATTTATTTTATTTTATTTACAAATATAATTTATTTTATTTTGTAGAAGTTTTTGTGTTAGTCTCTTCATTATGTAGTTTTTGTTTTCGTTTTGTAGTTTTTGTGCTTGCCTTTTCGTTTGGGTAATGTTTATCATTATTTGTGTTGTTGTTGCCAACTATTTTTATAACAACAACATTTAATAATAATAACAATAATAACAAATAATAATATAATAATGACATAATAATAATAATAACATTTTTATAACAACAACAATTTTTATAATAACAACAGCGAACGTCAGTGTGCTGTTGTTATTGAGTGTTTTCATATTTTTTTGTCTTTTATTTAATTTATTATATATAGCTTAATCATTTTTTTTTAATTAATTTATTTTACGCTTAGTTTTATTTATTAATATTGTTGTTGAATTTTTGTTTGTTTGTTTATTTTATTTAGGTGTCACTCCAACGACTAGTTTTTAACTATATGAGCGACACCTAACCCAATTTTGTAAAACTATAAAAATTTTTTTTTAATTTTGGGTTAATTAATGGATAAAATAAATAAATAAATAAACAACAATACTAACCAATCGCACCAATACTAACCAATAAACATGAAAAAGATTTTAGTAATCAAAGATAAGCTTATATATACCAACACCCTTAACAATCCCTCTCCCCGACAATTAACACCAAAATTTAGATGAAGTGCTATATTATGCTAAATAAAGGAAACCAAACTATAAAATTAAAATTTTGCAAGACGAGAAATAAATTGTGTACATTTAAATGGTAACATTTATATGTACAAATAAATGATAACATTTATATGTACAAAACATAAAGTTTACCATTTGTATATATTATATGTTGTCAATGTCATTTGTGTTCATAGAAAATAGGAGGTAATGGTAAAAAGATTTTCGAAATTTTAATAAAATATTAAACACCTGATATTTTGGAGCAGATTTGAACGTTCTATAAAATTCTTAATAATTTTTTAGTATCCATCAAACCCCTAAAACTTTTAAAAAATGTTTTCAAAATTGAGACGCCCTAAAAATATGTTAATATAATAAAAACAAAAAACACAAAATTTTTCATACCACAAATGATATATTATTGAGAAATAAAATGATTTAAATATTAATCAAATATCAACTCTCATTCTAGATTTATATTTTAAGTAAAAAAAAAAACGATTTATAAAAAAATATAAATAAAAAAATAAAAAATTACAACATTTAACTCATTTTTGTACCCTATTCTGAAATATTATTTTGAAGAATTGGTTGTTTCGTTTTCATATCGGTATATATTGTAACCTAACATAAACCAAACAAATAAACTCATTAACAAACAATTTAACATTATTAAAATTTAAAAAATATATAAATTCTATATAATATTTCCTAACATTTTTATAACATATAACATTTTTTCATTAAAAAAAATAATTCAAAGCTTCGGAGAACATGGGGTAAGCTGACGACCAAACGTTACCTCCAAAATAAAACTGAATATAACAGACTGGAGCTGAGAGGGAAGAAAATTGTATTTACTAAATTTATTTATGCTTTCTTTTTAAATATTATTTTTGTAATAGAAGTTAAGTATAAAAAAAGGTTTTTCTACGTTGAGAAAAAAGTTCTAATTTTTGTTTGGCTTGATTTATTTAACCGTTACATCACCAGCATTATATATAAGCGATAAAGTTTTTATTTAATCGTTACATCACCAGCATTATATATAAGGCAATAAAGTTTTTATTTAGTTTTCTGGAAGTATTAAGCTATAATAACTTGATTATGCATAGCTGTACTTATTTTAAAGATTGTGTTAGCCTGGGCCAAGATGACCGGGGCAAGAAGACGGACAAGCCCCAGACTAAAGCAGACATCACGACACATGTTTTACTTTAAACTGTATAAATGTTGTTTTGTTTAAGCTAAAATTTATTGATTTCAAAGCTGTGTTAAACTTAAAATACAAAGTTATAATAAAATAACTTAACTAATTAAAAGTAAAAAAAAAGTTATTTAAAAGTTAACTAAGTTTAAATACGTTGTAAATATTTTTATTTATGTTAATATCTATTTTTAAAATAAACGTAGAGGTTACGTTATTTAGGGTTAATAACTTTACTTCATACTTAATGTGATATATATATATATATATATATATATATATATATATATATATATATATATATATATATATATATATATATATATATATATATATATATATATATATATATATATATATACAGTGCTCGAAGTGAGGCGGTATGTGGCGGTATGCCATCCAGTCACTTTTTTATAAAGTATAAACCATTCCATCGCCTTTTTATAAATCTCTATATTTAACAATGATTAGATGGGATGGTATTTTTATTTATCAAATACCAACCCATTACCACTTCAAGCACTGTATATATATATATATATATATATATATATATATATATATATATATATATATATATATATATATATATATATATATATATATATATGTGTATATATATATATATATATATATATATATATATATATATATATATATATATATATATATATATATATATATATATATATATATATATATATATATATATATATATATATATATATATATATATATATATTGAACATCGCATTAACAATAAATTTGTAAAAATTTTAATAAAAATCACAATATTTTTTATTCTTGACATGTTTCGTAGTCTTACTACATTTTCAAAAGATTTAATTTACAATTAAAACTCTGGCAAAAAAAATTTAAAAACTGAAGACAATACAGAGAAAAAATTAACGGACAAATAAACTTGTTACAAACCAATTAAAAAATATACTACAAATTATGACAAAATAAACTTCCTAATATTAAAATATCAATAATAATAATAATATAGTAAGTTAGATAGATAAATTTATAATATAATGAGATGTTTGTTTATTTAAAGAAGGATTTTCTCATTTAATATGACGTGCTTCTTTTATTTTTAATTTGTTAATGGTAGAGGCAGTATCTAAAATCTGAAAGCAATCATAATTAGTTTGTATTTTACTATTAATTAATGAATTTAAATGTTTAAAAATATGCGATTGCTTGTCACTCGTAAGGTGCTCATTTATCCTTGTTGTCAAATATCTGGAGGTTTCTCCAATATAACTGGCGTTACAGCCAGCACAAGAAAATTTGTAGACAAAGTTAGATTTAAGCATCTTAGGAAGTGGATCTTTTATGCAAAAACTGTTTTTTAATTTATCGGTTGTGAATATAAATTTGATTATTACATTTTTACAATACTTTTTAACAATTTTATCAATTTTAGTTTCAGTGAGATTTGAGTAAAATCCAATAAATGGAAGCTTAAAATATCTTATATTAGTATTATCAACAGTATTTATAACAGGTGGATTAATTTTCTTTTCAACATATAATTTAATTTCAGTGTCGATAACTTTTTTGCGGAAATTTATTATTTTTTAAAACTAAAGAAAGATTTTTTATATCCTTATCAAATCCAAACCACGTGTTGTTAATTTTATATGTTCGATCAATCAAGCAACGTATAAGCCCAGTTTTGTAACATGAAGGGACAAAACTAAAGAAATTTTGTAAAAGACCCGTGTATATTTTTTTGTGATAAACTGATGTAGAGAGTGAATTAGACTTATTAATAAGAACATCCATTTACATACATTTGACAAATGAGCACCTTACGAGTGACAAGCAATCGCATATTTTTAAACATTTAAATTCATCCATTAATTGTAAAACACTAACTAATTATGATTGCTTTCAGATTTTGGATACTGCCTCTACCATTACCAAATTAAAAATAAAAGAAGCACTTCATATTAAATGGGAAAATCCTTCTTTAAATAAACAAACATCTCATTATATTATAAATTTATCTATCTAACTTACTATATTATTATTACTAATAATATTTTAATATTAGGAAGTTTATTTTGTCATAATTTGTAATATAATTTTTAATTGGTTTGTAACAAGCTTATTTGTCCGTTCTTTTTTTCTCGATATTGTCTTCAGTTTTTAAATTTATTTACCAGAATTTTATTTGTAAATTAAATCTTTTGAAAATGTAGTAAGAATACGAAACATGTCAAGAATAAAAAATATTGTGATTTTTATTAATATATATATATATATATATATATATATATATATAATATATATATATATATATATATATATATATATATATATAAATATACACACACACATATATGCAATTTTTTGTTTAGAAGTTTTGTATTTTTTATTATGTTATATGTATTTGAATGACGCTTTTATACATTGATGTTATTGTATACTATTATATTGTATGTAATTAATAAAATGGTTCGCAACTATATCAGAACTACAAGTTGAGGTGCCAATGAAAACAGGGCAATGAAAAATATGTCTCTAGTTATTTAAGCATACAATTTCAATTCTAGGGATATAAACGGATATAAATTTTGGAGTTCCTAAAGCAACATAAGCATCTACAAAGTAGGTACGCGGTAAATCCACTCATTTAGAAAAATTATTATTTCAAAAACTACTTTTGTGCGTACGCATTATTTATTAGAAAACAATAGGTACACTTCTCTACGTACGTACGCATTATTTAATACAAAATAAAGAACTTCTTCTTTTCCCAATCTAAAATATTTTAAAAACATTAAAAATAAAAAAGACTTTAATTCTCCAACTCTCTGTTACATATAATAAAAATATTGATTTTTTGTGTACCTATGCAGACATTTAAAACCATATCACCAAAATATTTTTGAAAGCAATGAAAGCTTTCGGTTGAAAAATTTACAGAAAGTAATAAAATTAATGATAAATTTGATTTAAATAATACTATTGCTGGTGAGAAAAAAACACAACCAACACCTTGACTTTTTGCTAAGTAATTAAGAAAACTAAGTAGCTGTTGCAATGGTTTCAGACCTAAGAGCTAATAATGTATATCATTCTATGTTTTGTAAAGCTTTCTTGATTCAATGACTAACTCTGCTCCTTAAGATTTTTAACAAAAAATTTTATTTTGAGTATTTCATAAGAAAACAAACAAATACTTCTGTATAAATTAATGCTATTATTAGATAATGTTAGGTCTCCCTTAGAAGTTATTGAAACAAACTTTTTTTTGAAAAACTTTCACTATATCATCCACTCAGTATTATCTTGTTCTATCTACAAATGTAATAAATAAAATGGTTTATCTAATATATAAAATAAATACAAAATGAATATATATATAATTAAATACAATGCTCTGCCTGATTTAATATATTATATTATAATACATAGAATATTGTATTTATTTATATATATATATTTTTTGTATTTATTTTATATATTAGATAAAACATTTTATTTATTACATTTGTAGATAGAACAAGATAATACCGAAGGAACGATATGTTAAACCTGAGTCTGTTTTATTTGGGCAAAGATTTGTATGCAATGGTGGTAAAGATAAATTAGTGAAAGATTCATTTCAATATATTTCTGTTGAAGCGACCATACTGTCATCGTTGTTAGATATTGATTTTTGTTCACTTCTTTTTTAAAGTTCAAACACAAAGTTTTGATTTGACTAAATTTGATGGAAACTAGTATTTACCACATTCCTTTTTTTTAGATATGTCTTACTAATGTTCGTTTAACCTCTCAAAGACCGTTAAAAGAACTCCATTATTGTATGCAGCATGGTTACATATTGTAAATAAAAAGACTATATACACTATTTTTAAAAGCATACATTGTTTGTAAATTTTTTTTCTTTATGTTTGATTTTACTTTTTTTCCATGCCAAAGAATACATAATAAAATAATTTATATAGCATTACTTTTTTTTGTAAAAACTTAAGAGACAAACCTTCTTAAAAACTCCGCGACCAAAATAATCAGCAACAACAGAAAAACCATCGCTTGATCTTTCCAACTAAACAAAATTGAAAAAAAAATCTTTATTGGAATTTCGTATAATACTTTTACAAATGGTAATGTATAGTAAACTAAACAAAATATTTTACAAGAGAAAAAGCTAAACAATATAAATATGAAGTTAATTACCACTAAACTGATGGAACAAAAAATGTTATTATTTTTTTGTTCCTCGCTGTTTCATGGATGGTTTTTAAAAATAAGTAGTACATTTTTAAAAAAATGTCAAAGAAATAAACTTTATCTAAGGATCCCGCACACACAGACACACAAAATGTATCAGATACATTTGTCTAATTAATTGGGATTAACTTATTCTGTTGAACAATAGTAAACCAATAAAAACCTTATAAAATAACTTGCTTATCTACTTTATTCATCGTTTTATTATTTTTTCATCATTTATTATTTATTTAGCTACTTATAATCAAAAAAATCATTTTTTTAAATATCTCAATATTTATTTTGAAAAAAATTATTTTATATAATTAACGGCTAAAAAAACTACAATTATGTTGCTGACTATGTTAGTGGTTCGAAAAATTAACAATTTTGAACAATCTTCTGGCATCCCTTTAATGTGTTCTTTGTAACAAAATAAATTTAAAACTATTTTAAAAACAAAAAAAATTATTTTAGAAGTTACTCAAGACTCTTGAACAACTAACAGATTCTTAATATTATAAAAAAAGTTTGTAAAAAATAGGTTAAGCCCGGGTATCAAATGAAGCGAAATTATAAAATTATAACTTTACATGAAAAAGTAATGAACTTGTTAAAAACTCTGCGTTCAAATACTTGCTCTCCGAGTAGGTCAACGTCAGAAGTACAGAAGTAACTTTGCATTTACAAAATACCAAACAAAGATATGTAGACAGAGTTTTAACGTTAAAGGATTATTGTAAAAAGGTAAAATTTTTCTTAAAAATTTAAAAAATTCTTTTTAAACGTTTTATGACTGAAGTAATCTTTGTTAAACAATAATTGGAAAAAAAAATTATTCAAGTGAAACATCCATACACACAGAGAAAATGCTTTTATTTTAATTTAATTTAAAAGGACTATATGCATTAGACAAAAAAAAACAAAACAAAACAAAACAAAAAAAAAAAACAACACATAAATTCAAATAAGCCTCCAAAAATTTTCCTTTTTTTCAAAAGCTTTAAAAGTTACAAATTTTTTCTGAAACTCAATTCTCACATCTAAAGTCATGTATGAATTTTGTATACAACATAAAGAACAACAAGAAAAAATATAATAGTGTAACATCTCTACATGGTACTTGTACTACTATGGTAGCATCTCTACATGGTACTTTAGTTTTTACTAGTTTTTAGATCTTGGGGATAACAAGGTTGGGGCAAAGTGGTGTAGTACAGACACTAACCGCACAATTCATAAACTTAAAAAGAAACATGAAGTATTTCAATGCAATCCTTTCACTTTAGGACATTAGTTAACGGTAGTTTATTAAGTAAGTGGATTGGCATCTTAACTAAAATCAACCTTAAAAAAGAAATTAATATTTTTTACCCAAAGGGTCTATCAACATATATTTTAACTGGTCTCAAAGAGATGACAACTGTTTTATTATTAGTATATTTTTGAAACAAGCAGCCTCACAAGCTTGCACTAGTTCTGGTAGAAACAATGTTTCAAAAAGCTTAAAAAACAGTTCGTAAGCCGGTTGCACAGTGGTTAGAGTTCAGCTTAAAAATTACAAAAAAAAAAAGAAGTTAAAGCAAATGTGACCCATTCGTTAGAGTGCTTGCTTCACAAGCAAAAAATCTACAAGCTCTAGGCATAATTGTAATACTGTTTAGGTGTCTGCCAACATTTTAAGGTGGATTTCACTGATTTTTCCCTGATACTTCCTTGATCTACTACCTGTTTTACCTGATTTAATTTAAAGTTACCCAAAATTATTTTCAGAAATAATAAACTTCTTTCAGAAAAATACTCTTTAATTGCAAAAATATAAACATTAATACATTCCAAATTTAACCTTAATACATGCCAAATTTAATATTAATACATTCCAAATTTAACATTAATACATTCCAAATTTAACATTAATAAATTCCAAATTTAACATTAATACATTCCAAATTTAACATTATTACATTCCAAAATTAACATTAATACATTCCAAATTTAACATTAATACATTCCAAATTTAACATTAATACAACCCACATTTAAAATATTAAGAGAAGTTTATAAAACTATTTTCTGAATAAAATCTTTTATTACGTGTGCAATATACAATCTACTTATGTTACGTAAGTTTGATGAAGAGCTATTTTTCCTGATTTCTTCCTGACTTTTTAAATTATAATTTGAATTTCCTAATTATTTCCTGATTTTTTGCAGATATCTGAACTCTTGACTTTTCCCTGTTTTCACAAATTTCCTATATCTGGCAGACACCTTGTAATACAACTACTAACTATTAATCGAAAAAATAAATCCATAAAAAAGTAATGTTTATTAGGAAAAAATTCTTTATAATATAATAATTATTTTTATTCTAATTTTATAAATGTTTAGAGTAAACATATATAAGTATATATATATATATTTATATATATATATATATATATATATATATATATATATATATATATATTTGTATAGATTTCGATATATAGAATATATTTGAGGTTAAGTATTTTGATGTAATAATACGAATTCTCTTGTACGTGTTACAGTGCTCAATATTACTGAATAATAGAGCTATATATAATTATATTTAGATAAATAAAAACAACTGATTAACGGGACTTAAAGTTTCATGCCCGAAGGCTTCGGGCATGAAACTTTAAGTCCCGCTAATCAGTTGTTTTTATTCATCTAAATATAATTATATATATATATATATATATATATATATATATATATATATATATATATATATATATATATATATATATATATATATATATATATATATATATATATATATATATATATATATATATATATATATATATATATATATATATATATAGATTGTTTATGTATTATATTAAAACAAGGCCTTCTTAAACAGGCCGCGACAGCTCATTTTCCGTAAAATTAGCGAAGGCCGACTTTTTTACGGTTAAAATTATTTTTTATCTTTGCTTTTGTAAACAAACTTCAGAAACAAATAAAGAGCTTTATTAGGACAAAACATATTGATTGAATTTCGAAAGCAAATATTGTAGGAATTTTTTTTACGTTTAGAAATAAGTTAATTACAATAAAAATTTAAGGAGTTTAGCTAAAAATGACTAAATATCGTTTTTATAACTATATGTTTATTTTAGCTGTTTAACACTTGTAATACAAATAATAAATTTTTTGATAAAAACAAACAAATATATTAACTTTATTTTATTAAAATTATTTTGACTTTTTTTACTCAAAGTGTTTTATTTTGAAGTTGAAAGTTTTGCTTGTTTTATTAAACATTCCTTCCCAAAATCTTTAGAGTGTTTTTTACAATAATTGTTTAAAAAAATGTTTGCCAAAATGCAGCAAACTTTTTTAACACTTTGAACAAGCAATTGAAATTTACTATTGCAGTTAATAAAAATGTCAATTAATCCTTTCTTGCACAGCAATGGTGAAACTTTATTCACAAGTGTCACTTCAAATATCAAAAAACAATAAAAAACAAAGTAGACTAAATTGTCAGAAGGCTTCCCCTGTTCAAAGAACTGATCAAAGTTCCATATTTTAGAAACATATCAAAGGTGTCTGTTTTTTCTAAAATTGAGTGTAATTCTGGAAGTTTGTAAGCAATAAAACCTGCAATACATAAAAGCCCTTGTTTGCATTCATTTGGCAAGTGATCCTCACAATTTTCACATATTGACATATTAAACTCAACATAAAATTCACACTTATCACAGTGGTGGTGAGCAGGAGGAAATATTGTAAAATCTGTATGCTTGTCTAGCAACTTTCTAGTTTTGTCGATTCTAAATTTTTGAATAATATTTTGCACAGTTATCAGATATGTGCCACCTGACCCTTGCCGATATTTCCCAAACTGTTTTTCTAGTGCATCTAATTGCATATGTCCTAACAATACATAAGATACACCGCAATTCAACAAATACTTGGCACAGCTAATCTTTTAGAAGTTTTTTGCAAAGCACTTGCAGTATCCATTGTTAACTTTTTATCTCTTAATTTTGAATTTACACATTTCAAATTTTCAGCAAAATACGAAATATAGTTCTCTAAGAAATCTATTTGCCAATCATTGACTGAAGAAATAGGATTTTTTCGAATATCATTTAATCTATATCTAGACCTTTTGCTTTACTGTTGACAACAAGCCACCACTTAACAACTGTTTCAATAAAAAGTGCAGTATCTTCAGCTTCAGGAAATTATACATGTAGTGCTGCAACTGTTTCATCACAAAAAACTTTAAGAACTAATCCAACATTTTGTCGCTCAATCGGTTTTGGTGACACAGCTTTTTGTGTTAAGGGTGACAACTTAACTATTCGACTATCTGCAGCATGAAGTTGAATTATAAATTTCCATTCTGCAAGTCGCACAGTATCGTTATCATTTAGCAATCTATATTTTAAACATTGTAATTGTTCAGTGATCCAATTATTTCGAATACATTTTAAAATATGCAGTGTCATTTAAAAGATATTATGCTGGAACTTTTTTTGCATTAAAATATTGAAATGTTTTTTGGTTTACTCAACAGTTATCCATTATTAACCCAAGAGGCTTTCCACCTGCAATTATGATTTGTTGATTTATCTCTTCTATCACGCTTGTATGAAAATTTGTTGTAGAATTTGTAGCAAAACAAGCTTTTCAACGAGATCAAAATATACTAAACGAGATTTTGAATAAAGATGTAATGCTTCAGAAATGTCTTCTAAAGAAAATGGTGTATTGTTTGTTTTATTTAATAAAGCTACTTGATGCCTAATATAACTTGCTCGCTTAGAATCTGTTTCATTATTAATAACATAACTAACAGCATTCTCCAGTTGAGAATAATATTTATTAACTCCTTTGTTTAAAAAAGACAGTTTAATTTGTAAAAGTTGGCTTTATCCAATAAAATAAATATCTCCAGAATCTTCTAAAGTTATATATATTGAAAACTTAGGTAGTGGTCCACAATGTTCATATGATATTAATGATATATTTTTTTTCTTTTTCAACAAAATAAAATTTTTCTTCACAGTTATTTATTATTGACTTCAAATTTTTTACAATTGAATTAAATTTAATAACGTCCAATTTTTTGAAGTTTTCGAACTCATCAGGTAAATTATTTCTTTCAGAGCATATTAACCCAGTGACATCTCGTTTTCTAGACACTATTGGAGTACAAGACACTGGTATACCTTTAAAGACTGATGGAGGATGCACTGGAACAAAACTACCACCTTTGACTTTTTTTAATTCTGCATCTTTAGGCCAGTGCTGAGCACAAATTAGCTTATAATCTGTAAACACAAAGTTTGCATTTGGAAGTTTTTTAATCCATAACTTATAGTTTAAATCAAACAACCAAAATCCTCATTGAAACTTTAATTCTCCGTAAAAAAGTCGGCCTTCGCTAATTTTACGGAAATTGAGCTGTCGCGGCCTGTTTAAGAAGGCCTTGTATTAAAATAACACAAAAACTTTTGAACGTAAAACAGTGCTCAATATTACAATAATAGAGCAATAAATATTTAAACTTTATTTAAATGAAAAACAACATTATTAATAGTACTTAAAGTTTCGTGACCCCTTCGATTATTGTCCGATCAGTCTTCTTTTTGTTACAGTCAGCAGCTAGCAAGGTCTTTGAGTCTTTAATAAACAAATTTCTCACATCCCATCTTGAGTCAAATAACTTGATGTCAGACAATCAATATGGTTTTCAATCCTCTCGCTCAACAGCTGACTTGGTAGCTGCTGTGACTGAAAGATTTTATCAAGTATTAGTCGGAGGTGGAGAGGCTAGAGCTATTACTCTTGACATATCGAAGGCTTTCAACAATGTTTGGCATGCTGGTGTTCTTTATAAGATTGTTTCATATTTTTTTGAAATTATCAAATTGTTACTTTTTAATCCGGTTATTAAAGTCATCCTTGAAGGCCAACACTCTTCTTTATTTCCAGTAACTTCTGGGGTACCTCAAGGTTCTATCCTTGGTCCTGTTTTGTTCCTTATCTACATTAATCTTCCTGACAAACTTACATCTAAAGTAACTCTTTTTGCTGATGACTCAACTTTATACTCCTGTCTTGACAAAAAGTCTTTTATTTTTGATTGTTTAGAACAGGCAGCTGATCTTGAATCTGATCTCACTTCTGTAACTGAATAAGGCTCACAGTGGCTTGTAAATTTTAACTCCATTAAAACTCAGCTATTTAATGCAAACAACAATCACAATACTATCAACATTCCTATATTAATGTATGGCAACCCTCTAACTGAGTCCTCTTCTATACATCTTCTTGAATTATTGTTTATTTCTGACCTTTCATAGAAATATTTACAATCAATTACATATTTACAATCAATAGCTAAATTAGTACCTGCTATGGTTGCTTATTTTTATCATGCTTCCCATTTTCTCTCTCCCGATTCCAATACTGTTGTCATATTTGGGCTGGTTCTTCTAATGATGCTCTTAATCTTCTAGACAAAGTCTAAAATTGCATTGTAAAAGTAGTTCGACCTGCTCTTGCTGCTAAACTTGAGCCTCTTTCTCATCATTGCAAAGTTGCATCTCTTTCTCTTTTCAACAAATACTATCATGTTGCCTGCTCAAAGAAGCTATCATCTCTAGTTCCATCAACTAAAACTCATTCTTGTATGACTCGCCATTCAGCAACATTTAAAAACTTTTATTAGTCTAGTTTTTTTCCCTGCACTTTAACCCTTTGGAACTCTCTCCCATCTTCATGTTTTCCTGACTCATACAACCTTCAACTTTTTAAGTCTTCTGTCAACCGTTTCCTTGCTCTATAACTCTATTCTTTATTCTAGTAACTCTCAACTTAATAGTGGAGACTTGTAGCCTTGTTGGGAGTGAATCAATATATATATATATATATATATATATATATATATATATATATATATATATATATATATATATATATATATATATATATATGTATATATATATATATATATATATATATATATATATATATATATATATATATATATATATATATATATATATATATATATATATATATATATATATATATATATATATATATATATATATATATGTTTACTCTAAGCATTTATAAAATTAAAATAAAAAAAATCATTATATTATAAAATAAAAAATAAAGTTTTTCTTAATAGATGTTATTTTTTTAAGGAATTGTAGATTATTTTGAATATCATCTGTGATGTAGTGACTATGATGAACTTTCATTTGCTCAATAAATAAACTACTGAGAAAGGTCAACACTTTGACAGTTTATTTGCTGGCAGGAAACTTTCAACAGTGTTTGCCAGTAATTAAGCATGGTAGTAAGGTAGAAGTGTTAGTTAAATCCACCATCAAGAAAAAAATCAAATGGCTTGATATTTAACAGCTTTGATTGATGCAAAATATGCGGGCATCATGTCAAAAATTTACAAACAGGCTAATTCATTTTGGTAATTGCATGTTAGCTAACTATCCTTCATTTCGTAATTGCATGTTAGCTAATTATCATTTATTTATAAGGGTTAGGGTTAAACTAACTTTATAATTAAAGAAATGCTTGAATTGTTTGGTGATTCAAAAAATATTAGTTAGGAGACAACTGAAAGCAATTCATAAATATTCATAGTCCAATTCTTCTATTCTTTGCTCTGAGAATGGCAGTGTAAATATATGCATCATCAATCAAATGCCTAAAGATTTTATAAAATACAAAAATATAAACTTTATCGAGTCTAATGATAATGAAAAACTTGCTAATTTTCCTTCCGAGTTTCTTGTTTTACTCATTTGCAAGTGGATTACTGCTAACATTCAGTGTTTAGAAAATTCAAATAATGAGCCAGAATAATTAATTTAACTAACTAAATTATCTACCATAAAGTCAAACAATTTTGCTAAGTAAATAAAGGTTCCAGATGATCATTTATTACCCAATTCATCATACATTACCTAATTCATCATATATGTTAGGTAGATTGCTTGTAGTGCAATATAATAACTTAAATAAAATCTTAATTGAATTTAATTAACTGAATTAACTAAAATACTTTAATTATTATTTGAATTACAAAGGTTTTAAACAAATTTACATTAAATGATTTTAAAGTTTATTAAATGGAATAAATTTATTGTTTTGTTTAAAACATGCTTACATCTAATCGTGTTTTAGTCAATTTTTGTTTTGTTTAAAAAAAAAGCAAATCCAGAAAGATACTTTGCAATCTCTTTTATCTATTTTTTCATAAAACTCTAAAATAAATGTTACCTGTTGATTAAATTGTTCATGTAGGGCAGCATTATGTTCTTGTGCATAAATGATATCTTTAATTTTACTGAAATAAAAATATAACATTTATTTGAAAAAGGATAATGAGTCATTCCATATAAAAAGAAACTAAAATTTTTTTTGCAAATGATTGTAAAACAACAAATAAAGGTTAAATACAAAATATGAAAATGTTATTTTATGAAAATATAGGTGATAGGCATCATTTCAATGATGCTTTACAATGTTCCATAACATACACAAGTATTCACCACATCCATGCAGTAGTGATGTAGTGGATGCATACATACACAAATTTCTACTACATTCACACCACATCAATGCAGTAGTCTGTAATTATACTGTAAAAAAATGTACACAAAATAAAATTACACATAATAAAAGTACACATAAATTCCTTGATGCTGATGGACTTGATGAGCAATGTCCTATTTTTACTTTAGTATTATTTAGTATTATTTAAAAACTTTTTGCTATTATTAAAAAGAAAATATAAAACAAACAAAATCAAATAAGAACATTTCAATAAATAAAATTAATTTTTTTTTTTTTACCGATTCTCTGGAGCACAAATGGGACATTCATTTTCACTATCGGAATAACTTTCAAAGCACCTGCAAGAAAATCAGAAAAAATTCAAATATTCAAATACAAAAATTTTTTGTCTTTGATGCATTTAACTTTTATTTGTGCATTTAATTTTTTTTATTAGATTTTGTTTAACAATTTATGTGTTCTATGAAGCACTTACGTTTGATGAAAAGAATCACCACACAAGAAATGAACAGCAGGTAATTCCAACAGTCGATTGCAGATCTTACATTTTGAACTTTGAAAAGTTTTTGCACTAGAAAAAATATTAACCTAATTGTAAACAGAGTATTTAAACAGATTAATTTAACTATATGTAGATAAAATTTTAAATTCAAATTAGAAACAAACAAAAAAATAAAGATTTTTAATATTTAATTTATTTCAGAAAGTTCAATTCTGTTTGAAATGGTGTAAATGGTAAATTCATGATTGCTAGTATTTATGATTTGTGGTACATCATGATTGCTGGTATCTATGATGTGTGGTGCATCATGATTGCTAGTTTTTCTATGATTTGTAGTGCATCACATGCTGCGCATCAGATAGGTGAAAAATAAAAAAACTAAAGACAACATCTGAGATTTGAAATTTTATTAATTTAAAAATATGATTCGATTTCCAAAGCAATCCAAATTTATTTACAAAATCTAAACTGTCATTTTATAGTTAAAGTGTCAATTTTGCTGGAATTCCCTTTTTTTAAATTTATCTAGTTGAGTTTTATAAAGAGATTTTACTTAATATTGTAGTCATTACTTAGTGATTTAGTGATCCTAAAGATGTGAAAAAGTCTCAACTAGTACACTAGTACATTTTTAAGATTTTCTCCAAGGTTTGTTTATGAGTTTTGTTACAGGAAAGTTAACCACAAAATAAAATTGTTTTATAATAATAATCTCAACTCACCCGGTTTTTAGCTCTTCAATATCTTTCTCCATCTTTTTAATATTCTCTTTGTGTTTTTTAATTGATGATTCTGCCTATAATCATTTATTATTTTAAATAACTTTCCACAGTATTTATATGTATTTATCCTTATTTATGTGTAAGGGGTTATAACCAAAATATAAAAAATGCCAGTAAATTATATATATATATATATATATATATATATATATATATATATATATATATATATATATATATATATATATACTTTTCTATAGTACGAATTTCTATAGTATATATTATATATATATATATATATATATATATATATATATATATATATATATATATATATATATATACTTTTCTATAGTACGAATTTCTATAGTACGAAAAAACTTTTTCTATATAATATTAGGTCTTGTTATGAAAACAAAAAAGTGTAGCACATAGGCAGGGCCGACGCAAGTAGGTGTCACGTGGGTGTGTGTGTGTGTGTGCGTGTGTACGCCATTAGTCAAAAATGTCAAATTTGCAGACTAAGAGTCATTTTTGCTGACTAAAAATCATTGAATATCGCGCCGGCCTTGCACATAGTCATAATTTGATTTTCGATAATAATAATAAACATTAACTTTTTTAACCAGCAATTTACTAAACTACAGAAAAAGTAACTTAATTAAAAATGTAACTCATAAAACAAATTTAAGTATGTTTTTTAACTAATTTAACTCAACAAGTTTCAACAAAACATTTTTACTCCAAAAGATGTTGGTAACAATTATTTGACTGAAAGTTTTTTTATACTTCTTTTAAAGCGTTCAGGAAAATTTATGTTCAGTAATAAAAAAACTCAATTAAGGATAAATATTTTTAAAATTATTCCAAGAAAAGTTTTATATAAATATAACACAAAAAGATCACCTAGTTTGAATACAGATAGTATGTTTTTTGAATATACAATCATATACAAATTGAGCTGTTTGTAGAAGAGGTTTATAGAAAAAGAAAAACCCTGTAATTAAATAGAAATGAATTTTAAATGGATTCACTAAAAATGTAAACGATCTGTAATTTAGAAATCCTATAGGCGATGCAGTTATGAAAAAAATCAATTTTCATTCTCCATAAAATAAAAATAAAAATTGCTTTTTTTGAAAAACGTTTTGTTAATTAACTTTGTATTGAAACAATTATCAAATTTTTTTCTATTGTCGTAAAAGTATACACCTGCTTCAGATTGCATCTTCAGTTCCATTTTAGTTTTGTTGTTGTAACCAACAGCAACAAAAAGATATAGTTTTTCCTTTACTTAGCTCAATAATGTCAAAATAATGAGAAACAATTTCAGATTGCAGCCTTTTAATTAAACTTGCATCCCTGTCTGAAAAATTCATCACTGCGTACATTAGGTATATGATAAACTTTAAATCAATTAGCCTGGGGTTCTAAATGATGAACTTTTGCCTATAAATCACAGGAATGACATTGATTTCACCATACCTTGAAAAAACTTCCTGCACCTAAGACAGTTTCATATTTAACCATACAACACATAGCAGCCCAAAGGCTATTAATTATAATATGTCAATTTTATATACAATACACACAAGAAATACATGAGAAATACACTGTCCTACAGCATTTGTAGTGATGTTATAATCTTTCAGATTTGTATTTTAGTATTAATAAATTTACAGTTAAGATATTTGTTTGTTCTGCAAGAAGAACGAATGTCCCCCATCAACTTTACAGCTCTCTCGGCTACTATGTTGGTTTGAGGCACATCAATCACTGATGGTTCCTTCTTCCAGTGGATAGAGAAGCATTTCACATTTCACATTTTGGAACACTTAAGTTGGGATATTGCTGACAGCAGGTCTTCATAAGCCGCCTCTGCATAGTGCTGGTTTGAAAACCAGGCCCGAGACCATGTAGTTGCAACAAAATTGAAAGTTATCCTCATCTGTTCTCGCCAGTTTGGAAAAATGAAAAATGCAATAAGCGCAAAAATGCTTCTTGAGTTCCACCTGACACTGTGCAGTGATGGCAGCTTGTGCCTTTTGATACAAGGCCATTTTTCCTCATTTTTGAAAAACTTGTATGCTTCACAAAGCTGAAGAAGAAATTTAAAGTCATCTCTCCAGCCAAGGTTCTCATACTCTGCTACCACTGCTGTGCCCTTGTAGGCATTTTTTAAATCATCATAATGCTCCATAATCTCATTAATAAATTTGTAGTTAATGTTAGGCGACTGTAACTGTATAGGAAAAAAGAAATCCAACACATGTCGTAAAACAAGATCAAGATTGTGGTGTTGGCAGCCAATGTCTTGAGTTTCATTGAATCCCTTATCTTGAAATGTTTTCTGAAGCTTGGCTACAACTCCATTCATGCGACCAGTATTTACAGCTGTTGTGTCAGAGATGATCATCCGAATACTGTTCCATGCATTGTAATCATCAAGTAGGTCCTGTAGTGGTTTATATATGCTTGCAGATGATCCACTGTCACAAACCAAAATGCCAAGCTGTAATGTTCTTTTGTCATTTTTCAAGCACACAACTTGGTACTCAGTCTTGGCAATTTTCTTACCATCAAAATGCAAAGAAAATTTATCTTCAGAGATCAGTTCCATGAGGCGGTTCTTAAAAAATGCAAATTAATACTGCAAATAATGAAAAAACTTTTTAAATACTTCTACTCAATATTTTAATCGCGCGAACATTAAAAAATACTCAACAACAAACAACAACAAACTAGTTAACCATTCAAGTTCATTTCGATCTATACCTAGCGATAGAGTTTTTTTCAACAGAATACTGTGACTTTATGCTGTGACAGTATCAAATAGACAGATCTATTTTGTCTGTGAGTAAAATAGTTGTACACAATTTGGGATCTTATGAATTTTTAGTATGTTTATAATTTTGGCACCTTTGTCTAGACAGTATCATTTTGGATAATTCCAAACATTATAAAAAATGTATATTCAACTTTCTAAAGCCCAAGGGACAACATAATGAATTTTACAATTTTTTCTTTATATTGTACCTGGAGTATTAGACTATTTATATAAAATATTAAGTTGGAGATGTACCTCCAATATTACTTATCAAATATTTTATCAAAAGCTTCAATACCATTACAATGCAAACTTTTCTGAAAAAACATTTTTTTAAAAGCTGTTTAGTAATAAATTGATAAAGAATAATAAAGTTTTTCTCTCATAATAATATAAAACATGCTCGCCAACATTAAAGTGCTACAAATGCCACTAAATGTTGTTTTGAGATATAGCAAAATAATTACATTGATTTAAATTAAATTTTTTAGTTTCTTAACTACAAGTGAATGACCATAGAGCCTTAAGCAAGCTGAAAGAAATATGTTGAACCACAAAGACTGGACCACAAAGGCTTTTACTATAATCTGCCAGGGTTTCTCTTTATGGATAAAGATAATTTTGAAGTTATTGCAAATAACCTCAAAACTATCTTTTTATAAAACTATCAATTATGTTTCTCCTTATGAATAAAGATAGTTTTGAGGTTATTGCAAATTAAAAATAAATTTAAATTTACTTAAAAAAATACCATGTGATGGGACTTTTTTAAGTAAATTTAAATCTATTTTTATTCATTAGGATTCAAAAGTACTTGCAGTTATTAACTTATTCAATTGTGGAGTTTAAAAAACTGGGGATGTATAAAACTTCTCAATAAAAATTCATTTTATTAACAGTAGCCCAGTTTGCTATGCCATCCGCAATAGATTGAGATATTTAGCAAATTTGTCATAGATGATGTAAGTTAGTATATCATAGTCATTTTTTTAGTTTGGCTCTGGTAGTAAGAAATCATTTAGATGTATGAACAATATAAACAAAATAGGTCCAAGAACACTACATTGAATGACTCCAGCTTTATTACATTTCCATTCAGTTACATGCTTAACTGTTTTTAATCTTTGATAGCAGTTGTGCAGGTAACTAGCAATCCATGATGTAAGCCAGATAGTATGCAAGGTTAGTAGTTTTAAGAGCAACTTGTTGTGATCAACCACATCAAAATATTTTAGAAATATATCTGAAACTTCCTTACCTGGAAAATCTTTTTCAACCTCTGTTATCACATCCGAACACTGAAACAATGTTAACTATTTTTTTAATGTCTCCCATGAAAAATTTGATTGATTTTGTTTCCATTTTAATAAGACACTGACAGCTCTCTCATGAGTTGTATGTTTATCAACTTTAATGTGCTCAAGATCTTGATCAGTCAAGCCGAGTTGAGGACCAAAACTTTGCCAGCTTGTTCCAATCAAGTACCTAACCTTATCTTAAACTTTCTGATAGACTTTAAAAGTTTTAGAATCTAAATGATTGCTTGGTGAATTCATTTTATATTATTTATTGTTGATTCCTAATACAAAAAAGATTCACTTTGAAAATAAAATTTAGCGAAAATTGTTAAATTTTTTTTAGTTACTTGAAATGAATAATTAATAAAGTTTTCTATAACTTAAATTATAGCACTACTATATCCAGGGAGGATTTAAAACATATTTGTTCCCAAAATTGTTTGTTTGAGATCCAAATATGATTTGTGTGATTAACGATAAATTTGCACAAATTAAATTTAAATATTTTGCACAGAGCAAATGTAATAGCTATTAGTGGATAATCTTCTGAAAAAAGTGGGTTTAATATTTTAGGTATAGACGAAGAATATTGATGAAATAGATAAATAACGCTTTCATAAAAAACCATACAACCATTCTATAGTAAAGCTAGCATCTGCTAGTATCTACTTGCAGATGCTAGTAGATACTAAGGCCTACTACTAAGGCCTACTAACGTCTGTTCACAAAAAATCCGGAAGGAAAAATTGTTCTCAATTGAATACAAAATTAATCGATTTTTGACAAAAATTTTAACTAAAATGAGAGACTGGACATCGTTAACTATTTTATAACCGAAAGTGGTCTTAAATCAGCAGCTTTTCGAACTTTAGTTTTGACTGAATCCATTAGGTTAAAAAAGTAGTCTGGATTAAACTCTTTCAACTTTAATCGAATTCTATTCTTAAGGTGGTCAAGATTTCTTGCAGTAAATCAATTTCCATAAACTTTTGCGTTTAAATGTGCCCAAAAATTTTCAATTGGCCTTAACTGCGGTACATTTGGGGGATTATCTTTAGTGTCGACAAAGTTAATACCTAAAGTGTTGTAAGTTTCTAATGTGTATTTTGCATAATGACATCTCGCTCCGTCAGGCCAAAATAAAATTTTCATGTTTTGATGCTTGGAATTTATAAATGGATAAAGTTTTTTTGTAATACATTCTTTAGAATAAGTTTTTGCATCCAGTGCACAGTTTTTTACAGCAAAATAAGGCGATGAATGACCGAAACGACTGATTGCAATCTAAACGAGAACTTTCTCGTCAAACTTTTTTTTGAAGTTGAATTTAATGTTAGGATCAGTTTGAGAACTATTCTTTGTATAGTAGCCAGAGTTTTGTGAACAATTTGCACCATTTACACAGAAATAAGATTCATCGTCCATGATGATTTCAAACTCATTTGATGGCTTGAAAAAAGTTTTTGAAAGTTTTAATAAGTTTTCCTTTTGTTCAATTTCTTGCTTTTCTGTTGTTTTTGGTATATTTTTTATTTGGTATACTTCAGTCTATGCATACTTAATAATCTATTTACATATGAAACGCTTATCTTCTATTTTAGTGCCAATTTTTTTTGCGAAATCCCGATTCTCTCTTCTGCTCTTGCAATCATGGACTCTATCTTTTCTGGTGTGATTTTAAAAGGTTTTCTGCCGCAACTGATTTTTCTTTTCATTGGCAAATTATTTTCAGATTTTTATTTAATTATTTTAATTATGTCATAAATTGTAGATTTAGCGATTCCCATTTTCTTAAAATGATCCACTGTAAATTTCTTTCCACTGTTTATGTTTTGTTTATAAAAATTTCCAATCACATTTCTAACATCGTTCTCTTTTAGATGCTCCATGTTTATTTGAATTAATTATTTAAACTCAATTTTGCCACAAAATGAAACTGTTGTTGTTGACCGATTAAATTTAAAAATTTCGAATCGAAAATTCGAAATTTAGAACAATTTGTGTACATTTGAAATCAGTCCGGATTTTTTGTGAACAGACGTTAAGACTTCTCTTTATTGTGCTTGCTATTTCTTACTTCTTTTTCCACTTTAAAAACATATAAATCTCATCTCAGCGTAAATTTTTTATTATGTTGTATTATTATTTTAGAGATTTAATTAATGCCACTTTTCTTTTTTGAAAAAAAGGTCCAAAGATGAATTATTATTGTAATCAGACCTGCCTAATTGCAATGGTAGCGGTTTTGGAGTCATCATAAAGTCGCTTTCACCATAAGGTCACTTCTCTTTCTTTTTTCTATAAACAATGCTGTGCTTGCTGTTCAATTGAACTATTATCTGTTGTAACCACCAACACCAATTTTGTGCAACTCAATTTATTTTCTGTAACTTAATGTTTCAATAAATTCTATTCTTCTATATTTTTTCTTTAAACATCAGTGCATTGGAATCTCCCACTTCCAATCTTTCTTTAAACATCAGTGCTTTGGTATCTCCCACTTCCAATCTTTGTTTAAACATCAGTGCTTTGGAATCTCCCACTTCCAATCTTCATGTTTTCCTGCCTTTAACTCTTTTTTCATTTTCTAATAACTTAAACCTTTTTTAACAAGTTTATTTGTAACCTTGTTACAAATAAACTTGTTAAAAAAAAAATCAACTCAAAATCATAGTGAAGGTTATTGACAACCAGAGTTTATCAAAGAAACTTCAACTAAATTGGTTTTAAATTAAATTTAATTGTTAAATTAAAGTGGTATTTTAGCTATTCATATTTATTTTTGGTACAAAAATTTTTTTGTTCAATTCTTTTTCAAATAAAAAAAATTGTCAAAATAGTTAGGAATCCCTTAATAAACAGTAACTTGATAAACAATACTAAAAAAAAAACAACAACACACTTTGACTATTCTATTGAATCTCTTTACATTTTACTACAGAGTTTTAAGTAAACAAAACAAAATTTAAAGAAAAACAACTATTCTCACCTCTGCAACCAGTTCATTTTCTTGTTGTAATTGACGAATAATATAATCCTTTATTAAAAGTAAAAACATGGCAAATATATGTTATGAACTAATTTTCATCTCTCAAAATTTTTTAGTAGTTATAGGAATGTTGCACAACAGTGGAACAACAACTTTGTTTTATAATAGAAACATTTTCCAGCATAAGCTGCTACTTAATGTCAGTTATTGTTGCATTGCTTTACATCATAAATTTGTAAAATAGTCAATATAAACCAGTTTCTGCAACAATCAATTTCTGAAACAATAGTTGTACATCATTTCTACAACTATTGGAAATTAATCTTATGCAAACTATTAATTTTAACATACTTTGATTTAATTACTTTAATATATTTTAATTATTTTAATTTTAATATTTTGTTATTTGTTTGTTATTGAAATCAAAACTTGACTAAACACTTTTAAATTCTTTTAAATACTATAAAAATATCTTCTAACAAAAACATAAAACTTTATTTTCTAAACAGACTTTCTCCTACATTTTCGATATTTTTGATCTCTCTAAGTAATACTTAGTTTCTCCCCTAAAAACTGCTTCACAAAAATCTCAAAAAAAAAAAATAATAATTTTGGTAAACAGTCAATAAAATCTATTTTCACTTATATGCATTATTAAATTTATTTTCATTATATTTATTTTATATAAATACTTGTATAAAATAAATATTTTATATAAATGCATACCTACATATTTTATATAAATTTACTTAAATCAACATTTTTATTTTTGCTACTATTTACTGCACTTCTTAAAAAAAAAATTATAATAATTTAAAAATTATTTTTAGCTCAATAAAAAAAAAAAAAAGATTCTAAATAATGGTACCTTTACAATGCCAAGCGATGCAGTTGAGTTTTGAGACAGTTCTTGGATAACTTCCAGTGGAGACAAAAGCTTATACTCTTCAATATCTTATAAAGTTAAGCTAACTTAAATAATGTAGAAATACAAACATACACATACATAAACATTGACAGCTTTGAATGTATTTGGGAGACATTTGGGCGCCGCCCAAATTCAGAAATTAAGGAATTTTTTTTTTATGGCAAATATTTTTTTTTTTTTTGTTTTTTTTGCAAAAAAATGCCCACATATGGCTATGTTTTCACAAAATTTTCTTATGGCAGCTGCTGGCACAGGGGATATTGCCACCAAAATTATTTTCCTAGAATAACCCCTAATATATATATATATATATATATATATATATATATATATATATATATATATATATATATATATATATATATATATATATATATATATATATATATATATATATATATATGTATATATATATACATTTCTTCTGGAGTTATTTCCCAAACGTTGCTTCAACTATGGCTGCTTTTAGATCATTTTGTCTTCTGTAAGCACGATCTCTAACTTTCGGGTCAAGAATGTACCACAAATGCTCAATCGGATTAAGGTCAGGGAACTGGGCAGGCCGTTTCATCACATTAATATCATTCTTTTAAAAATATTCCTTTGTTACTATGGCAGAATGTTTTGGATCATTGACTTGTTGAAAGACGAAGTTATTTCAGAATCCAAATTTACAAGCAGAGGATTTCAAATTTTGTTTTAAAATGTCTATATATATGAATTGACGTTTATTGCTGATTCAATGAAAGTCAATTTGCCAGCACCTTCCCATGCTATTGATCCCCATACCATGACATTTCTACCACCATGTTTTACTGTCTCTCTCCTGCAACTCAATTTGTATGCCAAGCCATGCTTTCATTAAACTTTTTGCTGTCCATCTGATGAGATTAGGTTAAATTTGGATTCATCACTTCAAATTACTTTCTTCCAGTACTCAATAGTCTTGTCAACATACTTTTTTGCAAATAATAATCTTCGTTTCTTATGTCTTAAAGTTTTGCAACATACTCTACTATAAAAACCTTGCTCTCGAATTTTATTTTGGATAGATTTGAACTGAAATTATGACTTTGTGGTGGTTTTTAACTTAGTCTGCAATCTTTTGCTAATCTTTTTTTCAAATCTATCTTGCTTGACTTGTAAGATAATGTTTCTATCAATAGCAGCACATGTTTTTCTTTTATGGCCTCTTCCTTCTATATCAGTTGTAGTCCCATTCAAATTATACTTTTTTATAATGTTACCGACTGTTCGAAAAGGGATTCCAGCCTGCTTATTAAGTTCTCTGTAGGTCTTACTGTTAAATACCATATCCATAAATAAGTTTCTTTAAGAAATCGTCCTATGTTGTTTTACAATGAGCATGTTTCTATAAATTAATCAATTTTATTCAATTAATCAAAACCCATGGATTACATATATATTTTACGTGTCACATGTAAATATCTAAATGTATTTCATATGTATATATAATTTTAGACTTGAACTTGCAAATATTTTATTTTTTTCTGTAAAAATTCAAAAAATACTAAACAAAATTTTTGTGCAAATAATTATTTTGCTTCCAATATGACACCTGCGCTCTTTTAATGTTTTTAAAAACAATAATCTTTTTGTAAAATTATGCACAAGTAGATACAAAAAACTTCATAATAGTAGTACTCTTTGATGTACATTTAACTTTTTATAGTTTTTAAAAAACATGAGTAAACGGAGAAGTTAAAAAGAAAAACTTTAGAAAAATTGCTTGTGCCATTTATTTTTTTTTTGCCTACTGTATATATATATATATATATATATATATATATATATATATATATATATATATATATATATATATATATATTGCTCTATAAATTAAAGATAACATATCTAAAAAAAGAAAATTCTAAAGAAAAAAAAAAAAAAATCTAAAATCTAAGTTCGAAAAACTAAAATTTGAAAAAGAAAATATATTTATATTACATTTTTTAAAAATTACAATACTATGCAAAATGTTTTGTAAGTTATTATAAATTATAAATATATTAAATACATAAATTATTAAGTTTAATTATTACTTTATTAAATAAAGTCACAAATTAATTCTATTGATTGTTTAATATTACCCTATTTTATTTAAATTATCAAAGAATATTATATGTAATTTCATTTTATGAATATGTAATTTTTAATAAATCTTTTCAACTTTTGTAATTTTTATTCTTTTTCTATCATTAATTTTATAAGCACATGTCAAAAAACTTTACAGCAAAAACAAACATTACGTAATATAACTCAAATTTAATATTGTAATAAAAAGTACTGTACATACGCACACACGCTATGTAGTTAGTGGACGTGTTTTTACTATTTTAAAAAATTTTTAAAAATTTTCTATTGTATTTACTTGCTTAAAAAAATGGATGAAAAAACTGAATTTGCTGAGTTAATAAAACGAGTCGAAAAAGTAGAAATGTTGCAAGAAGAAATTATCAAAGAACATCAAGAGAAGATTAAAATTTTGGAGGATAAATTAAGTTCAGTTGAAGTTGAAAACAATGCATTAAAGAAAAAGGTCGAGAATTTAGAAAAAATTCTACAATATCAGAAGAAAATCCAATAAAAAGTTTTAGTAGCCTTTTCAAAATGGCAAACAAACCTAATGTTCATGCAGTTGATGTTATTAGTGTAATGACAGTTAAGCAAAATGATAAAAAACGTAAAGAAAGAAATGTTGTTATATTTGGCATAATGGAGTCAAACAAACTTGACATTAAGGAAAAATAATTGGATGATAAAGGGGATTTTTTAAAGGTATTTGAGGAGATTGGTGCTGATAGCCTTAAAATTGCAAGAAAACATTGTTTTAGAAAAAACACAAATAATAAAAATCCTAGCCTGATATTAGTTGAACTTCGAAGCAAAGATGATTGCATTGCGGTAATTAAAACAGCAAAGCAATTGAGAAAAAGTAATTACTTCAAAAATATTTATATAAACTATGATTTAATGCGAACTCAACAACATTTTTTTGAACAATTATTAGATAAACTTAATCAACTTAATAACGACTTAGATAATAAAAATATAAAAGATTATAGATATGTTATAAAAATATAAAAGAATATAGATAGTTTATAATTATCCTGACTCAAACAATGTAAAACAATTTATTAAGTTTACTTAAGATTATCTGTTTGATTTGTCTGTTAAAAGTTTTGAAAACAAATATCCCTTATTTGAAAACAAAGTGCCGCATAAACCAAAAAATAAATTTAAGCCAGATTTGAAATCTGATTTAACTTGTTTTTATACTAATGCCACTTCATCTATTTTATTAAATAACAAAATAGATGAATTGTGTTACACCATTAAGGCATATTTTCCAAATTTAATCTGCATTGCTGAAACTTGGTTTAACGAATTTTCTGATACACTTATAGAAAATTATGTATTATATAATTATATATCCTTGTGATCATAAAAATGGAAAAATTGGAAGAGTGGTTGCAATTTACGTAAAAGATCAAAAAAACTCATATGAAGTCACACTGTCAACTATGAACTGTATAGATACCGAACAAGTTTGGGCTTGCCTAAATTTTGAAATCGAAAAAATTTTAGTAGGTTGCATTTACAAGCTGCCTAATTCAAATGAAATTACTAATGAGAAAGTTATAAATATTATAAAAAATGCCAAAAAATTGATTGAAAAAAAAATCTTTACAGATCTCATAATTACTGGTGATTTTAATTATAACACAATTAGATGGTTTTTAAACAAAGCATTACCAGTTGGCACTCAAGCTGAAAAATTTGTAAATTGTCTTGATGAATGTTTTTTAAACTAATGCGTTGTAAATCCAACATTTCAAAAAGCCACTTGTCATGAAACAAACATACTAGACTTAATAATAGTAAATAATGCCAATAGAGTCAAATGGATTCAACATAGAGCTCCTTTAGGTAAAAGAAATCAAGGTCATCACGTAATAACATGGCAATACATTATAAGTGAAAATTTTGTAAGCAAGAATAACACCTTTAAAAAAAAATTTAAATTGGGAAATTATCTTGAGATATCAAACTATATACACTCGATAGATTGGAATACCCTTTTCTTGAACAAAAATATAAAGATTGTTGTGAATTTTTCAATTATCATTACCAAACAGCTTATAAAAAATTTATTCCATTAGTAAAAATTAATCGTAATAACAGAAAAATATTTCTTAACAAAGAGATTATAAATAATATCAAAAAGAAGAATAAACTCTGGTCTATCAATAGATTTTCTTTATGAACGGATAGTTTAAAAAAATCCCAATATAATAATGCAAAAAGAGAAGTATATAAACAAGTTAAAAAAGCTACAATAGAGTATGAAAATTACATCTTAAAAATATTTAAAATATCTAAAAAAAGCAAAATCAGATCCAAAACTACTGCATAATTATAACAACAGAAAACAAAAAATTAAAAATTATTTAACATCAATTGAAGATTCTAATTTGTGCATCATTACGGACAAAAAGCAGATCAAATGAATATTTTCAATAAGTATTTATAGGAGATAAAGATGATATTTTACTAAAATTTGAACAAAAGTGTTTAAATTCACTTCAATTTATTAGTATTACCTAAACTGAAGTTATTAATATGATAAATGCTATAAACCCAAAAAAATCGGTTGGACCAGATGGGATTCATGCTTTTATATTAAAAGAATGTTTAAATGCTTTTTTTAATTCATTGACTTTATTATTTAACAAATCAATTTATGAAGGTGTAGTACCTATTTCATGGAAGACAGCAAAAATAACGCCATTGTTTAAAAATGACAGTAGAAATAAAGTTTCAAATTACAGGCCAGTTTCCTTGACTTCAATTCTTTGTAAAACTTTAGAACGTTAAAATATCTAACCAACTCTTAAATTATTTAAAGATTAACAATTTATTATTTTCTAATCAGCATGGTTTTACAAAAGGCAAAAGTTGCACAACTAATCTCCTAGAGTACATGGATATAGTAACAACAGATGTTGCAAATGGTAAATCATTTGATATCCTTTATACTGATTTCAAAAAAGCTTTTGAAGTTTCACATAGGAGATTAGCACTAAAACTTAAAGCATATGGCATTACATCTATATCATTGAAATGGATATTTTCTTTTTTAACTGATAGGAAGGAAAAAGCTGTACTTGGAGAAAGTGTATCATCATGAGTAGACATAGTAAGCGGTGTACCACAAGGTTCTGTGCTTGCTCCAATTTTATTTTTAATATACATCAATGATCTTTAAGTCAACTTACAAACCAAGTGTTGTTGTATGCAGATGGTAAAGTAATAGCTGAAGTTAATAATGAAACGGATGCACATGCTTTACAAAATGACATTTCTATGTTAGTAAAATAGGTAATAAAGTGGAAAATGCAATTCAATTTTGAAAAATGTAAAATCATGCATATTGGTAACAAAAATAAAAATTATTAATATATTTCATGGCTAACAATGATATAAAGCAAGAATTAAGTACAACTAAATTGGAAAAGGATCTAAGCGTATTAATTTCTAATGACTTAAAATGGGAACCAAAATCAAAATTGCATCATCTATTGCAAACTATAAATTTGGTATAATATGCAAATCATTTAAGTATAAAAATAGTGAACTAATAGAATTGTTGTATTGTTGTTATATATGGCCGCATTTAGAATTTGCAATACAGGTATGGAGTCCTTATCTTGAAAAAGATACAAATATATTAGAAAAAATTCAAAAACAAGTAACGAAATCTGTAACTGAGCTACGTCATCTATCATACAGTGAAAGACTAGAAAAAATGAAATTAACATCTTTAAAACAATGAAGAATACGAAGAGATCTCATTCAAATGTACAAATGGTATTATGATATAGAGAAAATAACTTGGAAAATACCCCCTCAACATTCATGCTCTTTAAATTTTTCTAGTTCGTGTTCAAACATTGGAGGTAATAAACATCATTTATTCACCGATAAGAAATATTTAAATTGAAATCATGAAGTTTTTTTTACAAATCGCACAGTCAAGTTCTAAAACAATTTACCAATTGAAACAATGAAAGTTAAAAATCTCAACTTATTTAAAGCTAAACTAGACTTAATTTACTATCATTAAATTTTTTTTTATGTCTGTAAAAGATTTAACATGGCATTAAATCTCAAAAGTATTGTACATTATTATTATTGTTATTATTATTATTATTATTATTATATATATATATATATATATATATATATATATATATATATATATATATATATATATATATATATATATATATATATATATATATATATATATTTATATCAGGCTTGGTCGGGAAGCAGGAGAATACTGACCACGGAAATTATATTTAGTCGCGTAAAACTGGCCAAGTTTTTTAGTCGTTTTGAGAACATTTAAGTTTATTTATGAAAAAAAAATTTTTTGTTTTACAGACATACATGGAAACATAAAAAACTTGAATGTTCCCAAAACATCATTGTGCGCAAGAATAAAAAGAATATTTGCGAGCACTAAAAACCCGCCAAATTAACGAACAAACTAATTCTATTAGTTCAAAAAATACGCTGATTAAGCGAAATAAAGTTCTAGAGTATTCTGTTGAAATGTTTTAGAATTTGTATTATTCACGATTTGTAACGTTTTGAGATTTCTAGAATTGTTTTAAGAATATATACTATTTGTTTACAAAAATAAAGGTTTTAAATTTATATTAATTAAATTGTTAAAATTTTAAAAGTTTATTATATTATTTATATTATATTATAGTATATTCTTATTTTTTATTTAAAAAGTATGTAATCTTTATGTAAATGTAGTTTTGTGTACCTGTTTTTTATCGTAATGTATCTTTTAAAGCAGTTTTTATGATTTAAATAAAGACTTACAAAAATAATTGCGTTTTCAATGAAGTTGTAATCGTTAAAGTTAATAAAACTAATTATGTAACAAACATATAAGAAGTTTCTAGATACTAAACACAAACAATGCATACAAAGTAACTCGCGGATGAACAAGCATCGCGCCTGAGGTCACGACAGAACACAAATATATATAGCAAATAATTAGATTAAAAAAAAATTTCTATGTATTGGTATACTAACTCTAATTATTTTCGCTTAAGTTGCCATTCTTAAAACTCGTTTTACTTTTTTCTGCTTTAAATACTAATTAAAATTAAAAAGCCCACTCACTAAACATTATCAGCGATATTGTGAAGCAGTTTCGCTTCCTAGTCATTAAGTATTTTTAACCTTTTTAGTTGATATCTATCTTGATAGTTTAATTCCTATAGTAATTCAATGATTTAATTATTTCATTTGTTTATCTTACTAAGAAGAATCGCTTCAAATATGTTAAACTTTTCAAACTACGCAAAACATAAAATAGGTATTGAAAAAATTAACTTTTTTATTTATTAAACAATTTAGCTCAAGTAAAACTAAAACTTGCAAACTTAGTTATATAAAGGATATTTGTTTCTCTTTTAAACAATCGTAAGTTGTTAATTTTATAAAAAAATTATAAAAGAGCGATGTTTCGAAAATATTTGTTCTAAATGTAATTTATTTAGCTTTAAGTTTTTTCGTGTTAGAAGATATTTTATTTGCCTATTTTTTTTTTTTTTTTGTAATTGTCTCTCATCGGTCCAATTAATCTTGGTCGTTTTTTTTTTTTTGCTTTTTAAAATAATCTCAAAACGACCAAAAAATCTGGCCAGCTTTTCGCAACTAAATATTAATTACGTGGTCAGCAATCGAGAGCGATGGCTCCCGCTTCCCGACCAAGCCTGATATATATATATATATATATATATATATATATTTATAGTCTTGCATGGTAGAAAGTTTTCTCCATAAACTGTAGTTTTAAAGAGAGCGTTAATAAACAAGTTTATTTAGTCGAAAGAGACTTTTTTTTACATTAAAAAAAGGGTCTTTTGACTACGAGATAAGTATATATATATATATATGTATATATATATATATATATATATATATATATATATATATATATATATATATATATATATATATATATATAAAGTATAAGCATTCAACTAAAATGGCAGCTAATAAAATAAGTTCCAATTTAACTAAATAAGCTTGAAAACTAATTAAAATGAATAAAATTGTAAAAAAAACAACAGATCAACATTTAACTATAAAGTTCATTTAAAGGTTGCAAAAAATTTAAACAACTTGAAATGACTTTCTTATTTTAAATATATAGTAAATAAAATTAAATAAAAAAGGATACGATTTAAAACTTGAGCAATATGTGTTTTGCATTCATCTTCTCTTTTGGCAAAATAAGACAGTGCTTGACTCCATAAACTAATATCTTTATCTCTTGAGAAAAAAAATATTTAAATATTAAATATTTAGATAAAATGCACACATTGACTGTAAATACATCAAAATATTTTCAAAAACTCATTTTTTTAACTGTAACTCAACCAAGAATGTTTGAACATTTAATTAGAATAAAGATCCATGTTATTTTGTTTATATTTTAGGGAAATTTAAAAAATACCAGTAAAACAATCATAAAAAAAACAACTCTGAAACATAAAATATGTTGCTTTTTTATAATTAAATGTTCATTTATTTATAAAAAAAACAACATATTTTATGTTTCAGATTACCCATTGACTTGCATTTTTTACCATTACCCATTGATTTGCATTCTACCAAATTGTAAGGGTATAAGTAATTGGCTTTTTTTTTCAATTAAATAAAGTTTCTTCAAAAACTAATATAATATTTTTAAACAGCTCAAAATTTTTAATCTAGTAATTTTTTATATGTTCCCTAATCAAAAAAATCAAAACTTACTAAAATTTAAAAGCAACAAATCCAACTATTTCATTACTACATAAACAAATTTTTAAATTATTTGAATCTGCCAAAGTTATCTGGGATAAACTTCAGTATTTTTGTAATTTTTTTAATTTTTTTTAACTAATATTAATTTTCAAACTGTAATAATTTTGAAATATTTTAGAAACATTGATATTTGAAATTTGCAGAACTAAATACTAAACATTAAAACTTATTAAAATATCAAAACACACACACACACCTAATTCATTGAAATCTTACATACCCATATTTATTGCAATCTGAAATAATATTATCATATTCTTTATTTTCCATATGATAATGCATAATTTGTTGAAACCTTAATAATTAATAAGAAAAATAAATTATAATATAATTAATATAATTATAATAATTAATAAGAAAAAATAAATTTGAAAAAATTCTAAATTTAAAAAAAGCTTACGACTTTGCTTTCTCATAAAGATACAAGATCCCTCGTTTAAAATTATTCATTTGTGCAAGTACCATTGCATGATCAAAGTCATATTTTGACTAAAATATTTGAAATTATTTTAAACAAACATTATTATATATATTAAATGAAAAATGCAAAATAGGCATTATCATTTTGGGATTTAAATTTTTATATTATAGATTTATATTTATAATATAAAAATAAATATATAAAAAAGATTAAAATAAAATAAAAACATTTTAAATATTTTAAAATCTTTGTATATAAAAAATTACTTCTGAACCAATTAAAAGATCTAAAGCTTTTTTTTCTTCCTCCATTGCTTTCTAGAAATAATATTATTAATCATTAATATAAATCAACATTGCTTTCTAGAAATAATATTATTAATCATTAATATAAATCAACATGGTATTTTCTTTGAGTAATTGAAGTATTTCTTTTTTTAAATATTTCAATTTAACAACAATATAAACAAAAATTTCTTTTGCCCTATTATAGAGAAATAATAAATATAAAGTTAATAATAGAAATAAAAACACAAACCTCAATGTTTTTTTGAGCATGATACATTGTTGCATCATGTAAATAAAGCTCTAATAATGTGTTGTATATTATTCCTGAGCAATCATTGCGCATCTATAAGATAAGAACTGAGCAATCATTGCACATCTATAAGATAAGAACTAGAAGACATCTATAAAAGTCTAGACAATATATAAATTAAATTTTTTTGAATAAAATATATTTTAAGATGTTCCTCTAGACCCTTGAACATTAAAGCATCCCTAATAATTAATATAATTACAGTCTAAAACCTAAATAATATTTATATATAATTACAGTCTAAAACCTAAATATATCATTACAAATATTACAATTTTTGTAATCATATCATTTTGTAATACATAATTTTTATATCTGATAATTTTTTTCTTATATACTATGTTTAATTTTATTTACTAAATTACTATTTAGTTAACTATTTTCACTGAGTTATAAACTTTATATTTATTTTTTTACATAATATGTAACATAAATTTTTAACAACATACTTTAACAATATACTCAAGAAAATCTTTAAGCTTTGACTTTTCATGTACAAATATGTGAATAAAATCAACTGGATGTGCACGCTGTACCTCTTGTTTTAATGCTTCAGCTACATCAAAAAATATTCTAATTAATAAAGATCAACTTTTAAATGATTTGTAAAAAATATTAGAAAATAAGAGCTTTTTTTTAAATTATTTTTATTATTATATCTATATCTGTTAATGTTGTTTTTACTTACTTCTGATGTATGAAACACTGGTCAAATTTACAGTAATGCTTTGAGAAAATAACCATATTTTTTTGTCAATTTTTATAATCTTATGTGTACCAAAAAAAAAGCAAGATTTGAAATTTTTTTGAATAAAATATATTTTAAGATGTTCCTCTAGACCTTTGAACATTAAAGGATCCCTAATATTAAAAAAAAAAATTAATCAAAATAAGTCAACATATTAACCAGGAAGTTCCTTTCTTCCTAATGTTGTTTATTTGGTATCAAACCTTGAACCATATTGTTTTAAACCAGCACTCTAACACAGCAATGGCTGATATCTTACTGAATAAGCAATTGCTGTGTTTTTTCATTTTGAGAAAACATAAAAAAATGAAGTTTGAAGACTTATCTTACTATGTTATTTTCAGTTCCATATATCTTAGGTTTGTAAACTATTATGATCTATTAAATGATAATTTAGTACGAAATATATCTTAGGTTTGTAAACTAGTATGATCTACTAAATGATAAATTAGTATGAAAATATTTTTTAGGAACTTTAATTATACATGCTGCATAGAATGGTGGAATGAATGTTCCTTTTGGACATCACTGGTTTCCCTCTTGTGCTCTAAATTTTGATTTAGGATCAAAAATAACGTTCAATATGTTGCTTATAATATGTTCAAATACTTTTGAGTTGAATTTAAAATCTTTTTAATTTTGAACAACAACCAGTAAGGGGATGAGCAGAAAAACAGAAACTTTTACGCTTTAGATTTACATCACATTTTGCCAATTATTTATTTTATAGGCTTTTCCGTAACATGCTTAAAAAATAAAAATGTATTTAATTTATTTAGTTAATTCTTACTTTGACAAACTTTTCAACCCTCAATCCTCTTAACCTTCACCACCCTGAGGCTAGCTTTCTAATCTTTGACTCTCAAAAAAAAAATTTCAACTTGAAAAAAATAAGAAAAGTACATATGGGGTAAGTAAAGAAATCAATTGAGAAGTTTTTTTGAGTTTTAAATTTCTAAACTCAATAATATTTTAAAACAATATTAACCAAGAATTCAAAATAATTTTTCTTTTTTCCGTTAATCAATAACTGTTTTTTTAGTTTAAATACACTCAAGTTCAGAAAACTCTGATGCTGATTCATCAGACCTTTGTGAGGTAGATCATTAAAAAATTGCTTGGCATTAGGCATGCAAAAATGTTTTAAAACTTGAAGGTAAGCATACTTTGTACAGCCGATCTTCAGTCTTTCATTGTACAAGGATGTAAGGGTTTTTTGTGATATTTGCTTCTTTTTTCCAAAAGGTTTTGATAAGACAACTCTTTCAAAAGGTCCATTCTCACAAAAATACAAGCATTCCCTAGGGAATGCTTGTATTTTTGTGAGACAAACAGGGAATTCTTTAACAGGGAATTCTTGGGAGAAAATAATTTTACAAACAGGGCGTTTCGGTATTAGACATTTGGCTTATAAAATAGTTTAATATGTTCAGAAAAACTTATTAAAAAAAAATAAGTGAGCCCCATTTTTTTCGTCGTAAGAAAATAAGTGAGCCCCATTTTTTTCATCGTAAGAAAAAAGTGAGCCCCATTTTTTTCATCGTAAGAAAATAAGCGAGCCCCATTTGATCACTGTGTTTGAAGCAATGTATATTAAATGTGTACATAGAAAGCTGTCTACAATAAAAAATATTGTTTGTAGAAACATTAGGACAACTCATATTTTTAGCAAAGTCAAATGCAAGAGCTACATATCCAGTTTTTGCATTACACATGCTTCTTTCTTTCTGGTATAAAACACCTCTACATTCAGCAAGTGAATGTAGAGGTATCTTTACGAACATGTATCTTTACGAGGATAACCAAAGCTAATGTTAAATTTTTCTACAAATATTTTCCTGGTAAAAAAAAAAGAAAGTAGAAAATTAGATAATATCCAATAATATTCTTAAAAAAAGTCACACATTATTTAAGTACCTGTAGCTCTCTTAATAAACTTTATTTATGGGAAGCACTTCTTGTACATATTGTATATTTTTGATAAATTAAGATCTTCTGGTAAATACAGCTTTATAGTGCCATGTAATGCATAATGACTTTTTCGTACTTTAAAAGACTTGATATGATCAATAATGCTATTTACAATATGGTCTGAAAAGGCTAGAGGTCGGTTTGTATGTTTTCCTTGCTGTTTTTTAGGAGAAACTCTTTAAAAACAAAAAATCAAATATACAAGCTTTATAATGTTTTATTAACTTAACTAAACAAACTATTAACTTTCAAGCTCCTGTAAAATCTTTTTTTTTGCTGTTGTTATTTTTGAGAGAGAAACTTTCTTAAAACACATTTGTTCATTATTTATTTTATTTGAATGACTAATTAGTAAATAAATAATAAAAAATGTTTATTTCTGTTTACTTACCAGTCTTAACAAAAGATCCTCTTATTTTTTCTATTCTTGATTTTCCAATTCCAAAAATTGATAAAGTAGCATGGATCTTTTTTTAAGATCAATGCTATTTTATCAATCAAAAAATCTTTTTTCTTCTTTTTGTCAACGTCTTCTTCGTTTAACACTAAAAATCTCAATCATTGAAGCAAGAAAGCTGTCTTGTTGATTTTTATTTTGCATTTTGTTAAACTGAAAAAGTAAAAAACTCCCTCTTTTCTACTGTTGTATTCTGGAAATACATATATCGTTTGCAATAACACAAAAAACCCATTGTATGCGAAGATAATTATTCATCTTATTCCAACTTGCGACCAAGTTTTTTTCATTTTTTGGAATTTCTGTACATCTGGGTTTTGACATTTATCTGCCATTTTTACACTGATAAAGTGTTGTTCTTTTTGTAAATTAAAATTTGATTGGGTGTTACGCAAATAGTTGTAAAAAGCACTTCTATACAGCGTGGACACTTCCGATTTACCCCTTGAATAATTTGGACATATCTGATTTACCCTTAATGACCCCTTTTTTCAAAATGAAATTTAGATATGATTTAACTTTTTTTTGATATCCATCTTTTAAAAGATGCATGAACTTACCTACAACATAGTAGGGATATTAACTCAAAAATTGTTAATATTTTTTCCCCTCCTTATAGTGTAGTTAAAAAAAACTTTTATAATAAAAAAAGTCTCTTTCTATAAATTAATGTGACTGCAACAATTAAGCAACAATTTAATGTTGTCTAAATGTTAAAACAATTAAAATAATGGAGTGCACATTAAGTTTTATTGTTTTTTAAAAAACCAGAAAAATAATGACTGGAAAGTTTTTTTAATTAATAGTGTTTTAATTTTTGTTTTTTCAAGTCAAATTTTTAAAACATGCGCAAAGTGTTGCTACATTGACTATCTAACACCCTCTATTGGTTGCCATGGTATATATATAATTATATATATATATATATATATATATATATATATATATATATATATATATATATATATATATATATATATATATATATATATATATATATATATATATATATATATATATATGTATATATATATATATATATATCAAATTTTTACTAAAGGGTATATCAAAATTTGAATATTAAACAATTCAGTAAAATAAAAACAATAGAGACAAAGACAAAACTCAACAAAAATTACATGCCATGTATCTGTTGATAATTTGTACACAATTCTTTTAGAAATGCAGTGGTTTTCTCAGTTTCATTATTTACTAATGTTTTTCCATACTTTCTTAAATTACTCTCAGCCTAAAGCGCAAGAAAAAATTACAGAATAAAATAAGATAAAAAACACACACAGATATATACATGTATATATATATATATATATATATATATATATATATATATATATATATATATATATATATATATATATATATATATATAAAACTGAATACTTAATGCTCAGAAGGCGATTGTTTTATGAAACACTGCTATAAAAATTTTTGTTATACAAAATGAGATTTTTAATAAATATATATTTTTATTAATCTTATTATAAAAAAAAAAAAGTGCAAACATGCAATTAGTCATTTTTAATTTATCTATAAATTATTCATTTATTTATTTGCTGTTTATGGCAAAACTAACAAAAAAATAATTAAGGTTTAGAGAAAAATAAAACCAATTACTAAGTACAAAAAAAAAAATTTTAATAGTTAAATACATAAATTATTATATGTTATTATACTATTATTAAAATAACGTATAAAATATTTTTATTAAAATAATAACAATAAAATAAGTACTTGATTCATTAAAAAAAAAGGATCTTTACAGTCAGTAAAATATAATTAATTTAAATAAGTGAAGCAAAAAAACTTAATATATTTGTCAATGAAGCAAACTAATGAGTTCAGGGTTGATAAAGCAGAAAAATTAAAGGTTTTTGATAATATGCATTAGTTATTTGATAAAAATTTTAACAACAATAAACTTAATATATACTCAAATATATTTTAAGTAGAAGAATTAATAATAAAATTTTTTAAATAAATTATTAACTTTTAACTATTAAATTATTGTTAAAAAGTTAAGTTATATAAACATTCAAAAATAAGAGGATTGAACTAGTTTTTTTTAACTTTAACAACAAATAAAGAAATGTATCATAACTGAGAAAACTAATTGAAATAATTTTTCAAAATTTAAATGATTTTATGAAATTTTAGTATATGCATTTTCTATACGAAATCCTGATTATTAGTCAAACCTTTTTTACACTCAAAAAAAAAAATTCTTTTAACTGGTCAACAATGACTAGCACAAATTCATTTTAGGAGGTAAAAATACCATTTCTAGTCATTTTGAGGATTCATTGACAGTTGACTGGCAATTGTTTTCCATGCTATATATATATATATATATATATATATATATATATATATATATATATATATATATATATATATATATATATATATATATAAATTTGTTTTTTTATTTATCACAGTGATTCATCAATAAAGACTCAGCAGAATTTTTTTTTTTTTAATGAATCTTCATTGATGAAACACAGTGTTAAATGAAAAAGAATTTAGCAAAGTGATTTTCTACTAATTTGTAATTGCTCTGTTCTTTTAAGAACATAGAGCACTCTTTTTGTGGAATAAATTTTAAATTGTTTATATATATATATATATATATATATATATATATATATATATATATATATATATATATATATATATATATATATATATATATATATATATATATATATATATATGTATATATATATATGTATGTATATATATATATATATATATATATATATATATATATATATATATATATATATATATATGTATATATATATATGTATATATATATATATATATATATATATATATATATATATATATATATATATATATATATATATATATATATATATATATATATATATATATATATATATGTAGGCTTCGGCATGCCTACATATATATATATATATATATATATATATATATATATATGTAGGCATCTTAGTGTTGATGTTTATCTTCCTTTAATTTGTAAAGACTCCAATAGTCGCATGCTTGGCCTGGGCATTTACATTAAAAAATCTTACTTAAAAATCACTTAAAAGATCACCCGTTTGTCAGGAAACTTGGTTTGAATCGACAGAGTAATTTTTTGATGTGCTTTCGTTTAGCACCACTTTACTCTATCGCCATTCTTTTTGTTCTATATTGTTCTCCTACATCTCAAGACAGCACTTTTGACATTATTTCTGATCAAATTGTTCAAGCCCTTTCTCTTTATCCATCAGCTAATATTGTTGTTGTCGGTGATTTTAATGCTCATTACACTAAATTGCTTGGCCCTAGTGTCAGTGATTCTGCAGTCATTAATGCCCGCAACTTTTGCCTTTTTGAATGGATAACTTTAATAAACAACTTTCCAATTCGCTTTCATCTTGAATCTAATATATTACATTCTGATCATCAATATGAATATCAATTTTCTCGTTCTACTACTGATTTGTAAACGGTAATAACCAATAGGTTTTATTGTGCATTAGATAGATGTGGAGAAGTTAAGGCTATCAATCTCAACATTTCTTAAGCCTTTGATAAAATAAGACATACTAGTCTTCTTTAAATACTCTCTTTTTTTGGTGTATCAGGTAACATCTTAAAGAATATTTTTACTTTACTTATAAATCGTAGTATAAAAGTTGTCTTCAATGGACAACACTCTTCATATCCTGTAACTTCAGGGGTTCCTCAAGTTGTAGTTTTAAAAAACAATGATCAGGAAATTAAGTTGGCAGCCTTAAACACAAATATTGGAGCAAAAGGTGATGTTGTCGCATATTTAAAAAAGAGTGTATAGCCAGGAATTTGGAAGTTCCACAATATATTGGTTGCCATCATTATGTGTTAGATTTGTGATTGAAGCATGTCATAGATGAAATTTTTGGAGGCAAAACATTGTAACCAAATATAAATTATTTTTTTGTATATTAACTTTACTTTTATCATAAAATGTTAAACCATTTCATGGTATCATTACATTACTTTAAAAACATTAATTATCTCCTATAATAAAAACCACAAAAATGACCAAACTTGACATGATTACATCTAACCAAACAAAATAGTTAACTTATTTGGTTGTCTATTTTATTTATCAAAACATTTTTATTATTAATCATAAAATTTATTATATTATCTTATTTTTAAGTTTCTCGCTTGAGCTCCAGTCTTATGCTTGTAATTTAAGCTTGACATGTTTTAATAACTTGGCAACCAGATAAATTCTTTTTTTAAAACAGCATTTAAATCCTGAACATCAAATATAACCTTTATAGAACAAAACTTCTTTAAGAACCATAATATTTTCAAACTATATAATTTTCAGAACTCCAATAATTTCAGAACTAATTTTTTTTAAATCTGAATTAATTTTGTAACAAAGTTCAATTAAATGATTATTCTAAAAGATTCCTAACCAAATTCTGTTTACCAATCCAATAACCAAGTAAAAACTGGGAGAAAAACGTGGGAAACGGTTTACACAAAGATCCAAAAATTCGTAGTTTGAGAATAAATACTAATGTTAAGCTATTTTGTGTGCGTGTTTATTAATAAACACATATTGTGTGTGTTTATTAATAAACACGCACAATATGTGTTTATATACGCACTTTTAACTCCAGCCCCTTGTACTAGAGTACCACCTGCCCCTTCATTTGTGAGGGCTATGCCTATCCTACTCAAAGTCAGCCATGATAGCTGTAAATGAATTGGCAAAATAATTTTTTTGAATTAAAATAAACTTTGTTTTTACTTTGTATTTATGTTGTACTTTTGAAATCATTATTATAAAATATTTGAAGAAAAAAAAAAAATTAGCCAAAACTAAAAACAAACAAACAAACTAATCACTGAGAGCAACACAGGATTGAAGGATTTAATTGATAAACTATGCAAAGCCACTAATATTCTAGTTCCTAATGCAACTTAAGGTAGAAAAGCTAATGCAAGATTGCCAGACTTACTAATTATAGCAAGAATATTAGAAAAGATTTTAGATGAAACCGTCCAATTAAAAAATCAAATAAATGAACTAAATAAGAAAAAAATTGCTACAACACATCATTGCCTAAATCCTCCGAACTTTGTAGTTAAAGCAACAACTGCAATAAACAATAACTTGTCAAAAAGAGAGAAAAATATAATTGATTACAGCCAGCAGAAAAAAGTGGTAGTCAACTTATTGCATGTAATTACAGGCCAACTTAGCTTTGGTGTACAGTTATAAGAAAACTAATAGAAAGTATAATTTGTGACTCCATGATGAAACATCTATTAAAAGTAATCATGGTTGATTTCTTGTGCAACAACATGGTTTCGTGTCAGAAAAGAGTTGTGTCACAAATTTGCTAGTGTCATGACTTTGTTAGCTTTACATAAAAACATCTAGTCTACATTCTATTTACTGATTTTGCAAAAGTATTCAACACTATTGCATGAACATGTTATCCATAAAATTAAATAGCATGGTTTTAATAATAAATTTGCTGCATGGATAAAATCATTTTTAGGTAAAAGACAACAAAAGTAGTATTTGATGAAAACCTGCCTGACTAATTAAAGTCCAATTTGAAGTGGTGTAGTACAAGGATCAGTACTTGGACCACTTTTATTCAGAATACTCATAAATGACTATCCATTTATAAATAACCCATTGTCAATTTATAAATAACTCATTGCACCAACATAGCTAACAGAATGTTGGTATTAAACTAATAAATTAAAATGATTTAATTAAACACACTTTTTAATTCTACACCATCTCAATTGCTAAAATATAGTATAAAGCCTTTGAAAAAATTCAAATTTTTTTTTTAACTCGAACAAGAACCCTCTTAAACTTATGAATCACAATCAAAAAAATTTAATATTACAACACTAGAAACTCATAAGCTAAAAGGAGATTTAATCGAGTGCTTCAAAATTGTCCACGGTTTAATACAAGTTAAATGGTGTACATCTAGGTCAAAATTAATAATAAAACCTGAGGAGTTAATGGAACAATCTGCATACAGAAGTAATCCCATTTCATTCAAAATGTAATTAATTAAAGCATGTTGTCCATTTTTGTTATAAATTATTTTAACTGTTATTTTGTTAAATTTCAGCAATAAATAGTTATTATTATTGTTGTTGTTATTTTATATATATATATATATATATATATATATATATATATATATATATATATATATATATATATATATATATATATATATATATATATATATATATCAACCCTCGGAATTATGAAAAATGAGGTCGGTAATAATTTACTGACCTTGATAATAGAGCTCGGCATCAGGTTGGAAAAAAAATTTAATACAATGGTTTTAACATAAAACATAGAAACAAGGTAGGCAAGTTTTTGCTGACCTCAATCACTTTAGGATAGGCAATTAAGTAGGCATTGCCGAATGCCAACCCTAATTCCGAGGGTTGATATATGTATATACATATATATATATATATATATATATATATATATATATATATATATATATATATATATATATATATATATATATATATATATATATATATATATATATATATATATATATATCAAGGGTTATTCTAGACTGTTTTCAACAGTGTCAACCGTATTTGGGCAATACCCAAATTAAAAAATGAGGACTTTTTTTTTATATATACATTTTTTATGGCAAATATTGTTTTTTTTTTCATGAAAAAACACTGATATTTGGCAATATTTCCTCGAGACTAGGGGTACCGCTACCCAAATTTTTTTCTTAGAATAGCCCCTGTATATATATATATATATATATATATATATATACATATATATATATATATATATATATATATATATATATATATATATATATATATATATATATATATATATATATATATATATATATATATATATATATATACATATATATATATATATATATATATATATATATATATATATATATATAATTAAATATATATAATTAGTTATTTTGAATAACAATGTTGATGACAACAAACTTGAACAAAATTCAATACAATCAAAAAACCTCTTGAAATGGAAGCGTGTGCATGTACTTTAATGCTGTTTCATAATCTTTTATATCTTCAAGCTGAATTTTAATATACCTTAAAAAGTGGAAAGAAATTTTCATTTTAAAGAAATCTTATTATTAGGTTACTTGTATAAAAATTTAATGAAACTACTAAATATAGTGTCTATATGTAATGTAGCTTATGTACAATGTAGTCTTTATACAATGTAGAATGTAATAAATGTTGTCAATTAAATCTAACGAACAATATATATGCAAAATTTAGGCAATAAAATTGCTTATAAAACAAATAAGACGGCCTGTATAACACTTAGTGGTTGTGATTTAATATTTACATTTGAGACTCATAGCATTGCTATGACTTAATATCTTGTTAAAAAAACTGTAAAATCAGTTCATCAAGGGTATAATAAGTTCATCAAGCTGCATTTAATAATTTAAACTTTCACTGTACACCATCACTGTACAATAATTGTCACTGTACATCTTGACTGTCACTGCACAACTTCACTGCTCACCATAACTGTCACTGCACAACTTCACTATCACTTCTCACCATAACTGTCACTGCACACCTTCATTGTCAATGCACACCAACATTGTCACTATGCACCATCACTATCACTGTATAATATTAGAATAACATTAAAAAAAAAATTGGATGTTACCATTCATGCTGTTTTTTCTTTTCTGCAAGTTGCAAAGCATGTTCAAAATAACCAGCTTGCCTGCATACCTAAAAAAACAATGTATAAAAATTATAAAATTAAAAAAATTAATATCTTTTAAAATTGTTATTACAGGTTAATTCATTTTTATATGCGCGCCTATTCACTTTTATATGCGTGCTTATTCATTCTTTCATGCGCATTTATTTATTCTTACATGCGTGTTTATTCATTCTTATATGTGTATTTATTCATTCTTATATGCCTGTTTATTCATTCTTATATACGTGTATATATGCGAATCAACTACTCATAAAATTTCTAATATAACTTTATATTGTTGTGAAATTTTAATATTAACATTAATGTATTTGTAATGATGCAGCCTTCGTGAAGGTATTGGAAAATTAAGCCAACGTAATTACATGTATTTAAAGTTATTAATATAATATTTTATGGTTCTGAATTTTAGATAAAAAAAGATGATATTTATAAATAATATATTCGCAGTCAAATGATAATAAAACAACTATAAACAAACAAGTGAATTCATTAGTGTCACTGCACAGTGTGCCCAGAACATAAAAAAACATTTTTTTTTTACATTTTATTTTTTAACTTTAAATAGTAAATTTATATTGTGTAGAACATATGTAGGTCAGTACAAAAATTTTTTTTGAAACTTATCAAACCATTTTGTTGTTATAGCTGTTTGAAGTTGAAAAAAAAGTGAAACAAATTATTTCTTAAAATTGTATCAATACTGTTCTTTAACAATAACTTTGAAGTGCTATACAATGAATTTAAATTTTTTTTCTGCTCTGCTCTGGAAATGATATTGAATTTGTGAACTGTTTAAAAATATAATTTATGTAGGTTTGTTCAGACCAAAAAAATTTTTAATTATGTTATTATATTTCATTGTTTAAACACAAAGTGACAAGAAAAAAAAGGCTGCAGGAGGTTACAAAAAAACTTAATTGTTTGATATAATATAGACTCTCTATTTTTATGTATAAAAATTCCACAGTCTGGTTATCCCCAGAAATTGAGTAATTTAAATTTGAACTTAAATTGTTTGTGCATGTCAATATTCCAGGTTGCATAATTATATAATCACTTTTTACAGACCATCCAAGAATACCTTTGATAACATAATAAAAAAATATATATATATTATTGATAAAAAAAGGAGAATTTGAAGAATTTTTACTAACTTTGAACATTGAATTCATTGGAAAAATCAAAGCTAATTCTAAAAAAAATCAAATTGAGATATAATCTAACTTTAAAAGGTGAAAAAGAAAACATCAAGAAAATTTTGAAGCAAATTGAAAGACATATACAAATATGTTCAAAGTTGAAACAAAATAAACTTGAGGTCAAATTGGATAAAAAAAAAAATTAAATTGCAGTCAAATTGGAAACTTGAGGTCAAATTGGAAACTTGGAGAAAGAAAGTTGGGATAAAACTGTCTGAGATTCCACCTGCAGAACTATCATCATCATCATCATCATCATCATCATCATCATCATCATCATCATCATCATCATCATCATCATCATCATCATCATCATCATCATCATCATCATCATCATCATCATCATCATCATCATCATCATCATCATCATCATCATCATCATCATCATCATCATCATCATTATCCATGATTGATATAAAAGGGGAGGGAGCTAAACAGGCTGAAAGAGGATGAAAATCAAAAAGACTTCATCCATCATGAACAGTGTTATCAAAGATACTGTCAAGTCTCTGCTTGATACATCCAGGTTTTTTTAAAAGAAAAAATCCAAATTCACCACCTACATTTACATTCTGTACATGTAGAGGGTAAATTTGGACCTTATGGTTCTGAAAATCACAACTCTTGCCATTAGTTTTCTGATCCTCAAACTACCCTATCGACACATCTAGTTTCTTTTTCGGAAATAAAACCTATATAGGCACGTGTTTTTTACGATCCAGGCGTAAACCAAAAGCACGTGTATATTACGGGCAGTTTTACTAGAGTTTAACACGTGATTTTTGAGGTTTTAAAGTCAAATTTAAATGTCGCATATTTTTATCAGTGGTTTCACATTCCTTACGGAAAGTTATTAAAATATAATACTACGTTTCCTTAAAGGCGAAACCATTAATACTTTAACTGGTATTTATGGTAAATAGTAATAGTTAATTTCACAGAATAAAAACCATATAGGATACGTGTTATTCTTTTTGTTTTAGAAGGTTTTAAAAACGCAACAGAAACCAAGCGTAACTGTTTTCTGAGTTGTGCCGGCTGGGTATAGACTTGAAGGGGACAAACTATATTTGTTCCTTTTGGTATCCCCTTAAAATTAAAGATTCAAAAAGCCAAGTAATCTGGACTAATCCAATCCCATTAATTTTTGGCAGGCCTGTTATTCTAGTCAAAAGAAACTAGGAAATTATAAAGGAGTATTTAAATGAAACTCAGACTATTCTTTTAGAAAATGGTTTATAAATATTTTTAAAAACAGAGGTAAGTATGGTTGGTGGTAAAAATGGTAGATTTATTGGTAGGTGATTCTGGAGCTTTTTATCACTTTTGTAGTTGTTCCAGAAGCAATGCCAATGATTGGGGAAGGTGGGCGGCAGCAGACTATTTTTCAAAATATATATATATATATTTTATATAATATATATATATAAATAATTATATAATATATATATAAATAATTAACAGAGTTATAAATTTTTTCCTAAAAATCACATTCTGGGCACACTGTGCACTGGGAAACATTTAATAATTCCCCACAATATAAACAATAAAAAGGCTTTTATATATATATTTTTTAAATATAAATTAGGTTGTTGCCACTGCTATTTATTTAAAAAATGATTGCCGAATCAGCGCTGGATTTATGTAACTACGCATATGGTTGTAAAATGGAATTAAACTAAACTCTGTAGTATCCATAATATTTTTAAGTTTACTGATCACCCTATCTGTATTTCGAGGCATTTCTCCCTGTTTGTAAGTATGCTTTAAAGAAGAAAAAAAATTCTTCTATTGGATTAAGCTGTGGCGTGGCAGATACTTAATAGCTATGCCATGAGAGGCTAGTGTTTGCCTAACAGAAAGACTCCAGCGGAATTTACAATTGTCCATAACAACCACTGGTGCATTCGCTGGTGCCAACATTGTAGTTATGAAAGTGCAAAAAGAATCTGCATTCCAGCCTCCAGTTTTTATTTTATAAGCCAGCACTCCCATCATTAAAAGAGCACAAAATAAACTAACATTCTTGCCACGATTTGGGTACGACTGTAAAATTGCTGGCACACCTCTAAGTGAATAACCATATGTGCTGTTAGTGTGCACATTAAATCCAGTTTCATCCAAATAAAAAAGTTTTTCATTTGAAATTCTGTTAAGTTCGCTTGCAAATGCATAGCGCGCATTAATAACTCGTGTTGAGTTTTGTTCTTCTGGCACATGCACAACACACTTTCTTGATAAATCCAAGCATTTGAGTTTTCTTAAAATAGTAGGCTGAGACATGTTGAAGCCTGCTGCAGAAAGATTTTCTTTAATTGCTTCTTGCGTACAAAGATTGTTTTCTTGTATGCATAATTTAATAATACTTTTTATTTGAGGGTTTATAGGTCTTTTACCTAGTTTTTTTGATCAGAAAACGACTTGAATGCACTTATGTCATCGAATTCTTCTCTGTTTAACTTAACGACAAGATTTTGAACTGTGCGCTTAGATAAATTAAGAGAAGTGGAAATGCTTATTGTAGATTCATTCTTTTCAACTAAATGCTTAAGCATTTCAACGTGCTCTTTTGTAACATTTTTCCTTGTTTTACGATTGGCACTGCTATTTTCTCTTCCACCCATAGGGTAAATATTTGATATTATTAATGATTATAAATAATTAAATTTAAATCTAGATAAATGAATAATCAGATAAATAATAATTTAATCATTCAAGAAGTTTAATAATAAAATTAATCAAAGAACTAATACTAAATTAAATAAACCATCATCAAATGTAAAAAGTCTTCGCTTATTTATAACTATTAGTATTTATAACTTTGTTTACCAGGAAATAAGAAAAATTTGATTTAAAAAAAAAAATTGTTTTTTTAAAACAAATTACTTAAATAAGCTTTTTTTAAATGCATATAAGAATGAATAAATACGCATATAAGAATGAAGAAATTACTTGACAAGACATGTATTAATACCCTTAAAATTACCAATAGCAGAAACCCAAACAGATTCCAATTCGTTCTAAATACCGCAACCACTACAACCTATAAGCAATTGTTTGTTCCAAAATACCTACATATTCTTCGTGATGGTGTCAGTGACCGCTACTTTTATATAAATGATCAGTTCTTTTTTCTGCATTTTTACTTTCACTTATTTAACAATAGATAATAGTGTACAATTCATTATTTGTAATGCTAATCAATTTTAAATAAAGAACTATAAATAAAAAAATAAATAAATAAATACGCATATAAGAATGAATAAGTGCACATATAAGAATGAATAAAAAGCATATAAAAATGAAGAGACGCGAATATAAGAATGAATAACCTTGTAAAAATAAATATAACTGTTGAAAATATTAAAATTTTATCTTTAAAAATTCAAACTCTTTAATTCCAACATAAATAAGAAATTATAATAAAAATTTGCAAAATAATAAATAATAATGAAAGTTTATAGTATTTAAAGTAATATCTCTATGCCGAAATATAGAAATATTGCAAAACAAACAAATCACCTTAATGATAAAAATAAATGTTGCAAAATATACTAATCACCTTAATAGCTGTTTCAACATCAAAGTTGAGTTCTTTATCTGTCTAAATGAAAAATATTTCAACATCAAAAATAAGTTTTATATCTGTTTAAAAAAATATTTATTGTTTAGTGTAATCAGGTGTACCAATATGAAGTGAACGCTAAGATACAATTGTGTCAATAGGGAACATTTGTTGTGAGCTTTAATTTTTTTACTTGTTTGATTCAACATCTGTCAAACATTTAACATGCATCAAGTCATTGAACATCAACATCATATTTTTTTTATCATGTTAAAAATGTATAACTTTTTACTAGAAAGTGATGATTTGTGGAAAACATTTTTTAGATTTCATTTGAATATAAAGTGCTGTAGAGTTGCATCAAATGATGTCAAGGCATATGGTGATTATGCTCTACCAAAAGCAGCATGCAAAAGATGGTTTCAACAGTTCAGAGAAAATGATTTTGATGTGAGAAATGAAGAGCATAAAAGACCACCACAAAATAAGTCAGATTGAAAACCAAAAGAAAATCAGTTTTGCATCAAATTGTTACTGGGGATGAGTAATGGACTTATTTTAAGAATTGTAAATGGAAAAAAATCATGGGATAATCTGGGACAACCATTAAAGTTGATTGCAAAACCAGATTGATTGAAAGAAGTTCTCTGTGCTAATAGTTGAATGAAATTCTCTATGATTGAAGGAAATTCTCTGTGTGGTGTATCTAAAACCTGGTGAAACTGTAAATACTAAAAAACAATCAATTTGAACCATGATCAAAAAATGACCAATATGGCCTAGAAAACATAACAAAGTAATTTTGTTACACGACAATGCACCTGCACACAAAGCAAAAATGGGTCAGGATACAATCAAAGCACTTGGCTTGGAGCTGCATCTTCACCAGCCATATTCACTAGACTTGGCCTGTTCAAACTACCATTTTTTTCATCGATGCACAGTGAGCCATGGTGTGCTAAAAGTCAAAATTACTTTTATTCAATTTTTGTATAAAAAACTACTATTCAATGAACGTAACATATTGATTTACATAAAAACATAAGGATTGTTGATCAAAAAATGCGCCTTCACCAAAATTTTTTAATTTTAAGTTGTCACCCTGAACAATATTTTTGGCAGTCAAGCGCTTTTCTAAAAAGTTTAAAAAAATATTTTTTTAATATGTTTTGCCATTTAATGTTAGGCAATTTATATTACTACGAGTTTGAATTGTAGTTTTAATACATATATTGGCTATCTATTGGCATTTCTGTTTATCTTCTTGAACATATTTAACTCATTTTATAATCAATCATAGATAGTGTGTTTAATGGTTGAAATAATTGCGTTTATTTTTTGCTAATACTATGCTTATAATTTTTCGGCTATGTTTGGCCAGGGTCTTTATAGCTGATATTTACTAAAAACAATATATTTAATGAGTTAAAAACAGTTTTGGTTGCAGATACTTGCAGATGTAGAATATGTAACTAAAACATTACACAAGATTTTATACCGTGATAACTGTCAATAAAACATTTTTTTTATGTTACTCTATATTATTGATTATACATAAACCCTATTTAACATATATTATATTAGACTATGCAATATATATATATATATATATATATATATATATATATATATATATATATATATATATATATACACATACATATGTATATAAATATATATATATATGTGTATATATATATATATATATATATATATATATATATATATATATATATACACATATATATATATATATATATATATTTACATAGATATGTATGTATATATATATATATATATATATATATATATATATATATATATATATATATATATATATATATATATATATATATATATACTTTGAATTTTGGTGAGTCCTCTTTGAGATCTAAGTGTAGAAAAGTTGCTGAAATGGATCAATACTCTGCTAGCCAACTATTATTTGCAACTAAAGTCAAATTTGTAAAAGATAATCAGCCTAAAAAATCTAAATTAGCAGAAAAATTGTTATTGGATACTATATCCCCATCTTATATGTCTGGTGAAGAAGCTTTAGCCCTTATTTTAGATTGTAATTTAACAAAAGCATCTTATCAACTGATGAAAAACAAAGCTGATGAAAAGGAATGCAATCTCTACCCAGCATATAATAATGTTAGAATGGCAAAAGATCGATGCTATCCTAAAAATATATGTGTAAGTGATTATACTGCTAGTGTTCCTCTTCAAGATCTACTGGATCACACTAAAACAAGACTTTTGGAGACACAGACTGGTGTTGTAAATGCAAATGAGTATAATAGAGTAACTCTAATATACAAAGCTGGTTTTGATGGCTTAAGTGGGCATAGTATTTATAAACAAACATGTAATGATAATGAGTGTACTAGGAATCTGAAGAGTGAAGAATCTCTGTTTATTACATGTTTTGTACCTTTAGAACTCTCATCTATTGTTAATGATAAAAAGATTATTCTTTGGAGAAACTCTAAACCATCATCTACTTTGTACTGTGGACCTTTGCGATTTAAATTTGTAGGGGAAATGAATGATATTGATAAGGTATATAGAAAAAATATTGTACATATAAACTAGTAGAAAATCACTCAACAAAATTTTTTTATTTAACACTGTTTTATCAATAAAGACTCATCAGAAAATGCATCATTTCTAATGAGTCTTTATTGATGAAACACAGTGTTAAATGAAAAATTTTTGTAAAGTGATTTTCTAATTTAATTTATCATTGCTCTGTTCTTTTAAGAACATTATTACATTGTTACTGAAGTTGCACACTCAATTACAATATGGGATTTCAATTCTACATGCATGGATACAAACATTTGAATGCTTAATCCATATTGCTTACAAATTGCCAGTTAAGAAATGGTCAGCAAGATTACCAGCTGACAAGCAACGAATCGAAATGCAAAAGAAAAAAATTCAACTTGCTTTTCAAGAGAAGATGGGACTGATTGTCGATATGCCTAAGGCTGGCGGCTCAGGAACATCTAATGATGGCAACACCTCCAGAAGAGCCTTTCAGAATGAACAACTGTTTTCTGAAATCACAGGACTCAATTTTGAACTTATAAAAATGTTCCATGTTGTTCTGACGTATTTCATGTGGTTTTGAGCTTGATGCAGTTTTATTCAGGGAATACTGTACACATACAGCTAGGTTTTACATGGAGTGCTATTCATGGTATTATATGCCGCAGAGCATTCACAAAATGCTAATTCAAGCTCCTAGTGTTGTTGATTACATGACATTACCAATTGGGCTCTTAAGTGAAGAAGCTATAGAGGCTCGGAATAAAGATTTTAAAAAGTATCGTGAGCATTTTACATGCAAGTGTGACTGTATCAAATGTAATGAAGACTTATTTAAGCAATTATTTTGATCTAGTGATCCAGTCATTTCTTCACTAAGAACAATAGTTAGTACTAAGAAGAAGGTTTTGCCAGAAGGTGTACTGCAACAGTTTAAAAACAGTGTTTAGTTGTTCTTTTTATGGAATTTTACAGGCTAATTTTTGGTTTCTTGCTTTAGTTATTATTAAAATTTAAATTTATGCATTGTAAATTAAAATTGTTAGTATTCTATAATTAACATAAACAAAAAATTTCCCACATACATTTATTTGGAACACCAGAGCATTAAAAATCCTATTTTTTTAATAATTTGCAGTAAATAAGTCAAGAATTTATATAAAATTGACTGTCACTATAAAAATATATAAGATGTTGCTACGCATAATAAGGTATCCATAGCAACCAAACTAAATACCATAATATAAAACGCATACCTCGTATTGGTACTCTTACCAAATTTAGTGTGTATGACACAAAAACAACTACAAGTAGGTTTATGCTAGGCCAAAATAAGTATCCATAGCAACCAAATTAAAAAAAAAACACCTTTATAAGAAGCGCAGACCTTACACTGGTGCTCATGCAAAATTTAGTGTATATAGCACACATAACAAATCTGCAACTACAAAAAGTAGGTCGTTGCTATGCAAAATTTTGGTTGCTAATTTTGGTTCCATACAGGCTTGAACAGGAATGGCGTGCGATCGCACTCTGTAACTGACCACGAAATATTTTTATTTCTTTACAACTTGACCACGGCTATTTTGATGTTTTAACAATTTGAATGCAATAAAAAAAGTGTTACGTTATAAATATCTTTTAATCGTTGATCTTTTCTAAAGTTATTTATTTTACGAAAAGGTTTTAAATAAAACCATAATATTAATTATAGTTATTGTTTACATAAACGCTGGTGTAAATTAACAAAAAACGTTACATATAAGTTTTTTTTATGTAGGCATGATAAATTTAAACGTTTGAAACTATTTTTTCATGTCTTCCCAAAAGATTTTTAAACCATTATTTTTAGAAAGAATTTTTTTAAGTTACTTTAATTTGTGAATAAGTTCAAAAGCCTTTGTGACTACTAGCTTTTACACATTTTATGCGAATTACTCAAGAATATAAAATAAATTTATTTACTTATAAGCATGTATTTTGTTGATTAATGAAAAAGTTTTAAAGCATTTTGTAATGTTTATATGAATAATTTCTTTAAACTTACGATTAATTTGATTAAACTAACGATTTTTTAAAATGTTTTAAATAAACATTTTATTTTTTGTAAACATTTTTTTGTTTGTTTGTTTAGGAATGAATGAGTTTAAATCATTTATAATAATTTTTAAATTCATTGCACGAAGCGCTTATTGATAAAGTTGTAAAGCTCAAATTAAAATTAAATTAAAATTAAAATTGGCAGTTTATTTTATTTAAATCACAAGCGCATTTTATTTATTTTTCTATTTTTATGAAAAAAAAAGTTGAAATCCTTTTTTTTTTAATAAGACTTACTAATTAGAGCATGAATTTAGTAAAAATTGCTATTTTAAAAAGACTACATTATATTTAAAAAAATTTTTTTTGCAACTTTTTCGTAAAAATAAATGTTTATACAATTTAAAAGAATTATATACAACACTTTTTAATAAATTTATTAAAATTTGTTTATTTATTAAACCAATCATTATTAGTAATTTATTACTTAATTTAAAAACGTTTTGCATAACTTAAATACCGTTTAAAAAGATAACGTTTATTTCATACGTAATTAAAAACGTAACAAAAAGTTTCACTTCGAGTTCAAGTTTTTATTTTCATTTTAGTGCTTTTATAATTTCTTTTTCGTTATGAATTTATTTTTCGTTAGTTTTTTTTTAATTTTTTTTCCTAGTTTAAGTATAGCTTAGCGTTTCTACATTCAGAGCATTTCTGAAATTTTTAAATCATCAAAACATATAAACAATCGTGGTCAAGTTGTCAAAAAATAAAATCATTTGCGTGGTCAGCAATAGCGCTCGATCGCACGGCATTCCTGTCCAAGCCTGCCGTAGCAACCAAATAAAAAAAAACACCTTAATAAGAGGCGCAGACCTTACACTGGTGCTCATGCCAAATTTAGTGTATATAGCACACATAACAAATCTGAAGCTACAAAAAGTAGATTGTTGCTATGCAAAAAAATAGGTATCCATAGCAACTAAATAAAAAATAACACCTTTATAAAAAGATCTAACCTTATATTGGTACTCGGGCCAAATATAGTGAATGTAGCACTAATATTAAATTAATTATTAATTTTGTCTTAAAATTGGCCATTCTGGCTTACTGTGCGATGGGACATGTATTGACTGAGCAATACTTCAATTCAAATTGAGAAGTTGAAAATTGGATATCTGATTGGTTTGCTTCAAAAGATATTTCATTTGTGGATACCACATCAAATTTCTATTTGCATGTTATTCACAAATTATCAAAAAGGTGATTAAATGTGTAGAAAGCAATGATCAATACTTTGAATAAAATGTTTTTTAATTTCCATTCAAAACTAGTGTTTCATTTTCACAAAAACGCTCACTGTACACCTGGTATAATGAATTATGTTGCTAATCATAAAAGAATTACAAATAACAAAGATACAAATAACATAAGCTAAGCAAAAATAATTGCAACAATTTTGAAACTTTATGTAATATGAATTCTTATATAATTTTGATTTAACCCAAATTTAACTTTGGCACCTAGTTTTTATAGCAAATTACCATTATTTTTCAAAACTTGGCAAATGAACAAATTTTTAAAAAAGATATTTCTGGAAAGCAGATTTTGAAACTTCTTTGGAAATTTTTTTTAAAAGTATATTTTTAACTGTTCAAACTTTTTACATAAATAACAGATAGACAATAAATTTATATGTTTAAAATAAATATAAATAACATACTAAAAACATTTTATAGTACAAAAACAAAATCCAATCAAAGTTAATTTAAAAAATAAATTTATTGTTAACTTTAGTTTTGAAAAAAAAATTAAAGACAATATTATTAACTCATAAATACTCAATAAGAAACAAGCTTTTTGCTTCTGCATTTGTAAACTTCATTTTTAAATTTTAAAATCATCTTAATTAATACTCCAGCTGTCAGTTTTATTATTTAAAAGGTTGCAAATGTGTTCATCAAAAAATTTTGTTTTCATACCAAATCAAGCATCGCTCTGACTATAAACAGCAAATTTGATCAGTTTTTATTGAGCTATTTTAAGTTAAAATTCCAGTACAAGTAAAAAACTTTTATTCTTAATATTAACTTTTGGTTCATTTACAAACTTTATAGAAATTTCAGTGCTTCAACATTTTTTTACTTTACTAAAAACAACAAACTGTTTTAGTGCTTCAAAATTTTTTTCACAATAAGGTAGTTACTTTATATAATTGCTAAATACTTGTTTTTATGGAAACTAAAAACTTTTTTTGAATGTTAGCAGGTTGTAGCATCATATGAAAATGATTAAACAAAACTTACATTTATAAAACCATTAAGTTTATCAACCGCTTTGAGCTTTGTATAACAATTTATCAAGAGAGTTGTGTGGTCAGTGTTTGCTAGTCCTTTTTCATGTAATGCCTAAATTAATTTAAATGTAAATTTATAATAATTAAGAAAACAAAAACCAACAAAGGACATAACAAATAAAGAAAAAACAACTAAAAAAAAAACAACTAAAGGAATATTAAATTCAAAACACACTTCTCCTTTTATCTGAACATAAAACATTAAAAATATAGTTCAAATAAAAGATAATAAAATATAAGTTGAAATTATTTGTTATAAACCTCAATATTAAACAAAGAAAAAAACTTTATTTTCATTATTTGCTTACTCTTTTTTTTCTAAATATGAGAGTCTTTATAAAAGCACACACAATTTTTTTGAATTTTTTTTTATTCCCAACAAGGCTGCAAGCAATCACTAGTTAAGTTAGGAGTTAACAGAAAATCAAACAACCAATAAGCAAGCAACCACTAATTAAAATTGGAGTTTACAGAAAGCAAAGAAAAGAATTTAAGAAAAATGAAGAGCAAGAGAAGAAGAGAAAGAAAAAAATGAGAAAAACTGTAAAATGTGTCAGGAAAACATGAAGGCGAGAGCGAATTTCAAAGCACTGAAGTTTGAGGATTAAAACTAAATGAATGAAAGCTTTGAACGCGAAGAAGCAGTTACAGTAAAAAATGTAACTAAGCTAAATAAAAAGTCATCCGAATTTGAACAAGATGGTACAGAGGCTCAAACATAGCAGCTAGAGTAGGTTAAACATCTTTAAGCATTGCTTAAAAGAAAGAGGGTCTTATAAGAACAATAAGTCTATGAGAGGTTAGTTGTGAATTATAATTCTAGAAGATGTAAAGTAAATAAGATTTAGTAAATAAGATTAAGCTATCATTGTAAAACAGATTAGCTGCCAGTTTTATGTGACCAAAAAAATAATGAAATTTTGTCAGGATTTAAGTATATAGTTGTGTAATCAGTATAAAGTAATACTATCAGGAAGATCATTAATAAAGAACAAGAAAGGCTCAAAGATGGAACCTTGTAGTACCTAAAAAGTTATTGGAAAAAACAATAGTTACAAAAACTTTATCAGATTCAACATTATTAAGAAGAACAGTATGCCAGACTTATCAAAATCCTTTGATATATCAAGAACAATAGTCATTTTCTAATTGCTTTTCATCTTATGCCAATAAAATCTTTCTGTTTTAACAGTTAACAGAGTATATTATTTTGTCTGAAAGTAAATTTCTTACTTTAGATGAGATATTAAAAGTTTGTTCATTAAAGATTCAAAAGCTTTGCAAAAAATAAAAAGAAGACTGACTGGGCAATAGTTAGAGGGGTCACAGAAATTACCAGAATTTTTATAAATTAAATTACATGAGGCGTTTTTTAGCAGGCAGATAAATAAGATTCAGTTAACTTGTTAAATAATTTAGAGAGTTATGAATTGATTTCTTGAAAACACTTTTGTAAGACTATCACAATGTTGTCTCATCCACAAGCTGTAAGAGTCTAGGTGTGAAGCAACTTTAGCAATGGAAGCAGGAGTAATTTGAAGTTTTTATAGTGGATGACTGACTTTACTTAAAAAGATCATAATAATTCCAACACATTAAAAGTAAAGGGTTTAAAAGATTAGAAACATGTATGTATATATGTATTTATATATATATATATATATATATATATATATATATATATATATATATATATATATATATATATATATATATATATATATATATATATAAAATTAAACAACAAATTTATTTCAAATATAAATTAAATTATATCTGAAATAAAATTTGATTTAGCAATTTGAAAAATAAGAAAAATAATTTAAAGTATGTAGTGTAATAAATTAATATTAATATAATTTAAAATTTTTTTACTTCATCTTTTATTCAGGAGTAACACAAATCGTTTATTAATCATGAATAAAAAAGAAAATAATGAACTTTAAAGAAATACCTGCAAATAGTCAGTTAGGTTGTGTATTCGCTGTGCATCTAAAAACTAAAAATATATTATTGAAATGCTTTAAAATTTTTTCCTAAAGTAAAAAAAACAAATTAAAAAAAAAAATCTCACATTTTTAATAACATATGAAGGTTCCAAATGACCAATGGTGCGAATATACTGTTGCATTGCTCCATCATGGTCACGCTTTCTAAAGTACAGGAGCTAGACATGAAGGATTTTTATTGAAGCAAAATTTTATTTTTAGCTTTTTTTCTTTTATTTAAAAAAAAATTGTATGGATTCCAATCAATATTTTAAAACTGAAAAAAATATATTAGGAAAATATATAAATAAATATTTTTTTAACTGTTTTTAAACAAAAATTTAATTGAGGAGAGGTTAAAAATAATTCACATGCATGTTATTAATTAAATTACAAAAACTGAAGTTTGAGTAAAATATTTAAAAAAATTTTAGATGCTTAACTATTTTCCGACTTAAACTTTATTTTTAGCTTATTGAAGTTTTTATAACACAATTTAGTTTTTTGAACAGTATTAATTAAATATAAAAAAAGTTCAATTGAAAAGATTTTAACAATTTATTACCACCTAATGCTTAAACTTTAATGAAATTAGAAGTTCTAAATTAAAAAAAAATTTATGTTAATCTTTAAAATTTAATATGATAAGTAATACAAAATTTCTTACAAAATGTTTTTTTCTACATAAAGACAAAAAAAAATTAAAACAATTAAACTTGTATTAAATTGTAGATTTATTTTGAATAAATTATTTTGCTTGAATTGTGTTTAACTTTAGAGCTTTCAAAAAATGCCTGAAATCACAAGGAATCTAATTGACTATTTTCATTTTTACTTAGTATTGTAGGAATTTGTGTTTACACAAAGAGGTTCCCATGATTTATGTGCTTTTTGGGCAAACGTAACTTTTGGAACATTGCTTTCTTTTTACTTTACAAAAAGAACTGTTGGTTGTTTCCACACCTAATGTGAGTTGACACTCCCTTGTGTCAACTATTTATTTTTTATATTTATATTTTGCTTATGAACAAAACTGTCATACCTTTTATTTAAATACATAAAAGAATTAAATCAGGATATAAAAACACTTTTTTTTAAATAGCAGCTATTAGAAGCATTTCTACAAAGACAAGTTTATTCTTAAATTGAAATTAATTAGGTAATAACTCTTGTATTAACTTTTATTAAAACATGAATAAACATTAATAAAACTGCACATTATAGCAGTGTATTTATGTACAATAAGGATGAACTAAAAAATGTAAACTGCACATTATAGCAGTGTATTATGTACAATAAGGATGAACTAAAAAAATGTAAATCAATGCGTACCGGATGTCAAATAAATGCTCGATTAATTTTATTTTTACCATAAATATATATAATTTTAAATTAAATTGTTTAACAATACTAAAACCTAAAGACAGTATACAGATAGTCAACAGACGTTTGAAATTCTTAATCAGATGTTTCCTGATAAAATATCGAGAAGAAATTCTTTGAAGATACAACACTGATGGGTATGAATCAGGTAAACATAATGAAAACAAGTTAGTTAAATGATTACTAAAATGCATCAAAACTGGATTAACCATGCTTGGTATAGCTATTAGTTAATGTACAAAATATTTAAATTCTAACTATTTTAACAAAAGTTAAAATAGTTTTTGTCTTTAAAATTGTTTCAACTCTTACAAAAGCTAACTAACAGTTTTCCTTATAAAGATTCTATGCGTTAATTGGAGAACAATGAAAAGCTACGAAAAAAGTGCTCCAAGTAATAAAAAAAGTAAATCCCATTACCAGCTATTGTTTTATTTTTAATGTTCATTCATACTTTCCTATCAAACTTCATGAGTTTTGCTCTAAAAATGGAATAATTATTGTTGTTTTGTTTTTAAATGAGATATATCTTTCAACCACTCGATGTAGCTGTTTTTGGGCCAATGAAAGCAAAGTGGAAATATTTTGGCCAAAAATGGCACATTTTAAATGAAACCAGAGGCATTAAATTCATTTATAATCAATCTTATTAAGACAAATAATATTAAAAGTGGTTTTAAAAATACTGAAACTTTTTCATTTGATGCTTATAGTAATAATAATTTAAATAATAATTTGTATAGTAATAATTAATATATACTATATAGTATTATTTAAATAATAATATATAATACCATAATTTGACACAAAGAGGTTACCATAAAATATTGAAACAAGGCTGGCAATTTGCAATTTCCCTGACCTCAAACACTTTTAGGCAGTTAGATCCACATTGCCATATGACCCTAATTCCGAGGGCTGTAATATATACTAACAATTTTAACTACACAAAAAAATGTTATCTAAGTGTTACTGCAATTAAGTATTGCTATTAAGTAATTTTAAGTTGCTATTAAGTTTAAATTAACCTGTTTCATGTCCTGCTGCTTTGTAGGATATGCTTTTTTAGGCAGAGACTCATAGATGCCGATTCTGACTTAACACACCTCCTGCCTTGGGACTTTTGGTCTTAATAAAACAACTCATCTTAAACAGACATTAAATGCATCCGGCTACTGTCTTGTTAAAGGCCACCTAAGCAAAGACTTAAGGGGTAAACAGATTCTATTTGTTGACCAGCTTCAAACCCTTTGTTCATCTATTAGGTTGGCATAGATGTATTTATAATGCATTGTTTTCAGTTTAGAATGTTGAATGCTGGATCTTCTTGACTCATTGCATGGGTTTTGAGGGTACAGCTCTATAACTCAGTTTTAGAGCTGTACCTGTATTAGGAATACCATGGATGGTGCCCCTGTTTGTACTTTGGTGTGCATTGTTGAAGTCACATCTAGAGTCCTTTGTTACGCTTTAGGGTTTATTAATAGTAATGAGGCAATTGCCTTAACTTTTAGATAGTGTACTAAGTTTTATCTATGCTTTGAGTCAAGTTCTTTAACCAAATTAAAAAATGACTAAATTATCAAAAACTATATAAAACAAAAAACTATAGTTCTCTAATTCTATTATTCACTAATATTTGTGGTTTTCAAAGTAAATTATAAGTGTTGATGATTACCTTACTTTAATTTGTTAAGACTCCAATAGTCACATGCATGGCCTGGGCATTTACATTTTTAAAAATTCAACTAATTGCTGAAAAACTAGGTTTGAATTCACAGACTATTTTTTTATGTTCTTTCATTTAGCACCACTTTATTTCTGAACAAATTGACCAAGCCCTTTCTCTTTATTATTTAGCTAATATTGTTATTGTTGAGGACTTTAATACTCATCACACTGACTGACACTAAAACCATGGCTTGGTTTTAGTGTCAGTGGCTCTGCAGGTGTTAAGGCCCACAACTTCTGCCTTACTCAATCTCTAACACAAACAGTCAATTTTCTAACTCATTTTCCAGCAACTTATGTCTTGTTTTTGATCTTAGTCAGTGCTCAGTTTCTCCACATTCACCCTTACATGCTTCTGATCATGGTTTGATCTCACTAAAACTATCATCTCATTTTTCTTCATCATCAGAATCTCCCTATAATTGTACCTATTACAACACCTTAAAGCTGACTGGGACTCATTATTAGCAAAACAATTCTTCAGAAAATAGGTGTCTCTTTACTATTGCTAGAAACCGTTGTAAAAGTTTTGTCTAATGCCAAACCCACTATAGGTCACAAAAATAAAAATTTGACATGTATATTAAAAAAAGGTTGATCCATTACTTGATATTCCAATCACTCAGGCTTCTGTATCTCAAGTGATTTCCTGCTTAGACTCTTCTACAGCTTATGGTCTGGACAACATTGTTAAAGCCTTGCAGAAGTATTTTCCAGAGCTGTTGTCTATGCTTTCAAAACTATTAAAACATATGCTTATCAGAGTTTTGTTTTCTATCCTGTTGGAAAGCGGCATCTGTTATCACTATTTTCAAAGATCAATCAAAGAGCAATCTGACTCTTCTAACTACCATACCATTAGTCTTCTTCTTATCATAAGCAAGGGTTTTGCGTCTTTAATTAACAATCTCTAATCTTGAATCTAATGTACTACTTTCTGATCATTATTATGGATTTCGATCTTCTCATTCTACTGCTGATTTGTTAACAATAATAACTGATAGGTTTTGATGTGCATTAGATAGATGAGGAGAGATTAAGGCTATAGCTTATGACATTTCTAAAGCCTTTGATAAAGTTTGGCATGCTGGTCTTCTCCATAAACTCTCTTCTTACGGTGTACCATGTAACATCTTCAAGACTATTGAATCTTTTCTTACCAATCGTAGTTTAAAAGTTGTACTTATTGGACAGTACTGTTCCTCATATCCTGTAATTTTAGGGATTCCTCAATGTTCTATCCTTGGCCCTATACCTTTTTTAAATTATCATTACCGATCTCCCAGAAATTCTTACAACATACTTTGACCTGCTCTTTCAGCCAACACTCAACAATTTTCACATTGTTATAATGGTTCTTCTCTTTCTCTTTTTATAAATACTTGGCCCTGCAAAAGATGCCCATCTCTAAAGAGCTAGCATTTTTTGTGCTATTTACTAAAATTCTTTCTCGTGTTACTCGTTATTTAATTAAGTTTCATCCATTTAATGTGAATGTTCCTAAGTGCTTCAAAAATTCTTTTTTGTCTAGTTTTTATCTTCGGACATCAGTTCTTTGGAATTTACTCTCTTTATCTTGTTTTCCTGATTCATATGATTTGCAATTTTCAAATCTTCTGTTTATCGTTATCTTGCTTTAAAACTTTAAATCTTTTCTCTTCCAGTAAATTCCAACTCTAATAGAGGTTTTGTTAATGGTCAACTTCTTATTTAGAAGAAAACCATTTAAATGAGACTTAATCAGCTTTCTCTCATATAACCTTTATTAAATCATGCATTGATCTAAGTATTTAAGAGCAGTTCAAAATAGCTGACAATTATTTTTGAATATTTGAAAGGTGATCTTAAATAAATTCAGTTGTATCATTTTTGGAAAAGAGCATTATTTGAGACATGTTAAAACATACTTTTACCTGATGATATATAACAGAATAATAAAAAACCAAATGCTGTAGAAACCTATCATCAACTTCTGGTGTAGAAAGTTATAAATAACTTCTGATGTAAAAAATTTGCAAATTGTAACTAATACGCAAATAGCTGATTATAATATTACAGGAGCAATATAAACAGAACCAAGTTGCTTCAACTTAGAAGTAGTAACAGAAATCATAAATCTAACTACAAACTTTTAATATAGCCAAAACAACCAGTTTTAACGTCCAAGCTCAAAATAGAACATTTACAGTTGTGATATATAAAATATGGCAGCAAATTAAAAAAGTAAAAGAGCAAGAAAAGTCAAAAATAATGGAAAAAAACAATGAAAAAACAAAAAAACTTAATCATTAATAAATAAGGAAAAAACAATTGGCTGAAGAGAAAAAGTTCAAAATAAAGAATAAATTATTGAAGAAGAAAAGATTAAAAAGAAAGATAAAAGTATTAAAAAAGAAAAAAGAATCTTGAAAATATTAAAAAAGAAAAAAAAAGTTTTAAAAGTCATGAAATTTTGTCTAAAAATCGAGTTTCTAATGTTGACAATTGGGTTATAAAATAAAATTCAAATAATTTAAATTTTAATAAAAATGGTAAAACTAAAAAAAAAAAAAGGAAAAACATTTATAATCAATAAAATTGTATTTTAAAAAATGCTAAAACTAAAAAAAAAAAGGAAAAACATTTATAATCAATAAAATTGTATTTTAATAAAAATGGTAAAACTAAAAAAAAAAAAGGAAAAACATTTATAATCAATAAAATTGTATTTTAATAAAAATGGTAAAACTAAAAAAAAAAAAGGAAAAACATTTATAATCAATAAAATTGTATTTTAATAAAAATGGTAAAACTAAAAAAAAAAAAGGAAAAAAATTTATAATCAATAAAATTGTATTTTAATAAAAATGGTAAAACTAAAAAAAAAAAAGGAAAAACATTTATAATCAATAAAATTGTATTTTAATAAAAATGGTAAAACTAAAAAAAAAAAAGGAAAAAAATTTATAATCAATAAAATTGTATTTTATAGGACTAGTACAACAATAGCAACAAGTAAAAAATTTGTGAACAATAATTATAAACTAATAAACAAACAAAAAGTAAACAATAAACAAAAATAAATAAAAAGAATAATAATAATAATAGTCGCTTAATAAACAATCCAAATAATCTTCCATTTATTATCTCATTACAAAAATGAGCAATATTAAAAAAAAAAAACAAGAAATAAAATTAATAAATAATAAAATAAAACTAATAAATAACAAAAAAAAATAAAAAAAAAATAATAATAATAGTTGCTTAATAAACAATCCAAATAATCTTCCATTTATTATCTCATTACAAAAATGAGCATTATTAAAAAAAAAAAAACAAGAAATAAAATTATAAAAATAGATTTTAAAAACATACACTGCGTAATTAAAAAAAAAAGAAAAATTATTACTGATATAGGTGGTCTCCGTAATATTTGAATATGTCATACAACCCTTCTGCATATTGCTGACTTTTTGCAAGCCTAAATATATGTTCGAAAAGAATTTAATAATGGCCACCATAAATAACAAAATTTCTTTAAATACATATACTTTTTTAAAATATAAGGTGTAAAATATTTTAAAATGTTTAAAAATGTAAGAGTTTGCATTTTTTACACTTTTTGCATTGACCTTAAATTATAAATATAAATAATAAAAAGTTAGAATGAAAGAAGAATGAAATTAAGAAGAATGCTGAAAAAGATTTTTATATACAAACTTTGAATTTATAATATTATATTGCCACAACATTATGTCGATATATAAGTATGACTCACCCACAGTTTAAACAATTGTATAATTAAATAATTATATAATTGGTATTTATAAATTTAATTTTATTGTTTTTTTTTTCACTACTTTTTAGCTACATTTTAAACAATTATAAATAATAACTAAACTATTTGTATTTATTTTACAAAGTCAACCTCTGAACACAACACATATGAAGAAAGATTACTAAAAACTTTTCAGTGAAGTTTTAAGAAAGTATGTACAATAGGCCATGAGATTTGCCATGAGATTGAAATTTTAAAATCATTTATCCATTGCATTATACAACATTGTCATTGGAAAAGTTATTTTTCAAGATTTTATTCCATTCTTTAATGATGACGATCAAGGCTAATGAGTTTTGTAAGTGTTATTTAATACATACATCATTCACAAATAAGTGAATAATGCAGACTTTTTAACAAAGATTGTGCAGAGTGACGAGACCTCATTCAAATTAAATGGCTTTATTAACTGCCATTGGGGACCCAGGAATCTTTTTGCTGACTGTCACGCCAATATATTTTTAACTTTATTTACTCCTCAAAGTTGAGAGTACCACTACAGTTGAGGAGGCTATTTATTGTGGTTATAACCCTCTTTCAACTTTCTAACTTCAAAACAAAAACCTAGTTGAACAAGGCCACAACACAGGCAAACAAGTTAAGTGTGGTACTACCAAGGACATGGCCAGGATCGAACTCAGAACTTGTTGCTTATGAAGTGAGAGCTCTACCACTACTCCACTACTATATATATATATATATATATATATATATATATATATATATATATATATATATATATATATATATATATATATATATATATATATACAGAGAATTAGAGTTTGGTGTGGATTATCATCAAAAAGATAACAGACATTTTTTTTTAAACTTCTGTAACAAAATTATAATATAATTAAATTTATGCAACAGCCTGTTAGGCTAGGGTGTGTCAATTTTAGACTTTTTTTGAAAAAAAAGTTTAATAAAATTTGGGGTATAACTAAAAGTTGCAAAATTTTACGGAGAATTTAAATCTGTTAAAATTTTTTAAATCAGAAAAATATTTACTTAGGTGATTAACCTTTTTATGAAAGTATTAACGGTTTTTATTTCCTTTTAAACGGAACTACGACGTTACCGGACAATACTGTACGTAAAAAAAAAACAGACTTTTAAACAACAAAAATTTACATTAAGTTTATAAAAAAATCATTTAACTTAATATGTATAAAGTATTTAAAAAATTTTTGTATTAAATGCGTAAAATAACTTTTTATTAAAAAAAAAAATTTACTCAAACTTTTTAATCTTAATAATGGTCAGTAAATTAATTTTTCATTGCCGCATTTAGTAAACAACTGCAAACTGCACATTGTTAAATATAAATTTAAGAACTTTTGATCAATTGTTTTCATTCTTAAAATATTAAAATTTTTTTTTTTTCATTACTAAACAATAATAAATTCTCTTTAAATTTTTATAACTTGGAGGAATAATGGCACCCAAAACCAGAATAAGTACTTGTACGCAAATTAGTGTTGCATTTGGTACAGGAAAACAATTTCTAGTTTCAGAATTACCAATCAACAGAGATGTTATAAGATATGCAATTTTATTAAGAGAGGGCCAAAGATATACTTCCAGCTTTATTACACCAGTGGTCAAGTGCAAATTTGGAATTTACATCGCCTAAATTAATTACTGATAAAACAATTTGTGATAAAATAGTGACTTTGTGGAACAACCCTTCAGCAATAGCTTGTCCAAGAAAAAAAGGAGCTAAACAAATAATAAAATTTAAAGAAAAACTTGATAAACTTTTTGATATACTAGTATGCAAATGTCCAATTGTAAAATGTGATGATTTTATTTGTTCTGATGATTGTGATAAAGAAGTTCATTGTAAATGATAGCGGTAGTGGTGTAGTGGTAAAGCGCTCGCTTCATAAACGAGTGGTTTCGAGTTCGATCCCCACCACGTCCCTGGTAGTACCGCGCTCAACTCGTTTCTCCGCGCAGCGGCCTTGCTCGTCAAGGTTTGCGTTTCAGAGTTATAGAGTTGAGAGAGGGTTATAACCACAAATAAGTAGCCTCCTCGTCTGTAGTGGCCTTCTCGGCCTTGAGGAGGTGAATTAAAATTAAAAAAAAAAAAAAAAAAAATGCAAATGTATCAAAGAGTACAAAATACCATCTATTGACGTTAAGTTTATATATTTTCAAAGAATTAAAACTGGAACTGTTAGCAAGTTTCAAATTGGATTACCTGATAGTATTGAAACCAGGAAACAGTTCAAAAGATTACTTAGAAAAAATCGAGAAAAATATTTTGAAAATAAAGACAGCAATGTTATTTTAACTAAAAAACAAAAAATTGTGTCAGATCAGATAAACTTTCAAAAAGAAAGTGATTTTAGTAATGAAATAGAATTAAATGATAACATTGATGATATTACTAATGTAGAATTACCTTTAGTACTAGGGAAATCATTAGGAAAAAAAAGATGTTGCAATACCTTAGAAATTTCACACATAGCTATGAATAGCGTAAGGTATAGTTCTTTTTAAATAAATTTGTTTTTTAGTAATGTATTTATCCTTATAAAGGTATATATATATATATATATATATATATATATATATATACATATATATATACATATATATATATATATATATATATATATATATATATATATATATATATATATATATATATATATATATATATATATATATATATATATATATATATATATATATATATTTAAAAGTAATTCTATTTCTGTGTAAATTTTGCTCACATAGATATGGGGTATCTGCACGTGCTACAGCTGCAATTGCTACAGCAACACTAATTGATGCAGGATTAATAACATCTGATGATAAAAAGTTAATTATTGATCATAGTAAAGTTTCGAGAGCGCAAGAAAAAGTTATCTCTGATCTTAGTAAGGATTTTGACAAAATAGCAAAAAGTGGAGAAGTGAAATGCATATTTTTTGATGGGAGAATTGATCAAACCAAGCAAATGATTGAACTTGATGACTCAAATGCAAAATTTCCAGTAACAGTGAAAGAAGAACATTACTCTGTTTGTATGGAACCTGGAGGAAAATATTTGTTTCACTTTACTTCTGAGAAAGCAACAAAAAGTGTTAAACATGCAGAGATTATAGCAAATAAAATTGTTGAATGGCTGACTGAGAGAGGTATTGACAAGTCTTTACTGGCTGTTGGTGGAGACTCTACAAATGTAAACACCGGTTGGAAGGGTGGAGCCATCAAACATATAGAAATAAAATTAGGGAAAAAACTTGTTTGGCTTATATGTCAACTCCATACAAATGAGTTACCACTGAGACATCTTATAACCAATTTAGATGGTCAAACGAAATCAAACAATAAATGGTCTGGTGTTATTGGTTCCATGCTTGATCATGCTACAGATCTAGATATAAATCCAGTATTTGAAACTATTAAAACTGGCAATCCACTTATTTCTCTCGATGATAAAATAATAAATGACCTGTCTGCAGATCAATGTTATGGTTATAAAGTTGTTTGTGCCATTAGAAATGGTATTTTACCACCAAAATTTCATTTATTACAAATTGGGCCTGTTTCACATTCAAGATGGTTAACTACTGCTAACAGAATATGTAGAATATGGATCTCTAAACATGGAATTCAAGGTAAAGATTTAGAAAATTTAAGATCTATCACCGAGTACATTGTAGGTGTTTATTTTCCTTGTTGGTTTAAGATTAAAGTTGAACATTCTTGGATTGAAGGTCCTAAACATGTACTTTACCAACTGCAGCAACTTAAATTTCAAAAAGAAGATGTCATTAAAATAGTATCACCCTCTATTCAAAGATCAGCTTGGTTTTGTTTCAGTGAGTGTATACTACAAACATTGTTGTGTTCTAATACTGAAGAGGATAGAAGTGTAGCTATAAATAAGATAAAAGATATTAGAGGTACTGGAAATGAAGATCTACAAAAAGGTGATTCCTCTCCTAGACCAAGAAAAACGCCTGTTCTGAACTTTAATGCTGAAAAATTGGTAGATTTAATATCATGGGAGTCACCGGTTTATGAACCAGTCTTAACTACCTCTCTAACAACTTCTGAAATTAATGTGTTTTTATCAAATCCTATGCAGGTGCCGATTTGGCCATGTCATGGACAATCTGTTGAACGTTGCGTAAAGCAAGTTACAGAAGCTTCAAGTAGAGTGTACACTCATGAAAAGAGAGAAGGATTTGTCCGAACTCAAGAGGCGAGTAGAAAGTTTTCAATTTCTACTCGCTAATTCAATTTTTAAAAACATATTTGGATTCTCCGTCAAATTTTGCAACTTTTAGTAACTCCCAATTTTTTTGGGAAAAAAAATTGGGAGTTAAAAAAATCGACACACCCTACTGTTAGGCTAAGCATTCGAGGACACTATGAAAATGATGAATTTTATTTTCAGAAAGATAGACCTGTACATTACCATTAAAAAGGCTAAGTCTTCCCTAGATAAGATATTGATAAACAGGTGGATTGGTAAAAAGGTGTTTTATTGAATACCCTCCTCATTCACCAGATTTACTAATTTTTTTCTTGTGGGGACCAATAAGACAAAACCTAAGCTATCTAACCTGAAACAATTTTTGAATTAAAAGAAGCCACTGAACATGAATAGGAAACAATGCAAAGAAATATATTTTATGATGCGTGTAAGGGTATTGCTTAATGATGATGTAATTGTTGCTATGTGTTTTCAGCGATGTCTAGATATTAATGGTCTAATTGTTTGAATGTCAATTTGAGAACAAGCAGTGAAAAAAGAAAAACATATAATAAAAAAACAACTTCAAATATTTTTACATTTTTAAATAATAGAACTGAAAATCACCAATAATTGATTTTTAGGAACAACCTGTATATATATACACACAAACAAACATACTGTGTGTGTATTTTTGACAAATTTTAATAAATGAAACAACAAGGTACCTTATTGCCATATCGTACATGTTTTTTCGAAACAAAATTTCTAGTTTTGTTTTTGTATCTTTTTCAACCAACTGGAAAATCTTAAATATAATTGTTTAAACACTGAGAATATGTAACTAAACTAATAAAAAAAACAACTCCAAAATAGTTATGCCATACATTGCTGCCCTATAAAATAAACTTATAAATAAAAATTATAAATAGAAAAATATTAAATAAAAAAGATTCAATAAAACCATGGAAGTAATTCATTTGACTAAAAAATCATAAGCATAATCTATATTCATTACTAACAGTTGCTAAAGATAATAAAAAAAAGTAATAAAATAAAAACAATAAAAACAAAATTTTTAGTAAAAAACATTAAGTTTATTTAACTTTAGCTTTTTATATCTTAAATTAATTTATCAATTTTAATTTATTAAGATATAAAAAGTTTGTTAATGTATGTATGTTTATATATAGTGGTGAACTAATTGCAAAACAGTAACCAATGCTGACGCCAAAGCCAATGGATAAAAAAAAAGTCACTACTGTTACAGATCAACTAAACAATTATTGAAAATTTCAAAAATATAAAACCATATATTATTTCAGGTCAGGTCAGTAACATCATAAACCAATATAACCTGCCACATGTTCCGCTACCTTGTTGGACTTGCCTTTCTAGAAAAAGACTATGAAAAATTAACTCCGACTTTAAAAACTGTCTGCCTTAATGTTCTTGGTTGAGTAAGAACTAAGAATATCTTTTCTGTAAAAATACTTATTTTGGGCAGATACAAATATCTAGCTACTGCCTTGTAGAAGGCCTTCTCACACCCCTTCTTTATCTAAAAAGCTCTTCCTTAATCTTAACTGTTAATACAAGAGATGGTCACAAGTTTTGGTCAGAAACAAGGGTTTCTGACCCAAACTTGTGACCATCTCTTGTATTAACTTTTGTATCTTTTGTACAAACTTTATTTATTAATGGCCATTAAGACCATGTTATGATCTCACTAAAAACTTTATCTATTTCTTCTATATCAGATTTATCATTTTATCACACTTCTTTTAAATAATTTTAGGCTGACAAGGATTCCTTTCATGATTTTTTTTGTGATGACATAAAAGCTTTCATTTCTTTTTGTCAGTTTCAAGCCTCACTCTATCCCATGGTTTTTTTCAAGCCTCTATCCCATGGTTTTTTTCTTTTTACACAGCTATTTCTCAGTATTTTTTTCCTACTTTTTCATACTAACAACTTACATATAAACAACTGTCAATTTTCAATATTTTACTGCTGAGGGGTTGAATTATTTTTCTTGGTTATAAAGGTACTCAAAGAAGACATGACAATTTTATCACAGAGCACCACAGAGCACCATTTTACCATTAGGTTCATGCCTCCTTCCTTACCAATGTTGCTTATTGGGCTAAAAACAATATCAAACCACAAACTTCTTAGTTTTGAGGCAGAACTCTAGCCACTATGCCATGACAGCTAAATTAGACTGTTAATTTAGTAGTAGGTGGGCAAGGTGTGTGGTAGAAATATGGGGGAAGGGTAAAAGGAGAACTTGCAAGAATGTTGTTGATATCCCTATATTGATGAATGGCAACACTTTTACTAAGAACTCTGCTTCCGTCTTCTTGGATTATCCTTTACTACAGAACTCTCATGAAAACTTAAAGTGAGCATCTGTTAAGATTGTACTGTGTTACAATTTTCTTACTCCTTACTCTATCCTTTACTTATAAATCTTTTGTTTTTCTTGTATAAAATACTGTTGTCATATTTAAGCTTTTTTATTGTTAGAAAAGGTCCAAAAATGCATAATAAATGTAGTTGGACCTAGCTCTAGCTGAAGCAAGACTATTGGTTCAATTGATTGCAATGTCATCATTATTATGAATAAAAATAAATTTGAGGCGACAAATAGATAAATAAGTTCAAGAAGATCACAACACCACCTTGACATTCATAAAAAAAATATTGTTGCATTCATTTATTTGGATGTGTGTGTGGATGTGGATTTTCTAAAAATAAAAATGACTCACATGACCACAGATACCTCAGAAAATAAGGCACTTGCAGCTGCAAAAAAAGCAAGCAAAGATGGCAGGCTTGGCCAGGAAGGCATGCGATTTCATGTCATAATATGACCACGCAAATACTATTTGATTTTACTTAACTTGACCACGGCTGTTAATAGGTTTTGAAAATTCGTATATGTTTTAAAAATGCGCTAAAAAAATTATCTTAACTATAAAAAAACTTTAAAAAAAAAAAAGTAAAAGAAGCAAATAAATCTTGGTAATAAAACAAAAAAAAGAAGAAAAAAAAGAAAAATAACTTAACTAAAAAAGCAGAAATAAAATTAAAACTTAACTAAATTAAATAATAAACTATAACGTTAAGATTATCTAAATTATATTTTGGAATAAATAACTTTAAACCATTTATCTTTACTAATGCTTTTTTAATATAATTATGCGAATTATGCGAAACGCTTTTTAAATAAAGTAACAACAACTGAAGATTGTTTAATAAACACGCACATTTAAAAGTTTAAAAAAAGATTCTTAATTATTCGCACTTAAAAAAAAAATAGTTAAACGGTTAATTTAAAATTTCAATTTAATTTTTTTTTCTTTAAAAACATAATAAAAAATAAATACTTTTAAAAAAATATATGTATTTTTATAAAAAATCATTAGCAGTAACTTGTTACTTTATTTAAATTCAATAAAATAAAAACGGAAGTAGAGATCGAAGTTAGTTAATTCAAACAACTTTATTTTTTTCTTCTCAAAAAAAGCTTCAATGATTCTTGTATGAAGTTTATTAGAGACCTTCGCTTATTAAAGTCTAAAATTTAAAGTCTAAAATTAAACAAATGTATTTTGCAAAGATTGGCAAATTGCAAGTTAAAATATTTTTTAAATAAAAGTTTCAAAATCACATGAGTAATGTTGCCTGATACAGAGTTATTTTTTTGCTGGGCAAGTTGGAGAACAATTTGTGCCTGAAGCAGTTAACTCTACAAACTATCAGCCTAAAAAATTCTGGCATTGAGTGCAAGAAATAATACGTCATTTCTGGGAAAAGCGGATGCAAGAATGGCTTCTTTCCTTTTTAAAATAGTATAAATGGAATCAAGAAAAACCTCAAATAAAAATAGATATAACTGTATTAGTAATTTCACCAGATACACCAAGAGAAAATTCTGAAGTACTATCCTAGTTTATAAGCTAGTACATGTTTTTGATGCATATGAGTTTTCCTTTTCAGGCACAACGTAACTGATTATTACACAACCTAACTGATTATCTTGATGTGCCTTGTTCTTTGGATTCTTTAAATTATTTATAACCAATGTTGGCTGATACTAACACCTTGTAATAACTTGAGTATTTCTCACTGTTTTATATAAAGCTTAAGTATACCTTCTTTATACTTATCACTAATGGATGTAAAAAGCATTGTGGGTGTTATTTATTTCTCTATTATTTCTTTATTATTTATTTCTTTATTATTTATTTCTTTATTTTCTATTAATATGGTGTATTAAAAGACAAAATTTTCTGCAAAAGCACCAGTAATTTTCATTACTGGACTAATTTATACATTTTCTTTAGTACAAGTACTGTTTTAGTATCTTACTAATAAAAAATGAATCCTTCTTGTGATTGGCATAATAAAATTTTTTACAGCATTCATTTTTTGATGAGATTTTAATGTCATGTTCATGATGATGTTAATAATCATTTAATAATCATCATCATGATTATTATAATGGCGATCATCACTAAAATACATAACAAGAATGCATTATTTGGTTTCCATTGAGCAAACAGTTTTTGAATGTAAACTATATTTCATCAATATTTAATTTATCTATAAGCAATTTGGCATTTTGGTGAATTAAACTTGTTGATTATTAAACAAACACAAACAGAATGTGTTCCACTTTTTACACTGCTCTTTAACTGAATTTTTAATTAACTAGTCAAATAACATAACTTAAAAACAAATACACACTAATATCACAATTAGTCAGCTTTTATATAAAAGTTAAAAAACAAAACAGAACTTGTTTTTTATATTATTGTTAAATTCTTAATTGCCACAAATAGCCATCCTAAAGTAAACATTTTTTTTTTTCTTTCTAAAGAGTCAGTAAATTTAATACTTAATCAGAATTCTATTTCCAAGTACTTTATAGTGATTTCTAAAAAAAGTAACATTTTAGATATTAGCTTTAAATCTTTTTATTTCCAGCTTTGTTGTAAGGTTATTTCTAGTCACACAATTTTTTGTAAAATGGTCAAAAAAAAAGTTTGAAGAAAATCTAAGGACCAATCCTATATAAATAATCATCGCTCAAATGTTCATAATAGAATTTTGAAAAATTACATATTTACACTAAAAACTACAACTTTTCAAAGAAAATAGAAAATTAAGCACTCTTTTTGGTTGCCTAGATTCTCCATTTTGTTTGCCTAGATTTGCCATTTTGGTTGCCTAGATTTGCCTTATGTCAATTGCGCCTCAACCCAAGGTGTAAGTTTTCCAAAACATTGAATGATTTAATGGGAAATTTACATTTTTTTATTTCAAGGTAAAAAGGATCCGATGATGTAAAATTTAATTTTAAAGATAAAATCTTACAGCAATATAAAGTTAAACAATTTGTGTTAAACATTGAAATCTGAAGGTCTTAGTCATATATACATATGTTGAAGTACAATGTTATAAAAAGTTTTTAACACAAGTATGATAACTGTCCATTGTGAACCTACAGATGTTTAGAGGACAACATGCAAGGGTTAAACACCAAAACAAAGTAAAAAGAATCAAAATGTTCATTTCAAATTTCAAGTCTTATATTTTTTCTTTTTTTATATTTAAATCAAATAAGAAAAAAAAAAAGTTAAAACAAATATATTGTGAGGTGAAAACCTTGCTATATATTTATTTTACTTTTTTTTCTTTTTTAAAAGTTACTAAAAAATATATTACTTAAAAAAAAATCAATTAAACTTAAAAAAACTCAATAAAATTTCTTAATAAAGAATCATTTAACTAAAGTCACATAACAAAAAATATATATTAGCAAAAAAATATTAAAAAAATACCTTTCCATCTGATGAAAGAACATGTAAGCAACTCCATTCAGGTAATACTGCAACTACATCTGGAAAAGGTGCTGAATAAGCTATAAAAAAAAGTTATGTATGCAACGCAAAATAATGTATGTGTTTTTAATTGTATAATCTTATATAAATACATACACGAATGTATAAACTTATACACGAATGTAAATTTAAAAAAACTGCTGATCAAAATCAAGTTGCCCTTTTCGACAACTTAAAAAAATATTTTAATTTGCCCTTCACAAAATTCAATCATCTAGTATCAACGGGGGACCACAAGTGTACACCTGTAAACACACACACACACACACACACACACACACACACACACACACACACACACACACACACACACACATATATATATATATATATATATATATATATATATACATATATATATATACACACACACACATATATATATATATATATATATATATATATATATATATATATATATATATATATATATATATATATATATATATATATATATATATATATATATATATATATATATATATATATACAAAAAATTAAACTGAAAGATATAGGCTTTTTAATTTTAGATCAGATTATGTATATATATATTTTTAGATCAGATTATGTATGTATATATATATATATATATATATATATATATATATATATATATATATATATATATATATATATATATATATATATATATATATATATACATATATATATATACACACACACACACATATATATATATATATATATATATATATATATATATATATATATATATATATATATATATATATATATACAAAAAATTAAACTGAAAGATATAGGCTTTTTAATTTTAGATCAGATTAACCTGCTACTAGTAACATTTAACTGGTAAACCAAGATTTAACTGGTAAACCAAGAACAACTTCCTTCATCTCCTGCTGTCTTAAAGGATATGCTTTTTTAACAAATCCAAAAATGAATAAATTACTAAAAACTACAAACACAAAAAAAATATTGTTATCACCAAGTTCTCTAAATTTATCATTTACTAATATTTGCGGTCTTAAAAGTAACTTTCTTTCTGTTGACTCTTACCTTTTGTAAAGTTTAACAGACCTACTTGCTCTTTGTGAGACTGATTTGAGTTCAGTTGTCTCATCTTGTGATCTTAGTATTGGTTATCTTCTTTGATAAAAAACATTATTTTGAATCAATAGACTACTTCTTTATGTGCTTTTGTTTAGCAACACTTTAATCTATCACCTTTCTCTTTGTTCTATATCACTCACCTTCATCTCAAGATTGCACTCTTTTCGATGCTAGTTCTGATGAAATTGACCAAGCCCTTTTTCTTTGTCCTTCAGTATCATTGTTGTTAGCAACTTAAATGTTCATCACACTTAATGACTTGACTCTAGTGTCAGTGCCAATGGAGGCTATAAATACAAACTTATTCCTTATTTTATAAATTTTATTTTGTTTATCTAAATGTTATAATAATTCTTGTTTTTTAGTTCAGTATTTTTTTTATACTTTTCCCTAATAGAAACTTTAATTCAAAGTTGAGTTGCATCTTCTTTCGTTCGTAGTTTTGTGTTGTAAATGTTAAAAATAATAAACCTAACACCTACTTTCAAATATATTAAATAATAAACCAAACACAATGTATTATCATCTATTACAGTTGCATGATACACTATATGATATAAGATAGGAATAAGTTTGTAATATAGCCAACAACTTTTATCTTTCTCAATCTCTAACACAAATAGTCAACTTTCCAGCTCATTTTCCAGACAATCAGACAAATCATTAACTTTCTCTATTCGAGTTATGACTTGTTTCTAATTCTAGTCAGAGTTCAGTTTTTCTACTTTCTAGGTGCTTCTGATCACAGTTTGATCTCACTCTTCTTCATCATCAGAATCCCCCTATCGGCATACTTCTTACAACTACATTAAGGCTGACAATTTCCTTTGTGATGGCCTTTGGGTAGAAATCTTTTGTCTTCTTGTTGCCAAAGGTGTTTCCTATGTAACTTCTTGGAATTAGGCAGTCATATTATCTTTTTTTCTCTCTCAAGTTTAAGTCAAGCCTTACTCATCTTCATGGTTTTCCTCTCATTGCTGCTGCAACAACGTTGCATTGTGTTGCTGCAATTTCCAATCATAACCACTACTTTGATGTCTATTACCAAAACAATTCTCTAGAAAACAGATATCTGTTTACAATTGCTTGGAACTATTGTAAAAAGGTTTTGTCTAATGCCAAACCCTGCTATTCTCAGGCCTAAAATTAGGCTCTAGAGACTTCTGGAGAATCTTAAAGAGTGTCTATAATAAAAGCAATTCTGTTATTCCATCTCTCTTGCATGGTACAGATTTTGTTACCTCACCTAAAGACAAAGCTGAATTGTTTACTAAGAACTTTTCATCAATCTCATCGCTTAATTCCACTAATCACATCCTACCTTATATAGCTAACAAACAGGTTGATCCATTGCTTGACATTCGTATCACTCCTGCTTCTGTATCCAAATTGATTTTCTGCTTAGACTCTTCTACAGACTGTGGTCTGGACAACATACCCATTATAGCCATTAAAGATCTAAATTATTGCAATAATCTAGATCTTCTAATATTTATGGACAGTTATGTACTCAATGAGTCATCTGGGGCGCATCTTTAAATGATGCCCTTTCTCTTTTAGAAAAGGTGAAAAAACGCATTGTAACATAGTTGGACCTGCTTTTGCAGCCAACTTTTAACCATTATCATATCATCGTAATGTTGCTTTTATTTCTGTTTTTTATAAATACTATAATGGGCGCTGCTCTGAATAGCTAGCATCTCTTGTACCATCTAATAAAATTTATATTCATATTATTCATCATTCAAAAGTCTCATCTTTTTACAAAGTCTCATCCTTTCACTCAATCTTATCTTTTTACCATTGTTCTTAAGTGCTCTAAAAATTCTTTTTCATCTTGTTTTTTTCCTCTTCAGTTCTTTAGAATTATCTTGCTTTATATACTTTTTATAAAATCTTTTTCCTTCCAGTAACCTTTAATTCTGTTAGCGGTTGCTTGCAGCCTTTTGCTAAAAGTGCAGATAAAAAAAAAAAAGATACATACCAAATACAATTTTTATCAAGTTTAAAGGCCAGGGTACAGGCCTGGTTGCTTATTAAATTGTGTTCAACTTTAAACCTTGATATTCAAATTTTTTATAAACTCTGGTGGAGGGGAGGGGAGGGATGCATACCCCATTTCTTTCTGGATCCGTCACTGATTATTATCTTTTCAAAGTATAAAGCAGAACTATTAAGAAATAATAATTTTCCCTATTTAACTCTTGAGCCTAATAACCACATTCCAAGAACTCCTCCTGCAGCCTCTCTAACTATTACCCAACCTATCTATTACTAACTAATCGTCTATTATTACTAACCATACTATTAGCAAGTCTTTATATATCTAATGAACTTCTATATACCATCTTGAGTATAACAACATACTTTCTTATCTATAATTTGGGTCTTTTGACACAACTATACATTATATATATTTGATTGCTTAACTCTTTAGTGCCATGTGATCTGCTACAAAAACTATTGGAGTCTTCAATTGATGTGTAAACAAAAGTTTATCAACACAATTAAAGATAAGGAACTAAAGTTAAATTAAAAAAATAAAATCAAAACAATTAATGGTTTTAGAGGAATCACATTTTAAAAATAACTGGATTTTTCTGTGTACACCCGTATACATGATTATATATTCGGAATTTATTTTTCCTGAAAATATTTTAATGTTTTATCTTTGGTGAAAGAAAAAATAAAATAAAATATTTGATTTATTTGATTTTATATTGTTTGTGTTACATCAAAATTTAGATAAATTAATAAACATTATGGAGAAAAAAATAAATAAAACATAAACAAACAAAAAAATTGTAAAATATATCACTGAAGTTGATTTTTTCACACAACTTATTAAAGCCAACAAAGCTATTAAGTCAAGCACAAAGAAAAAAACATTAAACTTTTATTTTATTCACGAGAGTTTGAAAATATATGAAAAAGCAAGGAAACATAAACGCCTGAAAAGAAAACATTTCAAGAGAAATGGATGTGTACTTATGCCTTCACAAGCATCAAAAGATTCATTTATGAAGGAGAGGATGATTATATCACAGAACAGTGTGTTTAAACACAGAAATCTTTTACACAGTGGGTGAAAGATGAAGAGGGAAAGAGGACAGGATATATTAAAAACATATAGTTGTTTATAATATTGACACTAGTCAATAATATAAACAACTATAACAATAACAAAAATTTTAATGTTTACCAGTTATTAAGTTAAATCCGACCTTGTTAAGAAGTGCTACACAGCTTGCATTTGATATACAAAATGGTGATTTTTGTTCAAATAAGTTACGCTTAGTTACATTCAGCTAAGTTGCGTTCAGTTAATTTAACTTTAAACAATTTATATATGACTGCTGTGTTAAAGTTATTGTTTTCAAAGAAGTGACATTAATAACAATAGACATCTTTGACACAGACATACCAATAACTATAATATAATAAAAAATAATAATAATATAAAATTTATATTTCCTTACACTAAGTAAAGAGAAAATGAGAAAAGTAAGATTTTTGTTTCAAAAGGAATCTTTTTTCCCTTATTTATTTAAGGAAAGAAAAAATGGAAAAGCTGTTTTTTTTCAATGCAAAAAACTCATAAGAATGAGTTATTTGTATTGACAATTCTGTTTTGAATATAATTAATGATTTTTTTAAATTAAGATGGTGATAAGTGTCAAACGTGTTTTGGCTGTGATGGAGCAGGGGAGCAAGCATCAATTAAATCAAAAAAAAAATGATTGAAAATAAATCAAATATGTTTTAACACAGACTTTTTTTTTTTTTAACATCTTTGCTTCCAACAAGGCTGCAAGCAACCACTAATTAGTGTTGGAAGTTACTGGAAGAGAAAAGATGAAGATTGTAGAGCAAGTTATCTTGCTCTACAGATTGACAGACAACTTAAAAGATTGCAAATTATATGAATGAGGAAAACAAGATGAAGGAAGCGAATTCCAACGAACTGATGCTCGAGGAAAAAACTAGAGGAATAAGAGACGACTAATACTTATTTTGTTGAAACTAATTTACCAACCACTTAGCTGAATTAATCATTCTTAAGGATGGGTATGGCCTGGTAACTTATCAGAGAAAGGCCTAGAAGTAAAAAACAAAGTTATATGAAACTGTTGAAAGTTTCTTTCATGTCATCATGAGAGAAACTTTTAAGACATCACACATAGAACAGCTTACAAATGTGATGAGTCGTTTTTTAGAGAGATCTGATTAGGTGTTTTGAACCAAATTATTCATTACCATTCTTAAAAGTTATGCCAAAATTGTGGTTCAAATGAGCACAAAAGCAGATCTCATGAGCTTATATATTCGAATCTAAAGAAATATTTTGATGAAATATTTGAAAATCTTACTTATGATTAGTTATGAAGTTTTTAATTGTTATCTTCAAATTTATCTTGATATATCAAACCTTTAAAAAACTTTATTGATAATTTTATCATAACAACATTATTTTAATCTAAATATGACCAAATACTAGCTTTTGAATACTATGTTTGTAATCAATAAACATGAGGAACCAGACCCCAAATCATTAGTATATTATTACATATTGTATATATAGTATTAGTATATATATAGTATATTATTGAGTACCATGTTTCTAATCAATAAACATTAGGAACCAAACCCCAAATTACAAGTATATTTGGTAAATAGCTTTTTTTTTTTTCATTGTCATCTAAAAAAATTTGTAACTTTAAATTTTTATCAATAAGCACTAATTTGTTAAAAATGCTTATATATGATAATTGTAACCCAGTCCACAAAATTATTTAAATATTAAAAAATTATATTTTCTTAAAACCAGAAAAATTTGTTTTTTTTCAAAAAAGTCCTCGATGAGGTTTCTATGACTTCTTAACCATTAGTTATGATTCTATTTCCACACAGTGAGCCCAAATATTGCTATTTGGGCACACTAAGTAACTTGTAATTCCTCACAGTGGCTTTATTCGTCATTATCTGCTTATTGAAGTTGAAGAGTTAAAAGAAAGCTGTAACCAAAATATATATAAAAAGTACCTTCCTAGACTGTAGTGATACCCTTGGCTTTAGGGAGGTAAACAGCATTAAAAAAAAGAAGAAATTTGAGAAGCGTATTACAGCTGTCTTGTTGAGTTATTCTAAAAACATTAATTGTAGTATATTTACAACATTTTTTCTTGATCGGATTCATGGAAGCCAGTTTCATAAAATTTGATATTTATGACAAAAGATACAACAAAATTGTGTTTTTAAAAATAGACTGATCGTGCTCTGACAAGGGATTTTCAAAATAAGTTTGAGGCATACTGAAGCTTTGTTTATTTTCTTGTAAACTGATAACATGTATTTTAAATATGTTTTAAAAGTATATAAATGAGAACTCTTTGTAATTAACTAACACAAAATGGTTAAACATAATAATAATAATAAAATAATGTTACAATCAAATGTTAAAATCAAATAATGGGCTTTGCTAGTGAGATGTTTGAAATTATTTTGTGTTCATAATCTAGGACTTGAAAGAGTTGCTTTTCAAAGGTTTTAGAACTTTATGAAAAATTTAAAATTTGGAGGGTGCTTAAGAGGGTTAAATAAAGGCTTGAAAGGGTGTAGAAAACTTTGTTTTTCAGAGGGCGCTATGGAGGGTTACAACTTTTAATCTTGAATACAGGATTAAAGATTATCTTGAATGCTGTACTTGCCCTATTCTTTAACTGCATTCGCTGGTGAAACTTTATCTTTACAAAATCCAGTTACGTACTGCTCATAATTATGCAATATTGGTAATATTACCATAAATTGCAAAACTTAATTTAAACCCTTTACTTACTCTTACTTAAAGTCTTTTACAGTTACATTTTTTTACATTAACTGTTACTTTGTGCTCAAAAACTATACATAGATAGACATACACAAATATCATTGTATACTTGTTTAGTATAAAACATTGATGACGCCATGCTGAAAAAGGGAGCTGTGGAGGTTTCAGTACAAACATCAACTAAGTATTCAAGTTTTGGAACGTAATATCTAGATATGAAGATTATAAAGGCTTAAAAATAACTTTGTTTTTTTCTTTTCTTCAGAAAACTGCTTAGATTAAGCAACTATTAACTTTATGTTAAATATATTAGGACTAATCTAAATACGCAAAAATACAAAAAGAGTATATATATAAATAAATATAAATATATATATATATATATATATATATATATATATATATATATATATATATATATTTTATATATATATATATATATATATATATATATATATATATATATATAATTTAATCAACATAATCGAAATTTATTTACCAAAATATATACTTACCAATAAATAAAAATATACTTACCAATAAAACTATTATCAATATCATATACTGTCAAAATATTCATGCTTAACCCAGTACTAAAACAAACAATTTTACAATAGTAAGAATATATGATTATTAAAAAAAATTTAAATACATAATTTATAAAACGTACTCAGGTTGCAAATATGTAACTAAAATTGCGTATTAAAAGTGGGTATCATCCTGCATGTATATTTATGTAATGAATAATAACCTTGTTATTATTATTTCCCAAAATATTTTTCGAAATAGGAAAAAATAAATTCATTTTAAACTATACCTTCTTATTAAAATGCTTTTTGGGTCTAAATTAATTCAGTTAAAAACTCATTGTTTACATCCATAAACATACACCCAGGATTTTTAGGGGGATTTTATTTTAAGTGAAAAAACTTAAAATAAACTTTGGAATACTCAGTCTAAGGTTCCTATGATTTACTATTTTTGTGAAAGATTACATAAATACACTAAGTCAGGTTTTTAAGTAGCATAAATAGACTTCAATAGTAAAGGTTTTTGGTATTGAATAATAAATAAATGATAGTCAAAGTCATTTCCAATAAGAAAGTAAATCTTTTTGGGATCTATTGTTTAAAAACTCAAACAACTTTGATTTACTTCTAGTGCAAAACAAGTTTTGTGCAAATCATTTTTATTTCACATACCTCAAATAACATAATAATATAAGTTGGTTAACAAAACCACGGTAGCAAGCACATTTTAATTTGTCCTGGGCAAAAATAAAAATACTTACCCTGCAGTTTTTGGAAGTTGCTTCATCTCTTTACTAACAACAACAAGATAACCACGAAACCAACTCACCATCTTTTTTTCACCTTAAAAGTTCAATAGTTTAAATTATGCAGCAGTAGAAAAAAATAAATAGAGTACTTCTGATTTAAATAAGGTAGTAATCGCATAAATACAACTATAAAACCATTCACTAACCATCAAAAGCTAAGCAAGCCCTTTTTCCTTCCGGGTGGTAAAAATGTAAACCCTAATTAGAAATGTAATGAGTTTAACTTAATAATAAAAAAGTAAAAAAAAATATATTACCTATTAACCTCCTTAAATCTGAGTGGGCCACTACATTGAGGATATTCTTTTTTTAATGGGTACTATTATTTCAAAACTACTATTATTTTAAAACTCAAACTTTTAGTACACTAAAAAAAACTGAAAAACTAAAAAATAAATTTTTTTTATTCATGTCTGTTTTTTAATATAACTAACATCGTCAGTAGCAACCACAAACTGATTTTCAGTTGAAGCATCGTTTATTGCTGAGCAATCTAAACTTGCACCAAAGTCTTCTTCTAATATTTCCTAAAAAAAGAAGAATTAATAATCACTAAAAAAAAGAGAAATAATAATCTAAAAATGATAATCAAAACAACTTAATTAGGTTAAATTGAATTTAAGAATTCAACTATAAATAAAAGAAGTTTTTGTGAACAAAATGTTAAATTTATGAAGCTATTAGCTCTTGCAGCTATAAAAATGAAAATAGTTTTACCTTTTTATCTGAGGACGTTACATTGTATGAAAAAACACATTTGGTTGTAGTTACAAATAATATAACACTGTTGCCATATTGTTTATATGCTAGACCTAAATTACAAAAAACAAATTTGAAAATTTCCTAATTTTTCTTTCGTTAACATTTTATGAGACTTAAAATATTTTTCGAAAAAAAAAAATGCTAAGAAATATATGTAAAAAGCTAAATAGAGAAGAGAAAAAGAAAAAAAACAAAGCTACAAAAAAACAAAGCCTAAAAAAAAATTATGGACTAAAAAATGCACTTGATAATAGCAAATTAATAAAATAATAATTGACAAAAATTAACCAAAAGAATAATAAAAAAAAAGGTATAGTAGATTTTTTTACAGTAGAAATATTCTTTTACAAAAAAAATTTAGAAAAAAAAAACTTAATTATAAAGTTTTAGATATTTTTCAAGTTAATATTAAGTAAATAGAATAATTTGTAACAAACATTAAATTGAATGTAACTAACATTAAATCCGACAAAACCTTTATGATTTTGTTTAAGAAACTTTATCAGTATTTTGGTCATATATAAGATTTAATATTAATTTTTAAGCAGAATCTGCAATACCTTAGACTCATATGTTATATATTAAAAATTTTAATTTTGTTTTCCTGTAACCCTTACTTTAATGACTGTACCACTACTACACTATAAATACAGTTCCATTGCAAACACCTTCCAAGACGCTTGAAGCAAAACTGATATTGTAGTGTTGTGCACTTTTATTGTTTATCTCAATCAAGATTCTTATTGAGCAGGATGGCAAGATATTTTTATATATTGATTTTTTTGAGCTCATTCTGATTAAATATGGGCGATGGTAAAGTATGTGCTGAGCACCTGGCATTAGTTTTAATGACTTTTTATTTTTAGCTGTTGTGTTTCATACCATTGAACACAGAGTAAAGTAAAACACCATCAATAATGGAGGTAAGTTAGCCAGGATGTTGCCAGGAAATTTAAAAAAAAATAGTTTTAGGTGGCGTTTATGTCAGTAATAAAGAGAATGATTTAGCCTAAAAACACTACCCTAAAATTAAATATGTGGGCCAGCCAGGAATATCTATTAATTCTAAGAGTAATCTTATTAACTCTAAGAGTTTGATCTCAAAAAGATCATATGCTTTTGGAAAAGCAAAGAATTTTGAAAAAAATTGATATATCATTATTTTATTATTATTATCAAAAACTGATTTGTTACTTAAGCATTTCTCTACTCCTCTATAACTTGAATAGCATGCATTGTACTAAGACTTATTTAAGACCTAGATGTGCTTGGTGTGATCGATGATGAATTTCGGTGATATTGCATTTAAAAACATTACGTAATGCAGACATAATAGCATTTAGATAATAGCCATTATTTGTCATGGATAGCATTGGGCTGCAACACTTATACCATCATTGATATTGCTAGTCTAATATATATATATATATATATATATATATATATATATATATATATATATATATATATATATATATATATATATATATATATATACATATATATGTATATATATATATATATATATATATATATATACATATATATGTATATATATATATATATATATATATATATATATATATATATATATATATATATATATATATATATATATATATATATATATATATATATATATATATATATATATATATATATATATATATATATATATAGGAGAATGACAAAGAACAAGATTAAAGTAACATTTAAGTAAAGCGGTGATAAGGGAAGCACATAAAAGAATGTCAGTGAATTAATTCTAAAATCTCAACAGGTGAATTGATATGTTAATTAACTTTAAGTTATAACTTAGGGCTTAACTAACTTATATGGCCTTAACAATACACATCAAAAGCATTAACAGCAATGTTATCCACACGCAACATAGCACTGTTAATACTCTGATATTTTACAGCTGTTGATTGAATCAGCCTCTTTGAGAGCAGAATTAAGAAGTTTTAGAGCTATACCCTTATTTATAAATTGCATGGGTGACACATACTAGTACGTTTTCTGACAATTAATGCTTTAGCCTGGAACATGTACTAGTGCATTTTATAAATGTTGTTTCTTAGGCACTTGTTTTACTTGAGGTAATTGATTTCTTCATTTTATCTGTATTTAAGTGAAAAATCAATGTAAACTTAAAATGAACCTTTTATTTATCCCTGCGAAGTCATTGCAAAGTCACAGCGTTAAGAGATAAAAGAAGAGTTGCCTATATCAAGGAGACACATAAAAAATCTATGAGTAGAGTCAAAAAAGATCCAGCATTTATCAACTTTACCTTATTCTACCTTATTCTGATTTTTTTATGAATTTTTGAAATTAGAAAATTAGAAACAGGATAAAATGAGCCCTTGACAACTATTTAGAGAGCCAAAGTTTATTCCTCACAGTCAAAAGTTGGCAGAATGCAGTATTGTGAGGAAATTTAGTCTCAGCAAGTCAGCCATGCATTAAGTACAAAAATTAGGAACCTAATCAGACAGTAAAAGAGATAGAGGGCCTGAAGCACCACTAAATATGACATGATCTTGATGAAAAGGTTGTTAGATCTCCAAAAAGTTCAAAAGTATGTCAAATTTTATCAGATAAGTTCAAATTTTATATGGAAGTTTCAAACTGTAACATTTGAGCACCATGATCATGAGTGCCATGCCACCGCTCTAAAGTTGCGACCAAGTTTATGACCTAAAAAAAAACTCAATAAGCTCAAATGGTTAGGAAATAGCACTGATCTCAACCCAATTAAATATCTATGGACAGAATTGAAAGATAAAGTGTCGAAACAAAACAAGAGTGATAAAAGAAGTCTGGGTTAAGGAAATCTTGAAGGAACCCAGTCTAAATGACAGAATATCCAGGTGTACGAAGGCCATGATCAGGAACAATGAAGGACATACAAAATATTGAATTATGGACAATTAATGACATCGTCTCTGTGTTATATGACAAATCGTTTATGTATATTATTGAACATGTTAAACACAATATTGGTCTTTAAACACAATATTGATCTTAAAATTTTTGTTTTACTTAAACTTAAACTTTTGTTTATGACTATATGTATATAAATTTAATATTAAAACTATATGTATACAAATTTAATTTTAAAACTATAATAAAAGAAAAATTAAATTTCATTTTAAACCAAGTTGAAGTTAGAGAACTTTCTCCATTTCAAATATTTCAAGTATTTAATGCATGGCAAGTATTTAATGCATTTTAAAAAAATATGTGTAGTAAAGCAACAACACATGATTTATGAAAATTTTAAAATGGATTTGATCATCAGGTAGAGTTAAGATCATATATTAATATGAAAAAAAAAAATCATTAAAATCAACACAATTTAAAACAATTCTTCACCTGTTATTGGGTACTTGTCCATGTGAATAGTTCTTTGTTTACTACTCCTGTATAAAAAAATAAATTTAGTTTTAAATAATTTAATAAAGCAGAAGCAGCCATGGTGCTGTGGTTAGAGCCCTGATCTTAGGATCATAGATTTAAGGCCCAACCATCCCATAAAAGCAGCTCAGCAAAGAATATAAAAGAAACTCCCTGCTAATATGCTTTTCAGTGGTGTTCTATGACATAAGGTCATCAATCCATAAGGACTTTTTAGGAACCTTGATAACTGGATATGATAGTGAATTTTTAAAATATTACTATAACCCAAAACAAAATGAATGCAAGATTTATTCATTTATTCCAGATTTCAAAATTATTAAATTTGTTTAAAGTTTAAATAATAAAATGCAATAGGAATGAAGATGAAGACGGGCTGAGGTTAGGCTTTTGTAGTAAAAATGGTAAATGCATGAAAAACGTTGATGCAACATACTGTAACCCACACTGTGGTTCACTTATTAAGTTTTTGCTTTTTTCATTTTTAACCAAAGTGGAAAGCTAAACAGTAATCAACGCAACGCACAATAAGTTACAGTATGATACATCAATGTTTTTTGTGCATTCATTGTTTTTACTTTAAAAGTAAAAACAATGAATGCACAAAAACATAATGATTAAAATTTTAAATTTTAAATACAATAATAATTTAACTTATCCGATGCATTATTGTTATGTGAAAAGTACTAATACACTGGCTGTTATCAATGGAAAAACAAATGTTGCAAGAATATTAGATGGACAAAATATAATTTGCAATATGCATACTTTTATTAGGGGTTGTCCATTAATTACGTCAACAAATGCTTGTATATATAAAAATGTATATATATATATATATATATATATATATATATATATATATATATATATATATATATATATATATATATATATATATATATATATATATATATATATATATATATATATATATATACTGAAAATACCTCATAACTTACATCACACTAAAAAAAAATTAAAGTAAAAAAATTGCTTCAACTTTTAGGTCAGATTTCTTCAAATCAATAAAGCAGTTTGTATTAGAAACTTTCACAAGATGTTAAGAATTCTATACTAATTTAAAAAAAATATAAAAGTTTATCAGAGGTGACCAGCTAAGAAAAATGAACTTGTTTTTTTGATACTATGTATTTAACTTATGTTACATCACTTACGTTACCAAGCAATTTTTATTTTGGATTTTTATATCTATAATTAAGAGTTAGAGTTATGTAACAAAAGGATTGCAAAAGTCTTGAACTCATTCATTAAAAATAGTTAACAAAGAAAATTTTGGAAAACTGGTGGCACTCTTTCTGAGTGATTTTTCATAACATTTATGAAAGTTATCAAATCAAAAACAGTTTTTCTGCAAGACCAAGAGCAACTTTAAAAAATTATTTTAGTATTACAACTTTATTAATACTTATTTGAGTCATTTAAATAAGAAAACTTTTGGTTTTTCTTTGTTTTGTTGAAGTTTATTTACACTTCTTACGTTTATTTTTGCTATATTTTCATTAGGTTGAATTTTTAAAATGCTGCAAAGCATTTACATTTAAACCTTTTAAAAAATTTTTTGACGTAATAACTGCTATCACGGTTTAGGAGGAAGACAACCAACAAATAAAATAAAAAAATGATATAAATAAAAAAAAAAAAAATTTTTTCTAAATTCTCCTAAATATAAAAAGATTCAGTTAAAACCTTGTCAATGGAATAAGAATTACTTAATGTCGTAATTTATTTTGTTAAGGAAAAAGCGCCTAAACTTTAGTAACTGCATGCAGTTTTAAATTATGCTACAGAAGTTTAAAATAAAAATGTGCTTTAACTAAGCGTCCTTATTCAAAACTTTAAATGCAGAAACGCAACATTTAATATTCTTTTGCATATATTATTAAAAAACATAAGATTTTTAACTAAATTTTAGAAAAAAAAAAACTTCATGTTTTTGTTAACTTACATTACATAAAAATTGCAAAGTTCTTTTGTTATTTTCTTCAAATATACATATTTTATAAACTATAAAATCTGACCAACATCAATTTGAACATGTTAGCTCCATTTTTACACTAAACTAATTCCGATTATGCAAATAAATTCATGGGTAAAATAATATTTTACAGTTTTTTTATCATACGACAATGAGAAAAAACTTTCGGAAGCATAAAAATGACTTAAATAAATTCATTTTAGTACTTAATGTATTTTTTGTGTTTGTTAATTCATCTCCTCAAGGTGTAGAAGACCACTGCAGACGAAGAGGCTACTTATTTGTAGTTATAACCCTCTCTCCACTCTATAACTCCGAAACACAAACCTTGAGGAACAAAGCCGCTGCACGGAGAAACAAGTTGAGCATGGTACTACCAGAGATTTGTTTAACCACCAAAGTTTATTTAAACCCACCACGGGTTTAAATAAACTTTGGTGGGTTTAAATAAACTTTTATGAGTCTACATCAATATTCAATTGCTAAAAGTTGACAAAAAAATTAAAATTTGACTACTTTTTCATTTTCCGCCATGAAATTGCCCATATATATATATATATATATATATATATATAAAATATAATATAATATAAATTTGCATTTTAAAAATTGTGTTACAGTTTATTTTGTTTACCAAAGGTATTTTTGTTTACTTAAAAGCAAAGTTTAAATTCCCATTATTGACTAGCCATTTTAAAACAACAACCAATGACATAATTGGTTAACAGGAATTTAATACACCCATATATTAGGCCACATGAATTGTTTTAGCCTATATTGTTAGTTAAAACCTTTCAAAATTTAAAAAAGATTTAAAAACAAATTTAAAAGGTTTTTTGAATTAAAATAGTTTTTATTATATTTAAATTATAATTTATTGTAAAGTCTTTTTTAATTTTTTTTTATACTATTTTTATTCAACTTATCTAAATCTGTTCAAAAAAGTTGTTAGTAATGTATTTTTAAAAGTTTTTTTTTATAATTTTATTATACAAAATCCAATTTTGAATCAATAAACAATAGTTTAAACATCCTTCTTTGTTAGGTTGGTCACTAAACTATCAAAGATTTCCTCAAGAATAACACCAGAAACCACATTGACATCTACTAACAACAGTGTTACACCTCAAATCTAAAAGTTCTTTACCACAAAAAAAAGCTTTTTTGCAAATTATAAAAAAAATCATTTTTACAAACAAATAGTTTTGACAAACTATCATGAACAAATAAATCACTAAAATTTAATTAAAATAAGTTTTTATTTAAAAATAAAAACTATATGAAACGAAACAATATTCAAAAATTAGAAATATATATTTGAAAAGTATTATTATGTTCCTGCAATATCAGCTCCTGCCAAACATATCTTTTTTTAGAGTGATAATGCCCTAAAGTTCATAAGTCTGATTCATTACTTGAAACTCTGATGTTTCTTAAATTACTTATAGGCTATATAGTGATAATGCTTATGACGTATAGTTAACGCTAACAACTAATATCAACATATTTTTAATTAAAAGATGTTAATATTAGTTGTTAGCACAAAAATATATAAAAATACGTTATTGGGTTTCATATCATATTCAAATATAATCTGTTAGCGACTTCGTCAAATTCTACACATAACTTTGGTAGAATTTCACAACATGTAGTTTTACTATCACAGCACTTTCTACCTGGAGTTTTGTTAATGATTGGCTATAACGCAAAGTTAAAATTTAAGTCTTTGGCTTTGAAAATGTTTGTGTAGGCCTCCTACCCTTGATCTTGAAACTCCTGCCCTTGATCTTGAAACTCCTGCCCTTGATCTTGAAACTCCTGCCCTTGATCTTGAAACTCTTGGTCTTGGCCATGGTTGTGAAACTCTTGTATTTAATCTTTTGGAAACTTTTTGCCTTGGTCAACATTACAGTAACATAAGACATGTCTCAGTCAAATGTTGGTTTAAAATCAAAAAAATATATAGGTATTAGTTAGAAGTGTAATGATAGAAATCAATGATAGATGAATTAGATATAAAACAAGTACAAGATGAAAGTTTTGATGAGGTCTGAGCATAGTCTGAACCACCTAAAAAAGGAGAACAAAGAGAAACTTAGCACAAGCTATGGTCATAGAAAAATAAAAAAATGAGCGAAGTTATGTGACTAGTGTTGTCTGGAAAAAAAAATCAGGATTTTAAATGTCTAAGTAAATGCCAGCATAGCCTGGTACTATATATATATATTAGTCTAGCACTAAATATATAATGTATTGTATCATCACCATATGATACTAGAGCCAAGTTATTCAGTGTGATGAGCATTAAAATTACAAATAGCAACAGCATAATGAGAATGGGTTTGTTCAATTTAATCAGAAATGACATTGAAAAAATGAATTTTGCAAAATAGGTGAATAGATACATAAGTATATGTCCAGGCCAAGCATATGACTATTAGAATTTTTGTGAATCAAATGATAATAGCTAACACTGAGATCTGAAAAGAAAAGATCTGAAATAAAAAATAGTGAATTTAAATAAGTCTAACAAAAATTCTGATGAATTTTGTGTTTTCAACAGATAAAAAAATTACCAAAAGACCACAAATATTTGTAAAAAATAATTTGAAAAAAAATTAGTTAATTTTTTTTGTTTAAAACTTTCTGGTACTTTATTTATAATTTAAATTAATAGAGAACTGACTCAATCATATGACTCATTCATAAATAGTGCATGACACCCTAAACAATAAGCTCAGGGTATCATACATTTGCACTCTTACCTTATTCCTGCTAATTAACACAAAATCATAATAAAAATCTCATTATGCGGAAAATTTACATGCATATCATGGCACTCTGATATTTTACAGATGTTAATGGAACCAGACTCTCTGAGAGCTGCCACAGAGTTCAGGAAAACTTACTACTAATTAGCCTCAAAACCATTGAACTGAGTTTTAGAAGATAATAAAAAGAATTGCTCAGCCATTATCCGAGGTACAAGCAAAAACCTACGAGTAGAGATAAAAAGATCCAGTTTTCATCATTCTAGCCAGAAAAAATAAGGTTTACATTAAAAACAGTTTATTAAACGAGGAAGTGGAATGAGGCAGCTCAACATAGATGTTTTGTATCCCCTTCATTGCATAGGAGACCTTTTACAAAAAAGTAGCTGGAACTATATGAAGCTGCACTGTTTTTATTGAGAAGTTTTTTCTGGCTTTTCTCAATAATCACTCACAAGACAGGTGGTGGTTTAAATTAACTTAAAATTAACTTCTCCTAGTCTTTGCCACGAAAAGTGAATCCTACAAAGCAACAGAACAGGTTTTGGTAGGGAGGATTGAATTTGATTTTATATTACCAGCAGCAGGGTGATCATGATCAATATATTTGACCTAAAAGTCCATTCCAATGCAAAATTAGCATTTACTGCGGTTGTCACTTTTTATTGTGCTTCTTACCTACTTACTCTAAATTCTGTTTTTATTATAAACTTTTTATTTTTGTGTAGAATACAGTTGTCTTATTTTGTGTGAATCTTCTAATGATGTCTTTTATTAGTTTCAGGTTCATGCAATTATTAAAAAAGCTCAGAAACTATTAGGTTGTTATATATTACTTTTACATGTACTACTTTTGTAGAACAGTGAAAAGTATGTGTTTTCTATATTAGCCTGTCTTTTTACCTTTTCTATAATATACTTCTTGTCTTCACTTTTCTTAACTACAATGTAAAATCTTTTCAAAGACAAAAAATGAAGTCTTTTGTAGATGAACAAATTATATCATGGAGTTTATCTGGAGTGTTTTAAAGCATCAAAATATCAAATAGAAAGCATATACACATGCTTATAGGAACTATATAAAATAGAAAGCATATACACATGCATATAAACATGACTTTTGTTATGTGTAAAGATTGCATTAAATTTTTTTTTTTATAAAAGTTAAGTAATAACAACATTACCTATGCTAGGTTATAATAATTTAATTACACTCCACAAAAATTTGCAAAGAAACCTAGTTTATTTTTCAATATGCAAAAAACTGATTTTATAGCAGCTGACATCTCACTTTTCCGCTGCATACAACTCTTTATAGGTTTTTCCTCCATTAACCTATGTTGTTAAATCAAGAATTTTAAAATACTTTAAATTTTTAAAAGTCTTTGTAAGTACAGCTTTACGATTTTTAGAAACTTGTGTAACTTGTAATTTTTTGGCATAAAAAACACCCCTTCCCCTTAAGGTGTGAGGGCAAGTTATGTTCAGCCTTACTGAATGTCAATATGCGAAGCAAAAAACAGGGTAAGACAATTTTTTGAAAATTTTAAAAACAAATTATCATAGTGGCTGCTTAAAGTTCTTATAAAAAAAAACTCAACAAAATAGCCAAAAATCATTTTTCACAGAAGGTTTTCTTAAATCTAGAGGGTTTTGCTTATAATCTAAATCACAATAAAACTTATATTAAACTTTATACTAATTTTCAGTAAAAACAAAAACTGTTTCATAAAATTATTTAAACAAGTATTTATAAAGAAGTTATTAAAAGTATTAAACACTTTAAAAGCTATTTTATGTTAATTAAAATGTCTATTTAACAAAATTAAAAGTAAAATACAAGGGCTTTTGCTTAGGTAAGTAAAATTTAATTAACATAAAATTGTCCATAATATCTACCTAAATAAGACATTAAATTTTACCCACTATTTATAAAAGAATTTATCTTTTTTTCAGGGGTGTGGAGTCATAAAAAAAAAATAATGACTCCGACTCCAGTTGTTGAAATGTTTTGAGTACAACTCCGACTCCGACTCCAACTCCGACTCCAAAGCAAAATTTTTGAAAAATTCTTTGAATTCTTTAAAAAATATTGCCCGGTGCGTTGAAATTTTTTTTTGGACAAATTTATGAAACATTCTTTGATGTTTAGTATGAACATAAGGTTAATTGAATGTTTTGTACATGCACGTGCAATACCAAGAAATTTTATTATCGGAGTCGGAGTCGCGATATTTGTTAGCGGCTTAAACATCTGTTTTTTTTGAAAATTTTCAAAAATTCTAAAGTTTTTGGAAATTTTCCAGAAAACTTCCTTAATTGAAAATTTCCAGGAAATTTTTATCTCTAATAGCAGCCAAAATTTGAGATAATAACCTATGAGACCCCATCTTAAGCTACTATACCTTGCTTCATCTAAAAAATTCTATCTGTTGTGATGTAAGTAGGCTTAATGCTTATACATTCAACATATTTAAATCATTTTACTGAAACACTTTTTTTTACTTTAAAAATGTTAAGTTTTTCAGCAAACATCATTACCTTTTTTTCCAAAAACCCTTTGGAACTCTCTCCTATCATGTTTTTCTAATTTATATATTTTGCAGCATTTTAAGCCCCCTATTAAACATTGATTTTCATTATTTTAAAGTTCAAAATTAAATATTGGTTGCCTGCAGCCTTGTAGAGGTTAACTTGTGTAAAAAAAAATAAAAAAATCATTCAAGTAAACAGAAAGCATATTACCTAGAATTCATGATGTCACCTTTAAAAATAACAACAGTTCCGTCATCAAAACCAACCGCCATTTGAGTTAAACTTTCATGGACAGAAAGACATGTTACCTATTTTTAAATTTAAAAGAATTTAACAATCTTGTTTAAAACAAAATTAAAAGAATAAAAATATATAACTTTAACCTCTGAAAGTTTTGTGCCAGTAACAAGTGCTCTTGAGACCCATATGCATGTGGGATTGCCATTTTTATCAAGCTAAAATAATAATAAATTTAAAATTTAGTTGCAGTTATACTAAAAAGTTATTAGAATTTTTCTACTTTTTTTCTTCTATTTTTTATAATTCTTATTTTTATTGTAAAAGATATGTGGTTAAAAAATATACATATATATTTTCAATTTTCCTTGATTTACTATATAAAAACCTTATATAAACATATTTATATATATGTATATATATATATATACATATATACATATATATATATATATCAGGCCTTGCGATGAATAAGAACTGCGCGACGCATAAGCACGACGCAATTTTGACGTCATTAAATTCTTTTTATTTGCTTTTCATATTTATCGACATTAACTGCACCAATTTATTTAATTACCGCAAAACTACTTTAAATCGTTTATATAGAAATGTTATTATTTAAAAATGTTTTGGAATGTTTCGTTTTTTAAAATGTAAAAACGTTTGTTTATTTTCTCGACGTTTGTCACGTTTTGTCTATACTAAACGAATAAAAAACATTATAACTTAAATTTAAAAAAGATTATAAAATATGCTAATATTTGATTTTTTTTTTCTTAAATATGTAATTTAAAGTTTTTCAAATAATTATTTTTTCTTTTTAAAAAGTCAGCGAGTAATAAACTGGAAATTTTAATATTGTACGATTAAAAACTGTGCAATAGCTAATATTTTTACAAGCGATTTTATTTAATATTTATTTATTTATTTTTATTTATTTTCATAAAGCGGTTGATAAGCACAATCACTCGTATTAATAAAAAACTTAAACGAACGTTTTGAATAGATTTTTAATGTTAACAAGGAATTTTATTTCTATTAAAATAAAATAAAATGTTGGAATAAAAATCTTATAGGTATAAAAGAAATATTTCAGCGAAAAAATTATTCTTAAAAATTATTCGAAAAACTATTGACGTTCTATTTTTCAGCAGCTGTTCTTGAGCACGCTTCGATGAGTTTCGGTAACTTTTAACATAAAAGCGATCGTTATTATTTAAGTAACTTTTTTGAGTTACTTTTTACAAAAATTTTAATAACTGTACTTTTTTATTGAATCAAGTAGAATACGTTTTGATATTTATCTTTTTTTTTTTTTATTTGCCCTCACCAATTTTTAAAATGTTTCCTCGAAATCACTCTTAAATACTTTAAATACGTCTAACAGTTAATAAATATTTTTAAATCTATGGAATAGTTTTAAAACCTATCAAACCCCTGTAAAATAATTATTTAAGTTTAAAATCTAAAACTAAAAGAAAGTATTTTTGTTCAATTTTATCGACAACGTTGCTATTGCTGAATAATTTTATTAAAATGTTAGCTTAAAAGATTTAAACTTTTTTTTTAATTTTTGAATTTTTTCTACTTGTAAATAATGAGCATATTTAATTTTTTTAAATTCAAACTTTTATTTCAACTGCGTGCGGTTTTTAAAATACTTTATTAAATGTTAAAATAATCGTAAATTACTTCATTAAAATTCCGCTCAAAAATATCTTTAAATATACTCAAACAAAAAATTTTTTGCTCGACGCAAATAGCCCTAGCTACACGCAAAATCGCCTTTGGACGACGTAAAATTCACATCGCCCGACGCTTTATCGCAAGGCCTGATATATATATATATATATATATATATATATATATATATATATATATATATATATATATATATATATATATATATATATATATTTACATCTTCACTTCCAACAAAGCTACAAGCAACCACTATAAGAGTTGGAGGATACTGGAAGAGAAAAGATGAAGTTTGTAGAGCAAGATAACGATCGACAGACAACTTAAAAGATAGTAAATTATATGAATCAGGAAAGCGAGTTGAAGGAAGCAACTTCCAAAGAACTTATGTTCGAGAAAAAAAACTAGACGAATAAGAGTTTTTGGAGCACTTAGGAACAGTCACAAAAAAAGGATGAGATTTAGCTGAATAATGAGTAACATGAGAATGAATTATATATTTTATATTATTAAATTATATATGCCTCACCCTACCTTATGAAAGTTCCACACTTGAATTAATGGATTAATACCAACTTCGTCATTCTAGAAATAAAAAAATGCATTAAAACTTTTTGAATATAAAATGTTAACAGTTGACAACTTACATATATTGATTATCTAAAATTAGATTATGTTTAAATTAGGTTTATATTTATATTATGATTATATTTATATCTGTGGATTATGCAAACTATTCTAAACAATAAAAAAAAAATTATTTTATTAAAGAATTTTTATTTAAAACTCATAAGTCACAACATTTTAAAATAAAATATAAAGCAATTCCATGTAGAAAAAATTAGGAAAAAAAAAGAACTTTATTTGATGAAACAAGAGATATTATGGCATCATAATATAAAAGTTTTGGTCTCATGAAACATAAATTTAAAATTCCTTTTTTGGATCCACATCTTCCATTATAGATTAGTGGTACTTTTCGTGAACAACTTATTTGATTGCATTATTGACTGAAAATTTTTTGAAGTAGCTGAATCTAAATGTGATGAGAATATTATAAGATAAATCTAAAAAAATTCAAAATTTTTGCTCATCACAATTTTAACTTTATATTGGTTGAGAAAATTTTTGTTTGGTTATTATGAGTTTACTCATAGTAACCAAAACCTCACTCAATGCACATCACTCTCATAGGCTTAAAAATATTTTTATGTAAAAAAAAAGGCATTGATAATAAATTTATAAAAATAATAATATAAAATAAATAATAATAACTAATAAATAATATGATAATAAAAAAAATTTAAACAATACAAAAATATAGTTTTGAAATGTTACAAATAAATATTGAAGAGTGTTACAAGTTTAAATCAGACTTTTTTTTGTTAAAACATTACTTAGTAATCAAAAGTTATGTCATTAGTTGTGATGAATAAAACATTACTTAGTAATCAAAAATTATGTCATTAGTTGTGATGTATAAAACATAACTTAGTAATCAAAAGTTATGACATTAGTTGTGATGTATAAAGCCTCAAAATTTTATAAATTTCAGATAAAATAACTACCAATTCTTTTGGAAAATGATTTAAAAATTCAATTTCTCAACCATAAAAAAAAAACCCAAATCAACAACTTTGCCACATAAACATGTTTATGTGAAATGTTAGCACATTAACTAAACTTCAGCCTAAATGGTGCTTTTTTGTTGTTGCTACATCAGTGAACTCATTTTCATGAATAATGATGCAAGTTGCTCTTGCATATGAGCTGTCTAATATTCTGAATTAATATTTTGTTTAAATAATGCATAAATATGACAAACTTTACTCGCTTAATACAGTTTCTTAAATTGATAAATAAAATCATTACATAATAATACTTTCAATAAAATTTTTCCATTTCACATAATAATACAACATATAAGGTAAAGACAATTATCTCTTTTTGTATCCATGACAGTTATATAGCAGTAACAAAACAACTGCCTTGAACATTATAAATTTAAAAATTAATAAAAGCAAACTAATGGAAAGGGAGGGGGTTTAAAAATAAACAAAAATAAGGAGGTGGGAAGGATGTCCATTTACATGGAATTACTCTAAAGTTTCAAAAAAAAAAGGTTAAATATTGATTATTTTTATAAATTAAAAAATAATAAAAATACCCCAATTGACACAAGCACTTCATTTTGCTTTAACTGAAAAAGATGTGATACTTTAATCTTATTAATTTGAAATGAAGTCAGCTGAAGGTCACGATTTAAAAGATGCAAGTTACCTTGGCTATGTTTTTGTAAAGTTAAAGAAAACAATCAGCATTTATGTTACATACACACATACAAAAACCAAAACACAATATTGGTTAACAAGTAAAATTATAATTAAAAATTTTAAAAAGTACAGATAACTTATCTAGATTTTAAATTTGTGTCAATAGAGCTCTAAAAAAAGTACAGATAACTTATCTAGACTCTAAACTTGTGTTAAAAAAGCATTTTTTAAATGATCAAAAGTAACTAGAAGCAAAAAGACTTATTTACCTAATACCTGTAAAACTAACACTATAGACTTATTTACCTAATAAAAAGACTTATTTACCTAATAAAAAGACTTACTTACCTAATAAAAAGACTTATTTACCTAATAAAAAGACTTATTTACCTAATAAAAAGACTTATTTACCTAATACCTGTAAAAATAACACTATAAAATAAAAAAACTAAAATAATTGACTAAAAAGGGAATAAAAAACCAAAACATTAAAACTATCCTAAAAATACTATAGATTTTGATTTTTTTTCTTTTTAAGTATCATATTTAAAAATCATGTTGTCAGAAATATATAGTACCACTGTATAGAAATAAATAGTATCACTATTACTTTTGAAAAGCATGAAGCTCTTTATTTAATTAGAATAGCTGCTTACGCTCACACTACAAAGTTCAACAGTAAAACTTAAAGCATGAGGCTCTTCATTTAATTATAATAGCTGATTACCTTCATACAACATAGTTCAACAGTAAAACTTAAAAGTTGTGAATAGACACATATTTTTTTAAACTCAAAAATTTAAACTGCAAAAACATGACAACATTTGATAATTAAGATTGTTAGGGAATTTGAAAAGATATCTCCTACTAAAAGTTTTCCACTTCCACTTGATGCCGATGTTATTGAAATCCCCTAGAAAAATAATTCACAGAATCATTTATGATATATATACATACATTCAAACATACATATATCCTTTATATATATATTTATGTATATATGTGTATATATATATACATATATATTATATGTATATATATATATATATATATATATATATATATATATATATATATATATATATATATATATATGTATATATATATATATATATATATATATATATATATATATATAAGTATATATACATATATATAAGTATATGTACATATATACTTTTATATATATATATATATGTATATATATATATATATATATATATATTATACGTATATATATGTATAAATATATATGTATATATATATAAATATATATGTATATATATATATATATATATATAAGTATATATACATAAATACTTATATATATACATATATATATATATATATATATATATATATATATATATATATATATATATATATACATATATATATATATATATATATATATATATACATATATATATACATATATATATATATATATATATATATATATATATATATATATATAATATATATATATATATATATATATATATATATATATATATATATATATATATATATATATATATATATACATATATATATATATATATATATATATATATATATATATATATATATATACTATATATATACATATATATATAATATATAATATATATATATATAAATATATATATATATATATATATATATATATATATATATATGTATGTGTATATATAATATATATTTATTTATTTTATTTATTTAACTAATTGCTGCGGTGAGCAAATGCTCATTAAGTAATATTCCACTTTAGCAGCAAGTTTAAAAACTACAATTTGAAATTTTAATTTACATAATAAAGTTCATCACATCAAAAGACAAACTGTTCCAAATTGGAATAACACGATTGGAAAAAAAATTCTTTCTACTCGAGTGTCTACAGATCTCAGAAGTATATCTATGATTGTATATATAGTCACAAACACTTCCAGCTGGTCCAGTTAGTCGACAAAAGTTCCTTAGAGAAGACTTAGCTGTTTTTAGCTGATAAAAATTATTAAGACATTTAAAAAAGTTAAATCGCTTCTTTCTTCTCATAGATAAGGTTGTTAAAGTCTATTTAATCTTTTCTCATAAAGAAGCTCTGAATAACCTGGAATTAGTTTTGTTGCTCTATGTTGTACTCCTTCAATAAGATTGTCTTTTTTTAAAAAAGGATTTCAAATAGAAGACACATAATCTAGATGAGGGCGTACTAGCGAAACATATAACAATTTAAGTACAGGGTGGGGCAAAAGTGCTTCTACCATTCTGATTGCGCGCCATCTTAATTATGTGACGTTTAGATCAGTTTTGCTTTAAGCGTTGTGTTGTGTAGATACTCCAGTTTTATAATGGATAAATATACGCCACAAGAATGAGCAGAAATAGTGACAATATTTATCGAAATTGATCGTTCCATTATTGCCAGTCAGTGGAAATGGTGTAAAAAATATCCTAATCTTCCTTTATTCACAAAACCACAATTTATTGATTACATGCCAATTTTCAACAGTACAGTACGACAGCAGACAGACCTCGTTCTGGAAGACAACGGACGTCTTGTAATGCTGGTGCGCGATAGTGAGTCTCCAGAAACATCAATTCGGAGACGTGGTTCCCAGTTACACATTTCTGACTGTTATTGCTGAACGGTACCAAGACATGATTCAAAATTTTCTTGTGCCCGAAATGGAAAAGTAAGAACTAGAGGACATGTGATTTCAACTAGATAGAGCTGCAGCACACACAGCCCTTTCAACAATTCAATTATTGAATAACGTTTGTTAACGAAAACTAATTTTGCGAAATGGCAATTTAGCATGGCCAGCTAGATCTCCGGATTTAATGGGGTTTTTTAAAATCAAAAGTTTATGTAAATAAGCCCCGAACAATTCAACATTTTAAAGACAATATTTGTCATGAAATTGAAGAAATTAAACCTGAAATATTACAGGATATCATGGAAAATGCCTTAAAAAAAGCAGAGAGTTGCATAGAGAATAACGGTTACCATTTAATCAATATAATTCTCCAATCATAACGAAAAAAAATGTTAAAACTAAATAGACATTTTATGAAAACCAAACTTGCTTATGGGCAATCAAAATGGTAGTGGGACTTTTACTCCACCCTGTATATTAGCATTTAAAAATGAAAATGTGTCTTGGATAAGATCTAAAATTCTATTTGCTTTAAAAACACACGCAAATATATGATGACCATATTTCAGATCCCTTTTAAACATGATACCAAGATTATTTACAGAATCCACAGTACTCAATTGATAATCAGAAATGTAATATTTATTGATATTTTTATTTAAATTATTACTTTTATTGACATCCATTATTTTACATTTTTCTATATTTAGTTGCATGCTCCAGTCATTGCACCAATTAAAAATAGAATTTATGCCATCCTGTATATCATTACTAGTGTTATCACGGATTATGTGAAAAACTTTGAAATCATCAGCATAGAGCTTGCGTCAATTTTTTAGTTTATCCGGAAGATCATAGATTTAAATTAAAAAAAAAAATTGGTATATATATATATATATATATATATATATATATATATATATATATATATATACAGCGCTCGAAGTAAGAAGGGATGCGACAGGATGCAATCTTATCACCTTTTTATAAAATATAAACCATCCTGCCACCTTTATATAAATCTCTATATATAACAATGATAAGGTAGAATGGTATTTTTAATTTACCGAATATCATCCCATTACTTTTTTTTATCATGCAACGTTGTCAGAAAGTTTTCCAATATTTTTTTTTTCTTTTATTATTTGATAGACTGCCTGCCCAAACCAAACCCTCAGTCGATGTAGCAGCACTCTGTTGCAAGTCAGGCTATTTGTCAGTTGATCTAGCAGCACTCCATTGAGAGTCAGGCTATTTGTCAGTCGATGTAGCAGCACTCTGTTGCAAGTCAGGCTATAAGATAGTCGATGTAGCAACACTCGTGCATGATTTACAGTAAAAAAAATTAAAAAAAAAACATTTCATTTAAAAAATAAAAAATATAACATTGTTAATATTTTTAAAAACATTCAAAATGTTTTTAAAAACATTCAAAATGTTTTTAAAAACATTCAAAATGTTTTTAAAAACATTTAGAATGTTTTTAAAAACATTCAGAATGTTTTTAAAAACATTCTAGTCAATTAAATTTGCGCTTTTTTCTAATTTTTTTTTTCAGCATCTTCCCTTTCAACAAAGCTGCAAGCAACCACTATTAGAGTTGGAAGTCACTGAAAGAAAAAAGATAAAGCTTATAAAGCAAGATAACGATTAACGGACAACTTAAAAGATTGCAAAATATATGAATCAGGAAAAGGATGAGACTTAATTGGTCACAGTAAAAGGATGAGACTTAATTGGATAACAAGTAACACAAGAAATAATTTTAGTAGATGACACAAGAGATGCTAGCTCTTTAGAGCAGTGCCCATTATAGTATTTATATAAAAGAATTTAAAAAAAGTATTTATAGAAAGAGAGGTAAAATTACAATGATGTGATAATGGTTGGAGGTTGGCTGCAAGAGCAGGTTCAACTATGTTTACAATGTACTTTTGCACCTTTCCTAAAAAAGAAAAAAGCATAATTTGAAGATCCGCTCCAAACATGGCAAAAGTGTTATATACAAGGACAAATTTGAGATTTATAGATAAAAAATAAAATACGGAGTAAGAAAGTGACAAGCATGATAAAGAGAAAATGACATAAGAAAGTGACAAGCATGATAAACAAAATTGCAAAATTAGCAGATGCTAATTTTGCAATCAATTTGATATATGGTTTCCAAGAAAGATCGGAAATAAGAGTTAATCATAGAACACATAGGATAGATGATTCATCGAGTACATTACCGTTTATAAATATAGGAAGATCGAGATTATTGCGATAACGATTAACTGAAAAAAATTGAGTTTTATCTGAGTTAAAGTTCACCAGCCACTGAGAGCCCCATGCTGTAATAGAAAAGAAATACCTCTCAAGCTCAAATGGAAGCTCTCAAGCTCAAATGGAAATAATCAGAGAGTGTTGGCTTCTCATTAAGACAAGTATAAATGGCAGTATCAAATGAATTACCACAAAACAAGTTGAATTTACCACAAAACAAGTTGAATTTACCACAAAACAAATTGAATTTATTAAATAAGAAAAACAAATCTAGAAGTTTTATTTTTTAAAAGTACATATTGTGAAATGTTAATTTTGTTTTAATTTTTTTTTTTTAATATTAACTAAATAAATTTAATACTACATTTTTTATTGTCATTTAACACAAATAAATTTCTTTCTTTGCTCTAGATTTCTATAAATAAATTAACTTATGTTAATTTTTTTTCACATTATTTCTTAAATTTGCAGCTTTGTAAATAATAATATTTTTTTTACTTTTAAAAATTTAATAAAAAAAATATATTACAAACAAAAAATTATTATTACTTGAAAAATTAACAATAAAGCTATATCTATAAAATAAGTTTTTTATTTAATTGTAAAAAAATAAATTATATATAAAATGTCATTTAAAGTTTGTAATAACAAAACAAATTAAAAAAAAAATTAAATTATCAAAAGTAAAATATGAAATAAAATTTGATGGATACTATTTTTTATCTAATATTTTTTTGTTTTGGCTTTTTTTTTTTTTTTTTTAAATTTGGTAATTATTTTTGTTATTGTTTGCAATGAGAAATAAATAAAGATAAATACTACTGTGATCAAAAAGTAAGGTGAATTTTTTTATAAAATGAAAAATCTTTATTTATTCTTCCAAATCTGTATCATATTCCTCTAAATAATCCCCCCAGCCCCAATGCACTTTTGCCAACGTTTTTTCCAGTCTTCGAAGCATGCCGAAAAGTCCTCGGTAGGGATA